AATATAATTATTATTTTATAGCATTAAATAATATCTAATTTGTAAATAAAAATAGATTTTTTAAAATGATAAAAAGATACTAATTTTATGTTATAATATAAATATATAGCTTAATAATCTAATGGTCAAAAATTATTATCTATGAAATACACAAATTGCAAAATTGAAATGTTTAGCTTTACTATTGTCATTAAGTGTTATCTTAAAAATACAAATATATTGATTTATTGAAAACTATTAATCTTAATATATATAATATAATATACTGTATATATTATAGTCAATAGTAATATTGTTAATAAGAAAATGTCGTATTGAATGACAATATTTGTCAAAATGTATTTTATTTGAGATCTACCTGTGCTATACTCTAACAATGTCTTGAAGTGGTCGATGAATTCAGTTAAATCATACCATCAATAAACACAAATCTTTCACTTTCTCTAAGATATAAAGTCCTTACGGACTGTCAATTTGGTACAGTATATGCCATTTGAAGGATAATCGGATTCCGTATAATACTACTTATATATCCATTTGAACACCTGATTCACCTCCTGTGGTGTGAAATCTACTTTTATATCTTACTGTCATTTATTGTTATGATAATACAATTTTAAATTTACAAATTTTAATAGTATTGTTTGAAATTTATAGTATTACTATTATAATGATAATTTTACATTGACAGCAATCTTAAATATTATTTGTTAAATTGTTTGCCACTCATATAAACATATAGCTGATAATCAATATTGTTATGTATTGATTATTGCAACTGATATAATATAAAGTGTAATTTATTTTATTTTTGTTGAAATGTGATTTTTATTTTCTAACTTATAATTTTAAAAACACAATAATACCGGATGATTTATCTCAAAGAAAAACTTTTTTTTTAGTATATAAACCAATAAATAAAACTAAAAATAGATAATAATATATAAAATGATAAATTGAAAATAATTTGAATTTTAATTTTTTATTATTATTTTTGAAATAAAGTGTTTTGTGCTGAAAAAGATTAATGATTTTATTTTTCTCTCTCTTTTTTTCTCTCTCTCACTCATTTACTTACTTTCTCACCCACTGATTCTCTCTCTCTCTCTCTCTCTCTCTCTCTCTCTCTCTCTCTCTCTCTCTCTCATCCGATAACTGATAACCATTGTTGTTGCTGTTGTTGCTGTCGTTGAGTTTGATTTTAGTAATAAAGTCATTCATTCATACCATTCATCACTTGTCTATCTAATAGTTATGTTGTTTTGTATTTTTGTTGTATTGTTTTGTATGTCAGTCTAAACAATAGCAATTCACGACATGTATTCAAACAGCATTTTGTAGTAAATAAAGTATTATTGAAATTGCCGTAAAAACACGATATTTAATGATCTATAAATATAAAGAAAAACATCAGACTATCTGTAAACCCATACTATGACTTCCCATATAAATTGAATATAAAACTCATCGATAATGAGTGGACAGTCAGTGATGGACACAATCCATTAATCTTTGCCAACAAAATATTGATAAATATATTTATATTAAATAAATTATTTTATCTATAAATAATGTGTATAATTTATCAAACTTCATAACATAAAACTTGAATTTACTATATGTCTAATATAATAACTATAATAATATTAGATATATATATATATATATATATATATATATATATATATATAATTAAATTAATATTTATTGATAATATATAATATGATTGAAACTTATTTTTTATTCATTTTATGATATAATATATATAATATAAAACTTTTATTTAAAAGATATAAATATTAAAATAACAATTTGCTTGCGTTTCTATTATTTTAGATATTTTTTTGAAATAAAACAAAAACATAAAATTTTGATTAAAAATATCGACCTCTGGGCAAATGTTATATATATTATTTATATAAAAAATTGAAATACCTCTACAACAATATACAAATTCTTCAAAAATTATACACACAAAATGCAATTTAATTTTTTAGTATTGATTTAGGTAAAAACTACAGATATTTTTTATTTATAAATAACTGCATTATTAAATACTTTTAAAATTATTTTTTAAAATATCTATAATAAAAAACCTGTAGGTGAAATTTACAAATAAATAAATTTTTGTTTTAATTATATATGTTTATTTATAAAAAGTAACATTATTAATAAATTAAAAAGATTGTCTAATTATTAGATTATTCTTTTGAAATTATTTAACTTTTTTTATCGATATTGAAGAATAAGCTGATATTAAATATATGAATATATCATAAAAAATAAGCATTTATACAAAATTATTTTTTATCTATGTTTTTAGTAGTTACTAACTTTATTTGCTTATTGTTTTAAAACTTTTATAGTGACTTAAAACACTTTTTTTTTATCAATTTTAGCAATTAATAGACAGCCTATTAATTAAAATTAATATTAATGTTTACATAGTATCCTATTATATGAATTTATTGTATTTAATAACAAAATATATATATATTTTTAATAATCATGAATAACTTTATTTACCAAACTTATTTAAAATCAATATAATGAATTATTACGTTATTACAAATATAGATAAATATCAAAAATATTATCTCATAACTAATCTTTAATATATATTATCTTTAATCAGTGGTTTGCATAAAAGTTTAGCATAAATAAGACATGACATTACTTGTGGATAAATATCACAAATCAAATACAATATAAAACTAATCAATCATTTTGTTATATTAAATTTATGCATATTTATACAATAAAAATCACTGTTAAAGTGAAAATTTTTGCGATAATGCTTTTATTTTTTTTCGACAAAATATAATTAATCATAATTTTACGATAAATTCTTAGGGCTATAAAAAGTATTAATATTTTTTTAATAATTGATTTTATGAAATTATTGAGAGTGTTATTATTATTATTATTATTACAACATTGACTTACAGTAAGTAAACAAAACTTATTTTTAAAGTGTTTTCAATGATATGTCAATATGTCAGATATTTGATAAATTACATGATATTACTATATATATATATAAATATAATTTTTGAAGAATACATATTTTATATATTAATACAATTGATATTAAAAATTATAATAATATTTTTAATAATATAGCTTGTTATTACAAAATTATAATATTTTGTTTTTTAAATAATACAATTCTATTAAAATTAACTATTATTAATAATATTATAATTTTGTTACAATAACTTACATCATTAATAACTTTATGAATTATTTTATTATTATTTTGAAAAATTGGTTAATAAATTTTATTATAAAATTTGTTGTTAAATTTAATGTGATATTTAAATTATAATTTTAAACATTAATCAAAAATGCATATAATATTATTTTAATATCTCTATTATGGAAAACTGCATGTTATTAAGTTAAACGATGTATTTTAATGTGAATTACATTATTTTTAATATAATCTATAAGTTTACATTAAACATTTAACTTTTAATATTTTATATAGTTTGTTTATAAAAAGAAAAATGTATTAATATAAAGTACTGTATTTAAAAATTTTAATACCAGTATAAGCAAATATGCAAATTTGAGTGCAATAAATAATTATTAATAATTTATTTATTGATTAAAAAGGGGAAGTGTTGTCAAAATACTATATCATTGTTATAATACAGTAATATATGTACTATTATTTAAATGACTAACAAACACGTTAGGCTCATCTCAAGCGTAGATTTCTATCTATAGTTTAATAATAAAAATACATAATAATTAAAACAAAATGTTATTAGGAATTTTCAGCTAATGTGTATGTGTATGTGTATGTGTATGTGTATGTGTATGTGTATGTGTATGTGTATGTGTATGTGTATGTGTATGTGTATGTGTATGTGTATGTGTATGTGTATGTGTATGGTTCTAATTTTAAATTTATTTAAAATTTTTTATAATTTTTTTATAATTTTGCTTCAGCTTTTATAAGTTAGATATTTATTTGTAATCAATGAGTTAAAGGATTCAACAGTAATTAAGTGGGTGAGTATGTAAGTGGATAAATGCTTGAGTGGGTGATTAGGATAAGCAGTTTAAAGAAAACAATTAGATATACTCTTTAGACAATAATAGTATCTCAATTGGTTTATTAATAAAATAAATTCAATTTCTTATTTATTTGCTAATTTATGTTTTAAAAAATATTAAATAATATTCTTTAATTTAAAAATGTATTTTAAAAAAATCTGAAAAGCTTAAGCTAATTAATGCTATCTATGCCACTATTAAATTCAACTTATTATAATCTTATTTAACTAAAATTATTTATATTGTATTTATTGTTTACAAATATTTAAAGCAATTTAAAAATTTTCCATATTTTTTTAATGTTTGAATATTACTATTTTAATAAATAATAATTTATTTTTTAGTATGAAATGTTGCAAAAAGTTGCTGGGAGTTAGTCATCATAGTGATTATTATTATTATTATTATTACACAATAATAATCATCATTTGCTGGATTATGATTCATTCATAGCATATGATCCGTTAAATATATTATACAATATTGTCTATTTAATATCATAATTCCTATTAATAATAATAATGAACAGAATATTTGTATTTATATGTTTAATATAGGAATATAATAGAGAATGATATCTATAATGTATTCAAAACACGTTATATTATAGGCATGTCTACAAAAATTCATTGATTTCCCGAGAGATGAATCAATATTAAAAGTAAAAATGAATATATAAGTAAATAGTCTATTAAATAAATACACATTAAATTGACACTAGAAATATATTTAATAGTCTTAAAAATAATGAGTTTATTATTTAAAAAATAATAATAATAGTTAAAAGAAGCATTTTGTTTTATAAATTCATAAATAATTTTTTTGGGCAACATTTTCATAAATTTATTTTTTTTAAACTAAATAATTGAATTTTAATTATTTAACATTATTTACTACAAAAAGTAAAATAATTTATAGATGTTTTTCATAGAATTTCAAGCGTTTAGAGTTTGATTAATTGTTGATTGAAATTTGTTTCTCCTATTTATCGGCACATAATTGAATGGAAAAAATCGATATAACATTCTGCTGATAGCACTGTCACTCTTAAGACCCGTAGGTTTTTGGTCGGCATTAGGCAGTGCTTTATGGCATCGTTCAGATTGTGGATCAATGTGTTGATCACTACCACAAACCATCTCAAAGAAACCGAAATGGATTTGATCGAAGAAGATCTCAAAGTACTGTCTGGCTTCAGACCCGCAGTGATCTAAAGCCAACCGATCGGTACACAACTCTTTGCGTTTGTGAGCGCAACACAGTGTTGAAAACCAATCATCAGTATCACTGGTGGCCAAGTGATCAAAAGCCAGGAGATAATTGTTAAGACAGGGAATAGCATTATCCACACCAATCACGTTGTCATGTATGCATTGACCGTGTTTTAAATAGGCTTAACCACAAAAAAACAAGTAATGATTTTAATTAATGATAATTAAATATTTAGTATTTATTATTAGTCTAATTTACTCTGTCTCTGGGGTCCGTCATCACAAATAAATGCCCGAAACCTGATCTGCATTTGTTCGGTCACTAAATCAAACAGTTCCCTATGTAGTGGTGTTCCGCACCGTTTCAAGTGTCCGTATATACACTCAACGGTTTTGTTGAATCCTCTGCTCTCAAATAATATCGTTTTATTATTATTGCATTTTAGTTAATAATTTTATTTAACTATAGATTAAATATAAGCAAAATTGGATTAATATATATATATAGTTATATTTAAATGATATTGTCAAATATATTGTCAAATATATTGCTGCATTTTAAAAGTCATTTTTAGCTCAATGTTATATTGCATTTATTATTTATTTAAATTAATATTATTATGTAAATATTATACAATAAAATATAAACTAATTTATTTTAGTCTATTTTATTTTTTTTTAATTAAAAACATATGTTTTTATTATTTATTATACCGCTATTATATAAAAAATGTTATTTAATTAAATAAACAATTCATTTGAAATATATATTTTAAAAATAAATACGACAAATATTATAATTTTATTATAATTTAAACAATAAAGTACACAAATAAAAAATACATAAAAGATGAATTCAATCTTATTTTATTTGTAACAGTAATTATAGTAATCAGTCAAATTGATTGTCATTGTTTTTATATATTGAATCTCATATATTATGTGAAATAAAGTAAATTATGATTAATTAATACTCAAACTATAATCCATTTATTATATTAAGAGTAACAAAAAAGCTATAAATGGTATAATTCTCTAAACAAAAAACTTATCTAACCGTGCATTGAATGTCAGTATAATATTATATATAATGCAAATTATATTTTTTGTTATCTTTCAAGTAATGTAATAAATGTCAAAAAGCAAAAAAAATATCTGTTCTTAAAAACTATTGTTTTTACTTCATTAACATTTATTTGATGACAAATTACAAAATTTATTGCTTAAAAAATATATCATAATTAGTGTTGAGTAAAAAAAATATTTTAAAAATATACACACAAAAATAATTTTAAAAAAGTGTTTCTTATTTTTATATAATTTGTTATTTAATAAATTAGATAACTTATATATTTTATGGAAAAAAATATAAAAATGGCAATACTATAATACTTGTTAATTCTATATTAATATTAAATAATATTTTAATTTTTCAGAAAAATTTATAAAAAGTTTCTATTTTTCATATAAAAGATTTAAAGTATATTAACAAATTAGATATTAATAAATTAATAAAATTAATTAATCATTTTATAAAATAATGAAAAGTTTTTATAAATGTTTAAAATAAACAAAATTCTTGAATACTCTCCAAAGTAGTTTATCTTTTAATATATAATATAAAATGTTATATATTGAGACATTAGATGAAAATCTAATTTTAGTAACTAATAATCATTTATTCCGGGCATACATATAGAGATGGGCAAATAGAAAGTTTCTAATAAATTTCCCTGAGAAAGTTTCTAGAAAGTTTCTCAGGAATAAATTTCTATAGAAATTTAACTTTTTTGGTATACTATGGGATCCCCATATCTATAGATATTGTAAAACTATAAATATATTAATGAGACACTACTATACATATAATATTATACTATATAATGTAGATTACTGTACAAATGGGATACTTATATAAATAATTATAATTATTTAATAATAATCAGTTTTGTAAAATTTTATTCACCATTTTATTATATAATAGTTTTTAATAAATAAATTTTTTACTTTAATTAATAATTAAAATACTAATACTAATATTTAAATATTACTTATAAAAACAATGTTAAAGATAACAAATATCGAGAAAACAAAATTAACCATGGGGATCCCATAAATAGAAATTTCTTTTAGAAACTTTCTAGAAATTTCTCTATTATTTTATAAATTTCTCTTTTTTGCCAACACTACATACATAGCGTGAAATGGTATAGAATCCCAATTTATATTATATATACAGTGTTTTTATTTTATAATATTTATAAATGATATAATATTTTAGTCACAAAATATTTATAAGCATCTATCAGTGAAACTTTTGCTATTACTAACATTAAATAAATGATATAAAATATTATTTCACACAAATTTTTGTGATTTTTGTTTTTAAAATATCTGGAAATTATGAAATGTTATTTTTCTGTTGCTTTATTTTCCTAAGTTTTTTTGTTGTTGTTATTATTATTATTATTGCACTCAACGAAAATGATATGTCATTTGTTAATATTATAAGAGCCATGAGATCCATGAGCTGAACGGGAAATATGTGTTTCACTAATGTGGACATCATATTAGCTAATAGTGTGTAATAAAAATTATATAGCTTTATAGATAAATCGTATATATATATATATATATACTATAAGTTATACTGTGTATATGCGTTATATGAATATATAGATATAAATAATATTTTCTCTACACTAATGTATTAGAAATAAATGGATGTAAGCATTAAAAGTAAAATAAAAATAATACAAGAAAAAGCATTTATTAGGATTATTGTAGTTATAGAGAAATATTACTATAAAAATATAATAACAAAAATAATGACAGACTTATATGTAAACGGATTATTGAAGTGTCGCTATGGATATCATAATTTATATATTAAACTGTTTTATGATTTTGTTATCTTAACTAACTTATAACATACCCACAAAATTGGTCGAGTCCGGGACCAGTAGTGGCCAATCGGGTAGCATCGGGACGTTTGCCAATACCAAAAAAGTTGTCAAAACAATTATCAATACCAACGTTATGACAGCGAATACGTTTGCAATAAATTAGATCCAAATTATATATTAATACAAATGTTGTAATTGCAGTGAAATCTGTTTTTTTAAATAATAATTAATTTAAAATTAAAGAGGAAACTAAATTTATTATATTATAATAAATAATTTATACGCTATAGAGTTTATCTATTTGAATGCTTTAATATATTTAATAAATACGGTATAATATTGTGTTAATATTTGCTAATTATAAGTTTTATAAATTTATTTTAATACAACAAAATAGTTATTAAAAAATACAAGTTCAATGGCTTAACTTAAGCTGCCGGGTATGTTATTAATGTATTTAAAATTTATATTTTAATGAAATAATAATTAAGATTTGACATTAAACATTACTAGATAATAAAAATTTTAAAAATACAATAAAATATAAAATAATTTTCCTTAATATTTTTGGCATTATTTAAGAAGTCAATTAACTGGATAATTAGGGGATATTATATGTAATAAATAAAATAACAAAATATCTTTATTATTATTATTATTATTAATACAATTGCTAATTTATTAAATTTCTTAGAAACCAAATTAAACGCAAAATTAGCACAAATATCACACAATTATATATTAAGCAATTCATGTGAGACCTATTAAGTTAAATAAATTTATTTTTATTTCATTATGTAATTGACATATTATGACACTCTAGAGTTTGGACAGTTTGGACATCCATTTACTTACGGATTGTGTACTTCATAATGGATTCAGTAGTTGATAGTAGTAGTGGTAATAGTAGTTATAGTAGTAGTAGTTGTTGTTATTGGTATTGTTGTTACTTTTTGACTGAATTGTAAAATAAATTATTAAAGTATTGTTTCCATTCAATTCACTAATATTGCAAAACTAGTCTCTAAACTGCCACTGAATTATTAAGAGTTTTTATAATAATAAAATTGTAAACTATTATAGTAAATGAATTAATAAAAATGTATTTTTATTATATTATTTATTATTAAATAATACTTAAGTCAATGCTCAGTTTATTTGTTCATTAAATAATTATCATAGCATTTATTTTTCCTTAATATTACATTACATTATATGATATGCATACATAAAATGTAAAGGCAATGTAATTATAAACATTTGTAGAAAATTCACATATAATAGCTTTTGTCAACAAAAAAAATCCCAAAAGGACTCACATTTTTTTCTGGTAGTCCAGAGACTAAATGATAAAATAATGTCAAGGATAGGGATGAAAGTAAGTGAGTAAATAAATAATAGAAAGAAAGAGAGAGAGAGTTTTAAAAAATAAAACAAATATAATTAAATACCATTTACTTGGGTTTTAAAAAATCATATTTAAAGTAATAATAGATGTCTTCATTTAATTTCCCACAAAAAAGATTTTAGGATTGAAAATAATCATAATATTATAGTAGAGTTTTTGACTTTTATTATTTAAGTTATATACTGTATATACTGTACTTGTTGTGTATATGTTTTAACTATTTAATAATATAATATATATAATAGAAATAGTAATAAAATACAGTATTCTTGCTTTTATTGCTACTGTATTTTTGTGGTATTATTTATTTTCATGCAATCGGTTAGTCAAGTAGTTTACAGCAGTTTTTAGTAGTATTTGATTTAATCCCACGACCGGTACTTTTGCACGCATATTACTGACATATTTATTGTTTTATATTGTTTTATCACATTTTTTTGCAATCTATTAAATTTATTTTCAAAGAAACAATTAAAATTATTTAAAAATAAAGAAAAATATATTTTTTTTGTAATTAACAACATTTTAAAAAATTAATATCATATTTACAAAATAATCAGTTTAAAAAAATAATTTTTAATTTACTTTGATTTAATTTTACTCTTTATTTTCTATTAAATATTTCCAAAAATGTTATTTTATAATAAATTGTTAAAATATTTGTTTAATAATTGAATAAACTAGTTTAGCTTGGTTGTAATCAAATTTTATCTTGACATGTGTTCATTATAACTAGTGATTTAAAAACATATTTAATATTATTTTGACAATTATCTAAACACAACAACAAAATTGTGCCAATAATTGAGTACTAAATAAACACAAAACACATCTATTAATTCACTTTTACCGCAATATTTACTGATAATTCATTCACACAACAAAACATCTGAGGGCAACATAATTGTCGAAAATTGTATTTTACTTTAAGCTAAATATGTTATGCAATAATAATGTTATTACATAAGCGATTATTGTTATTATATGAGCAACAAAAAAGTTTTTTAAAAATATAATGATATTTAAATTAAATTTTTTCACATTTTAATTAACATCAATGGTGCAGTCATTTTTATGACATATCTAAATTGCTTAACTGTGTTATTCAAAATAAAATCAATTTTAATTTCATTGTAGATATACTGTACATTTCCTCAACAAAATATATTTGCAAACAAATTTACAATTAAGTATTTCAAAAGTTGATTTACGAATTGTAAGTCAAAAATAAATTTAATTTTATATTATTTGGTATTACAAAATAATTAAAACCCTAAACCCTATGTTAAATATCTAATATCTAAAATTTTGTTTGTCTATTAAAACATAATTTATAATATAATAAGTTTTATTATATATAATACTTCAAACAATTTGTTTGTACGAAGATTTACTTTTTATATAATTGTTATGGGATTTGGGTTTTTGTAAACAGTTAGGATATACAGTGTTTACAATTATTTTTGGTTGAATTGATTGCACTTGAAAATTGGATTTCATCTGAAAAACAGCTAAAGTAACGTTACATAAGGCTATTATCATTGAAAAAATCATTAGTGAATGACTTACTCTTGTTGTTTGTCAAGAGATTGCTATTAGTATTAAAAGTTTGTTTTTTATGAAAAGATATTTTTTATTTATTTATGTAAAAACTTTTTTCGTATAGTTATCTGTGATATAATGATTTTGCCAAAAATTAAAAGACTATTTGTTTTTATATTAATTTTAACGATATTTGTGTCGCAAATTTGTCCTCAAGAAGAAGATGATGATGAAAGTGATGATAGCACTGATGAGGGTTTGGATGTCGAAGAAGATAGTAGTGATAGTGATGGCAGTGATGGCAACGATAATGATGGTAACAATGGAACAGATGGATCAACGGAAAGTACTGATACGCAAAAGTCGACTACTATTGGATTGACCGCAACTACGACTACCGATATCCCAATCACTGCAAAGACAACTACAACCACAATACAAACAACTACTTCATTCATTACTAAGCCATCGGCAATAATAATAACAACACCATTACCAGTGCCAACCAAAATCAGTAATACAAGTACTCAAACTACAAACTATACCAAAACTACTGCCTTTCCCATTACTGTTCCTAATGATAGCAAATCATCAATGGAAGTGAAAAATGCAAAAATGTCTGATGAATATAGTGATGGTGATGAAGACACAGAAGATAAAGAGGAATCCGATAATAATAATAATGATAACAACAATACAAAGGAAAAGTCACAAACAATTGAAAAATCAAACGCAAAGGAAAATGTTAATAAAGATAACAAAAACAATAAAAAATCGGAAATAGAAAGAGAAGGATCTGTTAATAATGACAATAATGATGAAGATTATGAAGAAGAACCACCTGAGGGTACCGGTGAGGGTAGTGATTACTTTGATGAGCCAACACGTGAGGAACTCCTAAAAAGTCTTATTCAGAGAACTTTTAGTTTGAATACCATTAGTATGAGTGATATGCATAACAAAAGCGCTGACCAGAGATGGGTTGAGTTCATAACAGAAGTGGAAAGTGGTTTGGCGTCACTCATGAGGGCAATCACTCCCACAGCTTTAGATGCTTTCTACGAGATTCCCGAACTGAGCGCCGGCTGTTCCAACTCATTGTTGAGGATGTCTAATGGTATACAACAAACACAGGAGTGGGCCTTCAAAAGTTTGACATTTTTCATTTATTTTAGTTTTATTGAAAATCAATTTGTTTAAACATATCATTATAAGTTTAAATGTAAATTATTATTTTATATTATTATTATTATTATCTGAGATATTCATTTTATATAAAGATATACATATAGTAAAAAATATATAATATTTAGAAATATTATTTAAACTATTAATTAAATGTAAGAAAATGTGTAATCAATTTGATTAATTTTTTTCGGATAAAGTGCTAAAATTAATATCATTGCAAACACTGACTTTAGTTTAGGTTTAAACTATTGACTCCAATGATTGAAAAATAGTTTTTTGTCTTTACTCTTATCTCTACTCCATTGCCAATGGCATCACTGATATATATGTATGACTTACCAGTGCTTACAAACTGTTATATGCCTTTCCTCTATAAATTGCCTAAACTCTCTCAATTCAAGTCAATCTAAACTTTAATCTATTCCCTCAATTCACTGGTAGAGCCTATCATTATTAAGTAATCGATTAAAATAGAGGTTTTATTTAGCGATTAATATATTATTTGACTGCATCTGAGTATAATATGACCCATAGTATCAATTCCCTAATGATGAGGTAATTTATAATTAACTTCATTTTATACCCATTTATTGCTTTATATATCTAATACAGTCTACACTATTTAGCCCTTTTGTTGTTGTTTTTGCTTTTATTTTCTAAGCTAAAAGTTGAGTACACTTTTGTGTTGTTATTATCAAAACTTCTTTGCAATCAACAATACTATTGGGAGTAAACGATAGTCAGTTAGTCAATGAGTTAGTGAGTAAATTAGTTAGTAAAGGACTGTATGATTGTGAGTGAGTGAGTGAGTGAGTGAGTGAGTGAGTGAGTGAGTGAGTGAGTGAGTGAGTGAGTGAGTGAGTGAGTGAGTGAGTGAGTGAGTGAGTGAGTGAGTGAGTGAGTGAGTGAGTGAGTGAGTGAGTGAGTGAGTGAGTGAGTGAGTGAGTGAGTGAGTGAGTGAGTGAGTGAGTGAGTGAGTGAGTGAGTGAGTGAGAGAGAGAGAGAGAGAGAGAGAGAGAGAGAGAGAGAGAGAGAGAGAGAGCACTGGTAATTCATTTTAATTAAAAATAGATTTGTTGTTGATTTTCAATATAAAGTATATGAGAAAACTTTTGTTGTTTTTATAAAATAACAAAATTATATACAATATAAATTATATAATAAAGTTTATACTAAATTTTTTATTTTATTAATACCAAAATTAATGTGATTTAAAATTAAAATTAAGCAATTTTATTATTTTTTAAAAACATCTTTTTTAAAACTTTTATTAAAGATTATCATTTATTTTTACAGTCAAATTTTATTATTTTTTATTTAAAATTAAACATATACACAAATAATTAGTAATTTTCATAAAATAAAATATCACTAATTATTGAAAAAATATATTTAAAAACATTATTTAGTGCTCGACTCAAACGGCAAATTTCCTACGGGTTTATTGTCGGGCACACTGTCCTCTCTCGGAGCTTATGACCAGTGCTTAGAAACGGTGGCAATGGATGACAATAAAGAGCTGTTTAGAGGACAATATTGTATACTTAAAATGAGACCACCAATGCCTCAATTGAACGGTCGTATCAGTTATCATAGACCGGTAATCAGTCTGAATGGCAGCAAATGGGCCAACACATGGATAGACAGTCGTATCGCAGGTCGGTATGCGACCGGCTTTTATTCAACGTATATCTATAATGCCTTATGTCTACCATCGACCTGTTCTGTCAAAGAACTTAACGCCATAACCAGTAAATGTAAGTCAAGTTAACATTAAAATTATAGTTTTGCCGATAATTTATGATATAATTTACATGAAACCGTGATGTTGAGCATTATTATCAAATTATATACTACTAACTTAGGTTTAGAGATATGACTGTATATATAATATGAAAAATGTTGATTATTTTATTTTTTCTGTGTTGTCATTTGAATCAAACATTTACACCATTCATATATAAATATCTTATTATAGATATCGGCGATTACTTTGATGTTAGTCTAGATTATTGCGATCACAACACCACTGATAGCAATGGTTTGTCTATTATTAATACATATCGTGGCCTTAATGTTATGCAACGTATTGCTATGTGAGTAATGTTTGTATTATTTATATTTTTTCAAATATATTTTTCAATAAATGTTTTATATTTATTTTGTTAGAATTACTTATTATGGAAATATTTTAGTAAAATAGATAAAACATAAATTGTATATAAAAATAATATATTAATTATTATTACAGTATATTTCATATCCAAATATAATATAAACTAAAATAGTCTATTATTAGATTAAATTTCATTATTTAATTATAAAAATGTAATTGTATACGACTAAAATTTTATTTTAAAATTGCATATCTTATATTTAAATATATAATTTGAAATAAATACTCAATATTTTTACATTATTCTTACATAATAAGCTATAATTAATTGTAAAGCATTTTGTATTTTAGTTTTTAGAAAGAAAAAACTCATTAACTTTTATTTAAATTTTTTATTTTTGTTCAATATTTATGTAACATGTCTTTTCGTTAGCAATTATTTATTTTGCTAATTAAATAATTGCTAATTACATCAATATATCTTTGGTAGCATATTGTGTATGTTTTGCAATATACAGTATAATTTAAGAGTTATATTAGAAATAAAATTAATTAATTCAAAATAAAATAATATTAATTATTTAAAATTTAGATACTTATTATTGAAAAATAACTCAAACAAAATTTAAATATTTTATAAAAACAATATTAATTTAATTAATTAATTTAACAAAAAATTATGTACAAATATTTATATTATTATATAGTTTTAATAATATTATTATCATAATATTTATAGCATTATAATAATGGCATCAATAGTATTGGTATTTATGGGATCATTGGTTGAAATGTTTTGTCCAGATTTTGTAAAATTGCAATCATTTGGTCGACTTATTGCATGTTTTTCAATAATATCAAACACACAAAAGTTATTTTACATAAATCGCAATAAAATGGACAAAAAGTTGACATTTGTTCACGGGATACGTGTGCTGACAATGATTTGGATTATAGCCATACATACCTTTACTGTGGGAACACTGTTTGTACCGATGCTTATCTGTAAGTTTACAAATCCTAACTTAACTTTTATGCACTACTATAATACTGTATTATCTAATTAAATATATTATAGGCTTAAACTAGATTAGCAAATATATTTTAGATAATAAACTACATTTGATTTATGATATACAAACTAACCATTATTTAATACAACGTTTACAGTAACATTAAATATCATATGATATACACAATATATTTAAATTGATAAATAATATATTACTAAATAAATAATATATTATATAAATATTATGTTATATAATATAATTATTTATTTAGTTATTTATAATTAAATTTAAGATTTTAACATAAATTTTATTTTTATATTTTTGGTTCAATTTTGTGTTGTACTGTCAAAATCAAATAAAAATAAATTTATTTTTTATCTCGTAATTAAATTCAAATAAATGATTTCATTGAAATTGAATTTTATTCAATTATTGATAGACAATAACACACATAAGTTTTAAAGAAAAATAATAACATCAGAAAAAGTAATTCTATTTTTTTTTTTATATAATAAGTCTTTAAATATTTTTTTTCGTTGTTAACGTTTATCTTATATTTGCTTTAAAGTGCTTTTTGTAGCAAAAACTATAAGTTAATTAACCTTTAATTGAGTTCACATAAAAAAGTATTAGTTTTGAAGTCCCTTCTCTTATATGGGTATTATTTGCTCTACAAAAACATAAATTTTAATCAATTCAAAGATGTTTTTGTTATTTACTGTAAGGCTAAGCGTTTAAAACTTTTCAATACTTTTTTATTTTACAATAGTCTAACATTTTCATGAGAAACACATATCTATTTTAAAAAATTAATTTAATTTCTTATTAAGTTTTTTTTCAAAACAAGTTTAATTTACAAAAAAAATAAATAAAATAAAACTCTATAGGATTGTATTAAATTTGTGACACAAAAAATAGAAAAGTTGTTTTTAATTATTTAAATAAAAATAAAATACTTTTTTGTTATAAAAAGTTACTTAATCGATATATGTGTTTGTGTTTTAATTAAGTATTCAAACATTTGATAAGTAAGAATGCTATAATATATAATATTGATATATTGACTATATATATAGTATAGTATATATATATATATTATACTATTTTATTAGTATATATAATTAAAATAATTAAATAACAATATAAATTATTTGAAGCAATATAAAACATTATACTGTAGATATAAAAAATAAGTACATTAGTAGAAATTATATTAAACTTACAAAAATGATTATAATAGAAAATTATTATTATTATAAATATTTTTTTAATGATAGACCGTTTTGAAGACGAGGCCCGACAGTTTGGCAAACAACTGTCCACTCAATTCATATATAATGGTTATATATCTGTTAGTAATTTCTTTTTCTTGTCGGGATTGGTGGCCACCTATGTATCGATTCCTCTCTTTAACAAATCATATGGTCCGACATTTTTCCGATTTATATCTCTTCGTTGGTTTCGATTTGTGCCGTCTGTTATCGGTATCATATGTTTCCATATGTTATGGCCACTGATGGGTTCGGGACCGGTGTTCAAACAAGTCTCACAGCAATTGACTGAGCCCTGCACTACCAACTGGTGGACAAACATTTTATTCATAAATAATTGGTTTTTATTGCCGGATATGGTATGTATTAACAATTTATTATTGAAATCATATCTATTAATGAGACTTTGTGACATTTTTTACTATTATAACAAAATAGTAATCGTGTTTTTAAAGATTATATGTTTATGAATACATATTTACTATACAATATATATATATATATATAAATATCTATTTTTCAAAAAGAGTTCATTTAAATGTCATTATTTAACAATTAACTGTTTACACAACCAAATAATTAATGATTGTCACAAAAATATCCATTAATATTGTAGTGGAAAAGCAAATCTCGACTTTTGTTGACTATATTTTAACCTTAAGGGATATGCCTTTTTGAAAAATAATTTTTATTTTTCAATTAATTGTTTATTCATATCATTCTTGAAATATATATAATATTTAATACACATTATACTGTATGTATATATGTATATATATTTCATATTTTATAAATTTAGTTATTCCGACTCAACTATCATTTATCATTCAGACCCGACATTTATGAGTTGTCTATCAATAAATAGTTTATATAATTTATATTTTTCACTAATGGTGTTTATAGGGGAGTACATTAAAAGGCGTTTCATTACATTAGAGTATTGAATATTATTAGCAGCGATGTTATCATTAATTATAACATCACTATCATTAATATCAACCGATTGACTGGTAGTTCCTAAATATCTATATGTGTTTAACTCGCTGTTCCAATATATCCTGTGTCACCAGTGAACTGTCATTTTAGGCACTGGTAGTAGGAAATTACAACATAAAAATAATTTTAATAACAACTATTTTTTATATTTTATTTGTTATCAAATAGTAGATTTACTTTAAAAAATTTCTATTTTATCTTCAAAATAACAATAAAATTATTATTTTTTAATCTTAGAAATAAATAGCAATAAAATTAAGATATAATAAATTAATTAAGATTTAATGTCTGATATGAGCGACAAAATATCTATGAATAATAAACTTTGAATATTTTTATAATGCATTATTTAAATCTAGATTTATCAGATTTAGTTTTATATTTTAGTAATAATTTATTTAAATTATATCAGAATACTACTATAAATTATATAATAAAAATGTCAATTTTTATTATATATTCATAATTTTTAAAATAACAAATATTAACTATAAAATATAATAATTTACTGTTACTAATAAATTTGAATTAATAATTAGTTTATTAATTTCTAACAGTGTTTAGTACACACTTGGTTTCTGAGCGCTGATATGCAGCTCCATATGCTATCATTTTTTGCAATTCTGGCGCTAAGTAAGGCTAAGAGCTTCGGTATTATATTATGCACTGCCCTAATCTTATGTGGAATTGGCATACCGTCACTCGTCAACTACAAAACGTATGGTCCGCCGATGCCATTACCATTTAACGAGCCTGACCTGGACCAATTTTATCGCGACCTCAACACGCTATATCATCCGACATACAATCATTTATCCACTTATTTTATCGGTGTTTTAGTAGGTTATCTACTGTTTACACGAAAGGAAATTAAGTTTAGTCTACCATCCCGTGCGTTCATGTGGATAGTGCTACCAGTGCTGACACTGGGGGCCACATTTGCCACTTATTTGTGGACAGGACTTGATTGGCAATATAGTAGATTAACTGCCGCTACATATTCTGGTTTACACCGATTTATTTATATACTCTTTTATGTATGGATTGCCATCTATTGCTCACAAAATACTAAAAGTATGGATGTCTTTAAATATTTAATTGATTATTCATATTTCTAACGTTTAACTAAATTAATTATATTATATATTAACTATTTATATATATATATAGTAAAATTAATTTATTATATCTAAACATCTAATATTTACACTTAAAAATATTTATTTTGTTTTGACTGTTGTATTATTTTATATAATTTATGTTTTCTTTAGGTTTATTGAATCGATTCTTTAGTTCAAACTTTTTCATACCATTGAGTCGATTGTCATTTTCGGTATATTTGACACATATTTTGGTCGTTTGGTATTTTGTATTAGAGACCAGAGATATGATAAGATTTACATATAAAGACTTTGTATGTATTTTTCTCAAATTAAAAATTAAATCTAATATTTCATTATATATTTTGTTTTATAATTATATTCATAGATTTACTCAACTGGTGGTGTAATAGTTTACACATTTATAATATCATTTGTTTTATATTTATTGTTTGAATCTGTTTGGAGTAATATATTGTCATTGATTTTCAAGAAAAACCAGAAGAAGAATAGCGGGAATGTCGGCGACACTCAAAATGACCAAAAAAAGGCAGACATTAAACATAATTACATGCAATCAACAAATGGAAAGGATATGCAATTAAATTTAAGTGCAAACAGTGTCAGACATTTAGCACAGTTTACAAACGGTAGTAATGGTTCTCAGAGTAGCGATAATTGGAAAGAAAAGGCAGTCAAAGATATTAATGGAAACTCATTGCATGAATATAAAGTCGATTCAATACCCAGGGGTACAGTGTTTGTTGATGTTGATGAAGGTGTAGGTGCTTTGCATTCAACAAATACTCATATAAACCACTCGTTTATCTCTCGATATCATTCAGATAATAATAATAATAATACTAAACTTTAGACATTTATACAAAAATCTTATCTTAATTGCATTCATTTTAATAAAGTTATATAATTTTGTTAAAAGTATTATAAATACAGTATATGTAAAATAAAAATATTTATGTAAAAAATTTAATACATATTTCAAAAGTGTTTGATTTCTATTTTATATTAATAAAAATTACTTTTATTATTTAATATTATTAATTCGATATTCAAATAGACAATTGTTTATATAAATATAAACATTACAGATTTAATTTGAACAGTAAAATCAAACAAAATTACTAATAGTATATTTCCGATTTGATAGTTTTGTATATAGATAATTAAAATGTATATAAACTTACATACAGTATGTACTGTACAAATAATTTACATAGTATAGTGACTAAGAGTACCTGGTTCACATTTACATTTCATCAATTAAATTATTTTCAGATCTAGAATAATAATAATAAATTCAAAATATTTGATATTTTATTTAAGGAGAAATGAATAAAATGTGTTAAGTTATACTAAATAATAGAATTATATTATTAAAAATTTCCTGAATTCCTGAATACATTTATTTGGAAATTATATTTAAAACATAAATAATTGCATCCTTTATAATATGATATATTATTGTTAAGTATTAAAATAGTTTATATTGCAATGTTCTATACAGTATATTAACATTTGCCTAATATTGATGTTGCAAATTGACATTAAATGCAAATCAAATTATAATATTTATACTCTGAATTAATGCTTATATTGCATATTGTGATTCAATTTAACTCAATATAAGTTAATTGTATTATCAAAAGCCCAATAGAGATATTTGATTAAAATGGCACCAAATATATGGAAACCAGTATTTCCTGGAGATGTTGTTTGTGATGACAAACCATTGTTTCAAACGGTGTTCACTCAATATAAGAGCAAACATTGCAATCACTGTCTTATTGAGTCCGATCGGCTCAAGCGATGCACTGATTGTCTGAAAATGTATTATTGCGGTAAATATTGTCAGACACAGGACTGGAGGTCTTACCACAAGTTTGAATGTCAAGCCTTCAAAAAGCTGGACAAACCTTTGGACAGATATTCCAATAAAATCCTATTACTGTTAAGATTATACTTCTATATCAAATCAAATCATTTGTTTGTCACTAAAAATCATCGACAGTTTGATGGCACAGATATATCGCTTAAAGATATTAAAATTAATGAAAAAATCAAAACATTTTATAATAATAACGAATTAAAAAGCCTGTTTAAAGACCTAAAAAATTGTGGCATTAAATATGATATATCTGTTATACAGCATTGGTATGCATTTATCAAAAAATTTACAAATCAATCGGTATATCCATTGATCAGCTATGAGTGCAGTCATTTGGAGTATATCACAGCCAGTGGTATCAAAGTTGGTTACGGACTCTACACTAAGTATCTAACTCTCAGACATTCGTGTTGTCCTAACAGTGCTCTTGTAGCTGATGGTAGGTTATCACAGATGATACTGAAAATCTTATAATCACTTTTTATTTACAGAAAATAATAGACTTCAGTTACGAGTCATGAAACGTGTGCCCAATGGACAGCACCTGACTATAAGTTATGTGAATTTAGTTTTGGATGACAATGATAGACAATCCAAGATAAATGGGCACTTCATTGAGTGTCAGTGTCGCAAATGTCGACAACATATTGACCGTTCAGTTGATTTTGCTCTTATTGCTAATATGACTGATCCAAAGCTAATGCTAAGCATTTTGCAAACTCCTACACCTTTCTTAAGAAGTCAATTGTTTGCAAATTTGCTTATAAAATGGCCTAAATTTCTGAGTCAAAGCTCAGTCGTGTTTGGCAATTATCACCCGATTAAGACACAGGCGTTACGCAATTGGTTAGGAATGTTGTTTACTATCGGACACACCGACAGACAACTTATTGAATCCGTTTATAAAGAGTTTGTCACATCCATTGACATCACTCACGGACCCAATCATCGATATAAACATCAATCCCAGCAAATGATCCGTATTTGCCACGAATGGATCGCACACTTTGATACCAATTATCAACATATTTACAGAAATACATTTAATATGTTTTCGTTTATCCATTTAATCAATATTTTAGATCAACAATGAATTATCATTTTTGTAGACTTTATGTACCGAAACTTTTTTTTGTCATTTTTTTATCTAATTTTTATTTCTTAAATTCAATTTAAATATATTATTAATGTCTTTATAACTAAAATTGAATTATACTAAATAATTTTAACTTTGTTTTTTCTATCACCAAAAAAAATATTTTAAAATATTATAAAAATTATAAATAATTTTTAATGGGAAGTAACAAAATATAATCAATAAGTATATAAACATATTTTATTTATTATTGATTATCAACGATATTCAATATCAGAAAGATTATACTTATGAAAAATGATTAATATTTATAAATGTTTTATTATGTTATTATATATTCTGTAATAAAATAAATATTTTATTTATAATTTGCATTTAATATATAATATGATATTAATGTTTTGAAGAAATTGTCGGAATTTATAAAATAAACTGTACTTTTCTCACAATTCAAAGACTAAACTGTAATAAAGTGCTAAAAATAATAATACATTTATAATGTATAACATAATATACATTAATTCATTATGTATTCATTAATACTGTCTTAACATTTCATTTTTGATTACTACTACTGTATATACTTTAAACTTTAAGAGTAAAAGCATACGATTGTTATACAGATAAGTAAAAATATTAGGCGTAATAACTAATTAATTTATATTATAATATATTATACATTTTAAGTGAATATTTATATTTATAATTATTTTTATAACTATTACATGTACTCAATGTATGATATGATTGCAATACAATAAAGTCTATGAAATATTCAGTTAAAGACAGACAACACATGTATTGAATTCAACATTTATAACGATTAGAGTCTGTAATCAGTGATTGTTTAAAAAAACACATGAAAATGTGTCCAAAAGTGTCCAAACAGTTGTCTCCGGGAGATATCATCGGCGAAGACAAACCATTGGTCTATATTGTGGACAATAAGTTCAAAGACAAACACTGTAACCACTGTTTTAAAGAGTGTCAACAATTGAGACGATGCTCTCATTGCTGGCAATTGTATTATTGCGGTAAAGACTGTCAATCGATGGACTGGAAGTCATACCACAAGAACGAGTGTCAGATATTCAAACAATTAGGCAAATATATGAACAGCTATACGATGGAAGTGAAACTTTGTCTTCGGCTATACTTTTTACTCAAAATGGATCAGTCATTTGCCAACCAAAAACACCAACAGTTTGATGGCACCGAAGTTTCTCTCAATGATATAGACCTCAAAGTAGACGAACTAGAAGGTGATAATCACTATATGCGTGAGTTTCGTGAAGTTCGTCGACATCTTAAAGACTGTGACATTGTCTTTGACGGCAATGATCTTCTTCATTGTCTGACATTCATCCAAACACATCGCAATCATGCCGTCTATCCATTGGTACTCTTTGGCTGTTCTCATGAGACGTTTGACATTGGATTAGGTCTATACACTCGGTTCCTCACATTGAGACACTCATGTTGTCCCAACAGTGCACTCATTGAACAGGGTATGGGTTGTATGGGTTGTAATCATGATATTAAATATTGATTGAAATGTTATATTATAAACCTTTAGGTGAGACTCGTATTCAACTTCGTGTATTAAAACCATTAACCGCCGGACAAGAAGTTCTTATAAGTTATTTCAGTATCGATAAGAATCGTAAGACACGTAAAGCTATGCTCAAGAGGTTGTTCATCGACTGTCAGTGTGACAAATGCGAGAACAATATCGACAAAGACGTTGACTATGAGCTCATGGATGAGATGACTGAAGCTTCGCAGTCGATCCCAAATACGATGTTTATGATAATGACAGGCAGTTCCCAATCATCTGTATTTAAAAAATGGTTGAGTCGTTTACCTAAATTTTTGTCTGATTTGGATGTAGTGTTTGGAGAGTACGGATCTATCAAAACATTGGCTTTACGTAACATATTAGACACACTTGTGGCCAATCGGTGTACCGATAAAGAGCTAATCCAAAGTCTTCTGAAAACATTTGTTAAGGCAATAGACATCACTCACGGACCCAAACATTACTATAAAGATATGTCAATGAAGACAATACTCTCTTCTAATTACTATTTGTCACGTCTTTAAACTTAAGTTAATGTTTCAGTAATTTATTATTTAATAATTGAAATCTACATAATTTTTGATAATTTTTATTTTTTTTAAATTTAAAACTAAATGATAAATGTTGTTTATCATGATTTAATAGCAACATTAGTTAAGTCAAATTAATAAGTATTTCAATATAATTTTGTTTAATAATTTTTCAAATAAATATCTCAGTTTTAGGTGACTTACGTTGTCTATTGTGTAAGTAATAAGCATTTTATAATTATATAAATATAGTTATTAATAATCAAAATTATTATTTGATAACAATTGACAATAACAAAAATAATTAAGGTACCGTAATATAAAACTAACTTATTATGTAAAGTATCAAAGTAAAATTTATATTGAATTTTCAAAGTTTGGTATAAAATTTTATTACTTAATTTATTAAAAATGATGTTTTGATAATTTTTATATCATTTACCAATAATTGTTAGTTAATCTGATGGTAAAATGATATTCAACAAAAATTAAGTTATATTTTCAATACAGTATTTAACTTTTCCACACATTTAAAGTTATTTGATATAACCGGTAAATTATCATTTTTGTTATATTATCATAATATTGTGTTGAATTAGTTTTTTTAATTTATGACGAAATAATACTATTTAAAAAATGATTTACAGAATATTATTAAAAAAAATTAATTAATGATTTATAAACAACACATTAAACACACTATTTAATCATAACTTTTTATTAGATTTTTGTTAATTTAAATAAATTTTCAATTATTTATATTGTACTTAATGTATTACTGTATTAATATTGTTTATATTAAAACATTTTTATAAAACATTGTGTTAATTACAGCCATTAATGCTAAAGTATATGTTGGTAAATGTATGAGTGTTATTGTTAGAGATATAATGGTGTCTAATAAATGGTAAATTAATTAGATATCGTACCCGAAATTATTAAAAGATGTACAGGGTGATTCTAACAAATATGAAAAGAGGAACAGGGTGATTCTAACAAATATGAAAAGAGGAACAGGGTGATTCTAACAAATATGAAAAGAGGAACAGGGTGATTCTAACAAATATGAAAATGGCAATTTTTAAAATATGTATTTTAAGTTAAAAATTTTAAAAATATAATATATAGTATATATATTATATACATTAATAGATTTATTAGATATAATTAGGTTTCGATAAAATTCTATTCCTTTTTATATTTCAAAAGTTCCTTATTTTCATTTCTCCCTTAGAATTCCCAGTAAATCTATTTGATTTTGTAACCATCTATTGAATCCTAAACAACACATTTTATTATAATGTTTGAAAAACAAATGTTATATTAAACTCTATTTTGAGTGGTATTAATAAATAGTATAAATAAATTTATTGATTTTGATTTTAAATTTTATTTTTAAATATTTAAGTTTTGGTACTACTTATTGTAATACTATAAAATATATTTTACTTTTTAACAATGAAGAGATGGAAAATAAAGTATTTTCTATATTTTCCGGAAAAATGGAGGGACTTATTAGGGAACTTTCCTCCATTGGGAACTCTACTATTGCACGAACTCTACTATTAAGTAATATTTTTAAATATAATTTTCAAATAAATTATTTTACTAATAGTAGTTATTGAAATTTAACATTAAATTGTAATTTGCTAATTATTTTATGATTAATAGACAATATTTAAGTATAACTATATTTACAATATATGTAATAGTAATTTAATTCACAAATATATTTTTATTGAAAATATAATAAAATAAATTCAAAATTTAATCTTATATAAAATATTTATATAAATTTATTTTGGTCCAGACAATAATAAATTTTAAAATTAAGTTTTATAAATTATTAACAATCAAATTAAAGTTAATACACAGGATGTTTATCTTACTGTAAATAACAAAATATTTTTTTATAAAAAAAATTGTTTTTAACGTTTTTAATTTAAACAACAAATAAATTATATGCAAAATGATAAAAATATATTTATTGATAGTAAAAAATTTAAATAAATAATAATATAATTTTTAAATTAATTTTGGACTACAGTTCATCATTAAATAATTAAAAATTATTGTAAATTTAAATTAAAGTAAAAGTTATTTTAAAACATAATTTTTAGTTTAATAAGCAAATAAAATAATTAACATTTAACGCGCTGACAACAAACGTGTGCCATCGGCACAAATCGATGTTTTCCTTTGGTGACAAAACAGTGCCATCGGCACAGAGCCAATTGACCAATCAAAATGAATCGAACAAAAAATTAAATATTATTGAATTTTAATTTTATCTATAAGTTATTAAGAATTAAATTTATGTATGTCTTATAATAAGTGATGCTCACATATAGTGGTTTTTATAATCTAATGGTAAAAATAGTTGAAGATAGTGATAATTAGATCCAATTATCATCTAATGGTAAAAATGGCTGAAGATTGTGATAATTAGATCCAATTATCATCTAATGGTAAAAATGACTGAAGATAGTGATAATTAGATCCAATTATCATCTAATGGTAAAAATGGCTGAAGATTGTGATAATTAGATCCAATTATCATCTAATGGTAAAAATGGCTGAAGATTGTGATAATTAGATCCAATTATCATCTAATGGTAAAAATGACTGAAAAATAAATGAAATATTTGACATATTCCTAACTTCATCAGTAAATATTACCATTATATGATAATATGACCTATTCCTCAACTTCTTCAGTAAATATTACCATTATATGATAATATGACCTATTCCTCAACTTCTTCAGTAAATATTACCATTATTTGATAATATGACCTATTCCTCAACTTCTTCAGTAAATATTACCATTATATGATAATATGACCTATTCCTCAACTTCTTCAGTAAATATTACCATTATTTGATAATATGACCTATTCCTCAACTTCTTCAGTAAATATTACCATTATTTGATAATATGACCTATTCCTCAACTTCTTCAGTAAATATTACCATTATACGATATAATCATACATTTATAGGTTTAGCTAGTATATGTTAAAATATTTGTAATTATTCTAAAACCGTTGAAAACTTAATAATAGATTAAATTCTGATTGGTCTAAAATTAATTTAATAACACGCGCCATAACAATCTGGTCACTTAAGGTAAAAATAGCTAAATTTGAATGACTTCAGAGCGTTAATAGATTTATTATAATTACAACTCAATGCATTATTATTTAACAAAATTATCACATTGTAATAGTATACTATATAATATTAAAATTTAATTTTCAAACATTTTCATTGTATGACAATTTGTTGTGAAATAATGTTATCTTCAATTAATTGATATCATTTATGAAAGTTATCAATTAATATAATATAAATAAATAATCAATTAAAACCTAAACAATAATAATATTAGTTCACATAAATACTAATCCAAAATTAGTGTAAATTTATATCGGTTTAAATGGCTTACTACTGTAATATACTATATAATAATATCAATGACAAATGTACAATCAAATAAAAAATATATATAAATTTTCATCAGATATACTGTACTTATTACTTATTAGTAATAAGTTATTACTGTATTTATTAATATATTATATTTTAAATTATTTTTATAAATTATGTAATACTAATAATTTATAAGCATTCAAATAGACGATGAATGAGATAAAAGATTAATAATTTAATTAATGATTGGCTATTAATAGTTGACGTCAAAAATTTAAAGTTTTATATTGAATTACTAATGAATTTTTGCAATTAAATTATAGTATATATTAAATAACGACAATTCTTTTGCATATTTTTAATATAGAGAGCGAAGTGTAACAAACAAAAACCAGTTCATAGGTTTGTTAATCAGATTATAAAATGAGTATAAAAGCCAAAACTGATTTGTCGTTTCATATAATAATTTATATCACTTTTAGCTGAATATTTGAATAATTATAAAATATAAATAATAAAATTACTATTACTTAATAATGTCTGACTTTAATGAATCGTTAGTCGGTGTTATCGAGCACTCGACAAATTATGTGCGCTTCTCAGTGTTTGTCAGTCAAACCGGTCAAATCATAACCTATTATCAACTGGAAGTCAATAAAATATTGCCGCGCGAGGGTTGGATTGAACAGGACCCGGTTCAAATTTATGAAACAGTACTAAATTGCATTGAAGTGGTTGCAAACAAATTGACACAATTAGACATTGATTTAAAACAAATCAAATGCATTGGTATTACTAATGAACGCGAGTCTACAGTTGTTTGGGACAAATATACAGGTATTGTATATTAATTTTATAACAATATTTTATAAGCATTTAATTATTCTGCTTATATTTTTTGTTATTATTTATTTTATTTAATATGTTAATAATATGTATGATGTTTATATATTTGTATATTACAACTAAAATTGTTGTAAACTGTAGATATTTTGGTTTATAGCAGAAATGTATAGAAATATTGATATTTTTAAAACATGACTTTAGTGTATAAATTATTTGATGAGTTTAATTTTGATTAAACTAATAATAATTTCTATTTGTTTCGTGAATTATCAAACTTATTAAATAAAGATAGACATAGCACATGACAAGACCACATAATATATATATATATATATATATATATATATATATTATAAATATTTATAGAAAAATTTAATGCTTATCATTTTTTTCTTATTTTTAACTTTTATTTTAGACATATATAATATACACTTGTATTATATATTTGTTTTATAATAATTTTTAATTTAATTATTCTTGACTACATTACTAAATAAAATAGATTAGATTCTACATAAAAACATAGATTAAAAGTAAAATTTAAATACTTAATGATTATGATATTTGATTATAGTATAATTTAGATGTGTTGTAATTATAGGACAGCCATACTATAATTGTATTGTATGGTTGGATAATAGAACAAATGATTTAGTGGAAAGTTTGATTGACAAAATCCCGGGCCGTGATATCAATTGGCTTAAAAGCAAAACAGGTCTACCCATTAGTACATACTTTAGTGCACCCAAACTAAGATGGCTTATCGATAATGATCCGGAAATATATAAAGCAATTAAAGAGAAACGTTTACTATTTGGTACAATTGACACCTGGCTATTATGGAAACTAACGGGTCAGCACATGACTGATGTGACAAACGCCAGTCGGACACTGCTTATGGATATCGAGTCATGCAATTGGGACGACTATTTGCTCGACTTTTTTCATTTACCGAAATATATTTTACCAGAAATCAAGTCGTCGTCAGATTTTTACGGCACACTTACTGTCAGTGAACTTAACGGCATTCCAGTCACTGGTAAGTCATATCGGATAGTATTTATTAATATAGATTATTTGATTAATAAAAACAAAACAAATAATTAAATATTCATTATAATATTAAATAGGCGTTATCTCAGATCAAAGTGCAGCACTGGTAGGTCAAAAATGTTTTGGTTTAAGCCAGACTAAGGTCACGTGTGGAACTGGTTGTCATATTATACAGAACATAGGTCCCGGGCCAGTAAATGGAGCACTTGAAAGTGTGTCCACAGATGCCAAAAAAAATTTATTGATAACAATTGCTTTCAAACTTGGGGCACAGCCAACCTATTATGCTATTGAGGGCAGTGCTGCTATTGCCGGCGCCGCCATCACTTGGCTTCGGGACAATCTGGAGGTAATCAAACACTACAGTGATGTCGAAAATATAGCAGAAATTGAGGACAATTGCGGTGGCGTTTACTTTGTACCCGGTTTTCAAGGTTTGTCTCGTTTTTCAAATTAATATAAAACATTGAGACATAAGTATTAATATTGATATATATTATATAAAATTACTTTAATTTAGATATAAGAGAGTATTCAGGAAGAGTTGAAATTTTATAAAAACTGTTTAAAGTCTAAAGTATTCAAATACAAGATAACTGTTTTATCTTAGTTTAATTGATTAACACTTTTATCATTAAATCTTAACTCATACTTAACTTTTCTTCAAATCTAGATTTAGTTATTATATCAATTCATAATTACTGTAAATATTTATTTATTTTATACATTTTATTTTAATTGTTTATATTAATTCTTTTAAATTGTATTATTATAGTAGTACTATATTGCATAATATATTATTTAATTCATTATAACTTACAGTATTTTTCATTAATAATAATATGATAATTATACTTTAATATGATTTACCAAATTATGATTATTTTAAACTAGGTTTATATGCCCCGCACTGGGACTCTAATGCAACGGGAATTATACTGGGATTTACTCAATATAGTCGAAAATCGCATCTAATTCGGGCAACAGTTGAGAGCATTGCCTTTCAGGCTAATGATATACTGTCACTAATGAGATCCGATACTAATGGTATCAAAATTGACGGAATACTGTCCTATAATAATGTGTTATGTCAAGCACTTGCCGATCTGGCCGGTGTTACATTTATGAGACCAAACATTTGTGATACTATATCACTGGGCGCTGCAATGATGGCAGGCTATCAGTTAGGTATTTGGGATATCAAACCAGAACCTGACTATCGATGTGTCATTGAAAGACCTGTATTATCCAATGGAGTGACCAAATCTGTATCATCAATGAAGATAGCGATGAGAAATGAAAATAATAATAATAATAACGAGTTTTTCGGCGAAAACTTTGCCGATATTTTTGTGCCTAAAATGACTGAAGATATGAGACATAAAAAGATCGGAATGTGGAGGTCGGCCGTTGAAAGAAGTCAAAAATGGACACGAATTGAAAGGTTAGAACATAAACAACAAGACTATAAACGACTGTCCACTTTGCCATTCATTGCATTTGCTTTAATGTCTTTCGGCATTCATATTGTTAGTCAGTATTAAAATATATATTTTTTTATAAATTTTATTATTTTTAAGCAACTTTTTAATTTTTACAAGTAATTGTATATTTATGTATTTAATTATAAAAATTTAATAAAATTACATCTATTTTATCAACAATAATAACAAATCTCTTTCACTTTCTACTGTATGACAATAATTATGAATTTTGTTATAAATTATAAAATTTTATTTTTTTGTTATAAAAATTATGAGGTTTCTAAAGTATAATACATTTGTATTAATTAATATAATTCAACACCATCTTCTCCAATGAACTATAAACTATAATAATATTATGAAAATAGCATAATATTTAAATTATTTTAATAATGTAAAAATAAAAATTTTTTAATTTCCATAACATTTTGTTTAAATATTTAATAAATATTTATATTGAAAATTGTTATTTAATGCAATAGATATTATATCAAATGATAAAATTAGAGTTTATATCATTTGGTGAAAGAGTCTTAAACAGCGGCGACGCTATTAATTACAATTATCTGGTAAACAAGTGACCAAATGTCAAAATTGGATAAAATTATACTTGATCATTTTTTTATTTGTATGATTGATCAGATAATTTACACTAGTCCTGCAAATAACAAATTTTTAAAATAATAGTTGACTGCAATTATCTGGTCAATCATACAATTAATTTTTAAAAAATGATCAATTACAATCTTATTAAGTATAAAATTATTTATAACTTTGACATTGGTCACTTTTAAATCTAATGTATTGTTGATCAAATAATTTTAATTAATAGCGTTTTATCGTTATGTTTTTGAGTCTCTTTTATTTTGTGGTAAATATTGTTTGATTTTAAAGTATTAATGTTTAAATCTAATCCTTTAAATTAGTGTAATATAAAGTCAACTAAACAACCATTGATTTGAATCTTTTTTTTCTTATAATATACAGTATATATTTTTTATTTAAATTTTCTAAAAATTTATCACAATTTTGAAAAGTTACAAAATTGACAATTTTTGTTATCAAAAATACATCTATAATAAACAGTATATTTATAAATTGAATTGAGTTACTACTATACAACTGTACAAATTATTTTGTGTTAATAACAATATTAAAAAATAACTGAATATAATTATATTTTTCTTTTAATTACTTACAATAATAAATATTATTTAATCATTAGGCAAACAATTCAACCATAATGCAAAAGTTGTTATTTGAGTCTACAGTATTTTTTATCATTGATCAATAATTATTTTAAGCATTTAAATATTTTATTGCATTAATTTAAATAATACTAATTTATAGATAGTATAAAACGTATTTACAGCATTTGTATTTAATTTTAAATAAAAACTTATTAAAAATGTTGAATTATTATTAAATGATTTATAATCATAAATATAAAATTAATCAATTGATATATTATTTTTTAATTAATCTTTTATTCAGAAACAAATTTAATTGGCACTTTATAACGTTTACTAAGAAATTGTTCAACTAATTAAATTATTAAAAATTTATTGTTATTAAAACAGTCATAAATTGCAATGTAACCTTGACAAACAGGTACAATAAATAAATCTTCCTAATATTTATATATAAATTGTATTTTTTTAATTTTAAGCACAAATATTTTAAATCAAATTAGTTTAATAACATGAATATGAGAAAAATATGGATAACACAATTGAGTAAGTTTTAAATTAATAGATAATTAAAAATATATTTTTAATTAATGTTTTAATATATATTTTTTTAATTCTAGAAATAGTTCTAATAAAGAATATGAAATAATTGATTTAAATGAAACACTTGATAATATAAATAATGATATTAATAATAATGATAACAATATCAAAAATATTGAAAATGAGACAAATATTAAATATTATACATCATATAAATTTGTTTGTCGTAAATCAGTTTTAACGTAAGATAAACATAAAATAAAACATTTTAAACAATAAATTTAACTTAATTTTATTATTTTCATAAATAATAGCGAATTATTTGAAACCAATAGTGATGTCAACTCTTTGTTTAATCTAATTTCTTCGTTCGTCTTTACGACTGTTGTGTGTTATTCTGGAGTACTTTATTTCGACCCAATTTTGTACAAAATATTATTATTTTTTATTTTTCAATATTTAAATATAAATAATAATTTATATATTTTTATATTAATTAGATTTAAAAAAGATTTCGATGATGTCTTATGGGTTATATTTGATATTCCGTTGGCATTAATCACATGGTTTGCAATGTTTTCAACAACTTATTTGTATTTTTTCTTAAATTTGTTTAAACATCATTTGATAAAACGTTTTTCAAATAATTCTTCAAAAATAACATTAATATTTACTATCATTTATATCACTTATTTACTAATGTTTTTGTCGATTGGATTTTTAATGCAAATTTTTCAACATTACAATCCATTTATAGCATTGGTATATTTAACTGAAATTGTAAGATAATTAATTTGTATTTTAATTTTAATAAATTATTAAATATTATTATAATTATTTTCATTTTTCTAAACAAAAGTGTCGATTTGTTTTAAAAATACACTCACATTATATGGAAACGAGTGTACAAATAAAATATAATCAAATACCAGATAATAATTTATACAAAAAGTTTTATAAATTTACGTATTTCCTATTTGCACCTACACTAATTTATCGTGATAAATATCCAAGGTAATATTTTTATAGAAATTTTTCAACTAATGATTAGTAATATGTAACAATATGTAACAATATGTATGTTTTATTTGATATATATAGGACTAAATCAATTGATTGGTTTCTTATTATTGGTTATTTGATACAATGTCTATCGATAGTAATATGCGGACTCATAACTCGCAACATATTGTTGTCCACAATATCACAAATAGGGTTAAAGTCGTACCGCAAAAGTGACATATTTTGGGTGATATTAATGGGATATTTAATTGCATTACAGCACATGTATACAATAGTTTATGGCTTTTTTCATTTAATTCAAAATATTTTTGCCGAACTCTTGCGGTTCGGTGACCGACACTTTTATGGCCCGATATGGCGTACGACACGTGTGGATGAGTTTGTTAGAGATATTGATCCAATTGTTTCAAATTGGATTTATGGCTACATTTACAGTCCTTTTGTTAGAAAAACTCATAACAAACTGTTTAGCATATGTTTGGTATTTATAATTTCTGGTATAATTCATGAGCTGATTATGTCAATGATGTTAGGCTTCCTGTTTCCTATTATGCTTTTACAATTAGGTTTAATTATAAGTGAGTATCATTAATCATCTAATTGTATTTAAATACAGTAATTGACTTAATGATGAATGACTTTTTATTAATTTATAGATATAGCAGCGATTGTAAATAAATTAAATCCATTGCAATCAAATAATATAATAAACTTTTTGTATCAATTTGGATCATATTCAATAATATCAATGTGGATAACAATGTATATAACTGAATGGTATGCCCGTAACAATGGTCACTGCCCTTCAACACATGTTAGTCTAAATTTGTCTTTATTTTAGTTTTTAATTCATTTCTTATATTTAAGAATTCATTTATGGATTACGTTTTGCCACGATTTTGGAGTTGTATTACTTTTGATGTTTGATTATATATATAAATTTAATTTCATATTTTCAATAAAATTAAAAATCTTTATTTTCAGTAACTATGATTTATTTATATCTAAATAAAATATATACTTAATCAATATGATAAAGTAAGTAAACATAAAAGATAAGAATCAATGGTTCAAAACATCAAAATAAACGTAAAATTTTTATTTCACAATTTCCTAGTATTTAATTTTCTAAACATATTATTCATTTTTAAATGTAAGGGAAAGTCCCGATAAAAAACTTGTTACACTTTTCAAAGTAAAGCTTATATACAGACTGTATAATACAGTATATAACAAACTATGGATAAGAGAGAGAGAGAGAGAGAGAGAGAGAGAGAGAGAGAGAGAGAGAGAGAGAATTTGAAGGCAAATGTTTAGGTGGGCTAACCTTTACAGTGTGTGCTTCACTTCATTTATAAACTTGAAAATAAGTTAAACTATGTTTATATTTGATTATAAACTTAAAGTGTAAGCACAATACTATACGTTTAATATATTTATAGGATATTTAATATTAAAAAATTTTTGAATTGATATTTAATAATTTATTTAATAAACAATGAATAATAATTATTCTAATAATGTAAATCCAAACATATTTGCTATTAATGTCGAAAATGTGAGCTTTTCTTATAATAACAAAAGTAATATTTTAAATGATGTAACACTAAAAGTAAATAAAGGTTAGTAATATTATAATTTTATCAATAATTTTATTTAAAATAGTATTAAAATATTTTTTAGGACAAATCTTTGCATTATTGGGCTCTAATGGTTGCGGCAAAACAACATTGTCTCGACTTATATTAGGTCTATTAATGCCAACTAATGGAACCGTCAAAGTATTTGGCCAACAGTTGAACACTAATCCACTGACCATAGGATATATGCCACAAGAGATGGCCCTTTGCTCTGAACTAACTGTCCGACAAATACTGTATTACTATGGGATGATCTATAATATGACCAACAAATTAATTGAACGGCGAATTCAAGAGCTAAATGAGTTGTTATGTTTGCCTAAACATAGTCTAACTATTCGTAAACTAAGCGGTGGTCAACAAAGATTGATATCCATTGCCGTCTCAATTATACACAAACCAAGACTACTTGTGCTCGACGAGCCAACTGTAGGCTTGGATTCAATACTTAGGGCTAGAATATGGAGTTATTTGGAAAATGAATGCAAAGTAAATGGTATGATAATTAAAATTTACTCAATTTATAAGTAAATATTTTTTATATATTGATTATATAAACTATAATTAACTTAAATTTTCAAAGATCTGACTGTAATGATGACAACCCATTACATAGAGGAGGCAAAGAAGTCTTCGAGTGTTGCCTTTATTCATAGCGGTATTTGCCTAAAACAGTCGGCACCAGAACTCCTACTCAATGAATACCACTGTCCAACACTTGAAGAAGTTTACTATTATTTATGTCTTGATTACAATAGGAATCAAAAGCAAAATATTAAATCACAATATTTTGCAAACAAATGTCAAACAAATTTAGAAAAATCTACTAAAAATAAAAGTAAAATTAGACCAAAATTTCAAATCAATGCAAATCATATAATGACATTATTATGGAAAAATTCAATCCGTTTGAAGCAAAATTCAATGGCTTTATATATTTTTCATTTATTCCCACTTTTATTAGTCTATGGTTTGAATATTTGTTTCAGAAATCCCGAGCGACTAAACCTAGCCATACATACAGCCGAACCAATACCGGACCTCTCACTCAAGTTTATCAATGCTATCAGTGATAAAATGTTTGATTATGAAATACATAAAACAAATGAGACGGCATTTAATAGTGTATTAAGTGGTGAAAACACACTTTCCATTGTTTTTGATCAAAACTTTACCGACAATTTCCACAATCGATTGTTATATCCAATGGATATTTCCGACGAAGAAGTGGACAGTAGTCAAGTGAAAGTATATGCAGATATGTCCAGTATATCTGGTTATTACGCTCAGTACTACTTGTGGAAAGTGTTTGCAAAATTTATGACTAACTTTGCCACTGAGCTTGACTTCAATCCCAATGCTTTCTCTTTACCCATTGATATCCAAAAACACATTTATGGTAACCAAGACTTTTCGTTTAGTAATCTATTTATTCCGGGATTTCTAATATCGTGTAACTTCACGTTGGCCTTAGTATTGGCCACTTTTTATGCAATCAGAGACCGAGAAAATGGTCTCAAAGAGCGTGATATAGTGGCCGGTGTGACCAAACTTGAAATATATATAACACAATTGCTTTTAATAATTGCAAATATTGTCATCCAATCATTTATAATACTAGTATTTGCATTTAAAATACTTGATTATCAGTCCATCGGATCCCTTATTGATATTTACATATTATTAGTTTTCATATCATTGCAAGGCATGAGTTTTGGTAATTTTGTATCACTCTTAGTAAAGGACGACTTAAAAGCAACAGTAAGTCATTAAAAAAAATTTAATTTTATTACATTAAAATGATTTACATTTTTAAAAATAGATTATAGCCTCTTATATAACGGCACCATTGTATGTATTGTGTGGTGTGTTTTGGCCAATAGAGTCAATGCCTATACCTTTGCAAAGTTTGATTATATGGTCACCACTTACATCACCAATAATATCATTAAGATATGTTATGTTTAGGGGTTGGACTATTAGTTCAATTCATGTATTATTTGGATATTTAATTTGCATATTATACACAACAATATTAACTATATTTAATATAATACTTTCAATTTATTAATTTATATAATATTTTGTATTTATAATACCTGTATTTTATTGAGTTATTTTTAATAAAATTTATTAAAACTATTGAAAATTATTTTAAAAATCAAATACATGAAAATTTTTATATTTATTATATATTTATGAATTATTATTTAAAAAAAATATAATATTACTATATTTTTATACAATATATTAAAGAATTTTAATTTATGAACAATATGGCTATAATAAAAAATTTTAAAAGTCATATATTTTTATTGAACTAAAGATTATTATTTAAAAATTTAATTTTTTATTATATAAATTATATCATGATTAGTACTTTATTCATTTATAGTATTTTCTACTATTACAAAATATAGCATTAATTAGTAATTAATGCTATATTTTGTAATAGTAGAAAATACTATAAATGAATAAAGTACTAATCATGATATAATTTATATAATAAAAAATTAAATAATTACAGGTAATGCAATTTCAAAAAATGATTATCAAATGAAAAAACAAAAAGTTGCATTAGATATATATAATATGTATACTGTAATCTTTAAAACATCAAAATTATATAAATACACAAATCATTTAGGATTTTCCGACCTCTAATTTTAAGCCTTAAAATTATAATATATTTCTATATAATAAGTTATTTAAAAGTGAAATTAACAAAAAAAATAAGTATTTGTATCATTTTTTTGCATTTCATTGTTAAGTGTAATGTAAATAAATATAATTTAATTATCATTTGCGTCAACTTGCCGTAAATAAATGTATTATTTGTTTATTAACTAAAAAAAGATATAAATTAGTAATTCAAATTATAATATAGGCTTATCAATATACATGATATAAATATATTACTGTATAATATTATATATTTTGTTTTTTAGTGAAAGTCGACTTCATTGAGAGGGGTTTGACCTCAACCTTGAATTTCACAAGAAATGATTGCTTAATAAAAAAGTCCAAAATTTTTGGTTTTAATAGTAATAGCACAACAATCTCAACTATAAATAGTCACAAAATATATTTTTCAAATTATATTTTGTTTTACTATATCAATACTAAACTTTTACTTATTTTCTTATGTTTATTGAAAATCTAAAGGATTTCTAAAAGTTTATTCATTTAATTGTGAATATATATAAGTTAATATATATATATATATATATATATATATATATATATATATATATATATATATATATATATATATATATATATAGTAGAATATATACAATATATATATAAATAGATAATAATATTAGTAACATATATAATTTATACATTTAATTAAGTTGCATTTAAGTATTTACCATATTATACTTAGCAATGTCATTGAATATTTAAGTTTGTGATATATTTTAAAATATGTTTTTTGATGAAAAAATGATCTCAAAATTTATGTTAATAATTTTAAAAGCAATTTTTATTTATTAAAATATCGTGCTAAATAATTAATGATACTCAAGTTTTTAAAATTATAATTAATTAATAATAAACTGCATTTATTTTTAAAAATATTTTCAAGTTTTTATAATACAATTTTTATTTTTCACTACAATTTCTAAAGTTATATCATATTTTGAAATTTATTGAAGATATAGTTATTAATGAAATATTGAATCATATTAAAAGAATAATATTAAATATATATAATAATAATAATTATGACCAAAAAACAATTTGATAAACAATTTGTTTGTCGGGAATCTCTATTAACGTATGTTTTAATTTAAAAATTAATTTTTTATTTCACTTTTTAATTATAACATATTATTTATATATATATTAGGAATTTGTTGGAAACAAATAGAGAGTTAAAATCATTGTTTAATTTATTGACAAGTATTGTAACAATTTTAGTTTTATGTTTTATTGGAAACTGTGTATTATATCCAGAAAAGTAAGTTTTATTATAATTGTTTATTATATCTTATAAATTAATTATCTAAAATATCATACATTTATTTTTTATAGGATTAAAGATGACTTAGATTTTATTGTGTTTGGTTTCCCAAACATGGATATAGCTATCAGTGCTTGGATTTTATTGCATATCACTATTGTGTTCATAGTTTATCCCATAAATAATCTGAAAATATATTTAATGTTCAAATTTTCAGACCACACAGTGTTGATTAAAACTGTATTTACTATACTCTATGTATTATATATTATTGTTATATTTGTATTTTGCAATCAAATTATTATAACAAATCATATGACAACATTCATACTGTTGGTTGAAATGGTAAGTTTAATAATAACTAAATGTTATTTTGTTTAATAATATATCTGTTTATTGAATAGATTAGACTAATAATGAAAGTGCACTCTTATGTGATGGAAACTACTGGTGATTCACAAATATTACCGGATGTCCACAATAAGGAACAAATGATAAATTATCCAGATCTATTTCAATTAATTTACTTTTTATTTGCACCCACACTTATTTATAAAAATGAATATCCAAGGTAATATTTAATTTAGTCTACTGTATATGAAACGATTAGTTAATTTTTTTAATAAAAACTTTTTAGGACATTAAAAATACGGTGGAGTTTTGTGATTAAAAATCTATTGCAAGTGGTATTCACAGCATTCAGTGCATTGTTCATAATTAGACCGTTTCTGATGAACACCTATTCCCAGATTGGATACAAACCAATCAATTTGCGACACATATTTAATATAATAGCCATAGCCTATCCATTAGGTGCAGTGGCAATACTTTTGGTATTTTATGGCTTTTTCCAGTGTTGGTGTAATGCCTGCGCCGAGTTATTACGGTTCGCTGACCGCCAGTTCTATACCGAGTGGTGGACATTGAAAAGCTGTCGAGACTTTTACCGAAACTGGAATACCATTGTTCAGGACTGGCTCTACGCTTATGTATTGATACCTGTATTTAATTTAACTCACAGTAAATACTTAAGCAATTGTATGGTTTTGGTGGTGTCGGCCATCGTTCACGAGTATCTATTGGCGGTTCCCATACAGTCTTTGTGTCCTATATTTATTGTTATGTTTGCCGTAATTGGCAGTAAGTAATATAACTGAATCTATAATAATTGTAGCAAATAATTAAATTTTATTTGAAATGTTTTTTTTTTATAGATATTGAATTGATTATAAACCGTTCAAAAATGTTAAGAGCTTTTGATTTTTATAATACACTTTATTTTATTTTATTATTTATTGGATGGGCTATATATCTCAACTTATATAGTATTGAATGGTATTCTCGGCAAAATTGTCCCATTGATAATGTAAGTAATTTATATACAAAACGATATATATAATTACTATAATTTAAAATTTAAATTTTTAAATCTAATTTTTACCATTAAATTATGAATAGCCGTCAATTACCGATTACCTTATTCCTCGATTTCCAACATGTATTCACTTTACATATATTTAACTTCATTGTCATCGTATATTAAATTAGTATTTAATTAATGACATATTTAATCATTATATTAAACGTAACATTAAAATATAAATGTATATAAATAAATTCATCATAATATTATTTATTATAACTTATAAGTAATGTATCTTAATAAAACAAAAATGGTTTGTTTAATTTGTATTTAATGTTTAAATGAATTTTAATATTTTGTATTTATTGACCTAAATTAAAATTTTAAAAAATCATTATTAATTCAGTTAATTATTATACTTTATTAGTAAAAAAATTAATTATTTCATTTTAAAAAGTTACTGTAACTCTAAACTTGTTATTAAAAATTTATATAAAATATTATAGAGTACTGTATATATTAAATGAATTTGTATTCAATGATAACGTTTAATAATTTTCAAGTTAACAGCTTTTGGTATAATTATTCCCAATTGATAATATAGTTCCGGTGGTCGCTATTAATAAAATAAAATTAAAATTTTATATAATACCGTAAACTTGACTTATTTTTATATTATTTTAAAAGTTACCGCAGTTTTATCACTTATATCCAACTTATAGTTATAGACCGTATAAAGTAATGCAAACTTGACCTCCATTAGTGCCAATCGTTTGGCCACACAGTTACGCGGTCCGGCACCGAACGGAAGGTATGAATATGGATGATGTGTCTGATTGTCTGTTAAAAACCTGTCCGGTTTAAACGTTTCGGGATCTTCAAAATGCTGGTCACTTCTATGCATACCATACACCGGCACCTGAAGTACATCACCTTTAAATATGTGAAACTTATTTTCATTGCCAACTACGACATCACGCGATGCCATTCTTTCCACAGCAATAGCCGGCGGATAAAGTCTTAAGGTTTCAGAAATAACTGCATTCAGGTATTCAAGTCTTTCAATTGCATCGAAATCAATAATTTCCTATTAAAACAAAATTTCAATTTTTCAAATATTTAATATAACTTTTTGTATTTAAAATAAATTACTTTAGTCTCGAACACACTTAACGATTCCCGAAATAGTTTTTCTTGCGATTCAGGATTTTCTGCCAATAAATATGTGGCAAATGATATGGTTGTAGCCGTTGTGTCAAAACCGGCGAAGAAAAACAATACGCATTGAGCTATCATTTCATCGTCACTAATGGCTATTAAAATCAATAATGTATTAAAAAGTGATTAATTTTTTAATAATAATAATACTTTTTTGATGTGTTGATACAAATCTTTCTTTTTCTTCAATGTTATCGCAATTTGTTTCCACATTTTCCACATTTTCATTGGCGTCTAACAGAAGCTGTAAAAAGTCGTATCTTTTAACACTTGGATTATTTCTTCTCTCAGTTATTATTTTATGGGTTAGTTTACTAAAGAAATCACTTAAATCGTTGGGAATTAGTGTTAATCCCAACAGTTTTGCTATCTTTGGAAATGTCATTATTAGCATAAATTTCGGTAATTGTAATATAGATACGTCTTTTGATATTATTTTCTTAGCATTACTAATGATTGGATTGTTATCATCGATAAGTGCGTCTACTTTTGTACCAAAAGCCACTTGTATTATGACTTCCATAGTGAAGGCACCGAACACTTTCTTCATGTCTACCACTCCTTCATCCGATTCTTTTGATAATTTGTCCAAATTTGTGACTAATGTATGCAAACAATCGTCAATTAGTGGACGCATTTTACGTAACTTTCCCGACGAGAAAGTAGGCGAGACTACAGCTCGGAGTCGTTTCCAGTGGTCATCCCTTGTATTTTGTAGCATATTATCCATTATGGGATCGCCTCCCGTTTGAAAGCTCTGTAATTTTTATTTAATAGACAATATAATATTTAATTATTCAATTCTAGTTTTAATTTAAAATCATAAGCTTTACAAAATAAATAAATATATATTTTGTACATCAGATCTTGTATTCATTAAGATCATTAAAAAAATACTAAATAATTAAATAATTATCTTATAATTATTATTTTGTTAAATTTGTTAAATTTGTTTAAACAATAATAATTGTAAAATAATAATAATTACCCGCCTATTAGTAAAACTTGTAAACTCTTTGCTAAACACTTGTCCAATAATGTCCGGATTGGAGCACATAATGGTATTCCAACCAAACTGTTTGAAACCAAATATATTTTCATTGTTTTTCATAAACTCTATCATAATATCTTCAGCGCGACGTTTATACCAAATCATACCCCAAAATGAGGGAAGTTTTCCTATAGTTATACCTCTTTTTGCCCATTGATTCTTATAATTGCAATTTGATTTATATCTATTTAATAAATATTTATTAATTTTTATAAATTAAAATAAATAATTAAATTTTGCTGCTTACTTAAATGTAAAAATAAAAGTTAATACAGCAATAACAAAAAGTATTACATAATAATCTTGAACAATATTAATTTCAAACATTATTAAACTTTTTTCCAATAATATTTTTATTTAAATATATCTTAATAATTATATATTATATAAATTAAACAATAAAATTATTTACATTAAAACATATTGCGTGTTTATACTTTATTTTTAAATCAAAATCAATAGTAATATTCAATAGTTTTAAATTGTATGAGTAAATTCAGTATCAAAAATAACAGATAATAAAAAATGACCTTGAAAAATTATTTGAACATAAAGGTACTGCTAATTTTAACAATTATATATAATAAATAATAAATTTTTAATAGTAAACATTTTAACAATTAATTTTATATTGTTTTGCAAAATTTTTACTTTATTATGCTATTATAATATTAATTATAGTAATACAACTAAAATTTACAATACTTTATTTTTCATTATATAAATAAACATGTTTAACAAATATAACATTGCGTATTGCTATTGTAATAATAATAACATATAAAATTGTAAATATTTATTTCATGTTATAATAAAATTATATTATATATAACATATATTATAAATATATATATAAACATATTATATAAAATATTATTAATTTAATTTTTATTATATTGTATCTTAAGATATACTGTATTTTAATATAGATGTAATGTAAATTATTTTATAAATTAGTTAATAATGTTAGATAGCATTATCAGAACAATTTTTTATTAAATAATATTTATTGTTAATTTTGACCATGATATTTTTTAACTAGAACTTAGCACTGTCAGAAAATCCTATTTTATTTTAACTCAAAATAAAATTTAATTATGAGATTACTTTTAATTAATTATTATTAGAGAAATAAAAATATGTGAGTTATATATTTGTATTAAATAAATATATATATATATATATATATTATATATATATATATATTAATCCGGAAAATAGATATTTACATATTTATGGGATCTTTTGACAAATATTTCAAAACAAATATCTTGTGTCCAATTTTTAGCACATATAATGTTGTCCATAATCATTATCAAATCATTATAAAATAATTAAATTGTAATTTTATTGAGTTATTAATAATATTAATTATATTTTTTAAATTAATTTATCGATAATATAAATTTATAACAAATAATGAAAATAATTATTGCTCACATTATTTAACAAATTATTTAATCAATATTTTCATTTTTATTATGCTTTTAATGATTTCGTTTTACAAGTTTTAGGTTAACAGCTTTCGGTACAATTAAACCCAACTGATAGTAACATTCAGGCGGACACTATTGAAATATATAAAATCATTAAATAAAAATATGATTAGCGGTATTGAAAAATATTAGTCAATAAATAAAAGTTAATAATTACAGCAGTTTTGTTGCATATTTCTAACTTATAATTGTAAACAGTATAAAGTAATGCCATTTTTGTCTCCATTAGTGCCAACCGTTTGGCCACACAATTACGCGGTCCGGCACCGAATGGGAGGTATGAATATGGATGATGTGTCTGATTGTTGGCCAAAAATCTGTCCGGTTTGAACACTTGTGGATCAGTAAAGAATTGAGCGCTTCTATGCATACCATATACCGGCACCTGAATCACATCACCTTTGAATATCTTAAACTGATTTTTATCACCTAATGTAAGATCACGTGATGCCTGTCTTTCCACTCTAATGGCCGGCGGATAAAGTCTTAAGGTTTCTGAAATGACTGCATTCAGGTATTCAAGTCTTTCAATTGCTTCAAAATCTATTATACTCTATGAAAGATATAATCAATTATTAATTATCTGATAATTTATAAATTTTTGTTTATTTCTACGACACCTCTGACCCAAAAACACTGAGCGCTTCGTTATAGACTTTTTGCTGTGAATCGGGATTTTCTGCCAACAAATGGGACGCAAATGATAAGGTTGTGGTCGTTGTCTCGTAACCGGCGAAGAAAAACAGTACGCATTGAGCGATCATCTCATCTTCACTAATGGCTTAAGTAAATAATATTAAGTTATATATAAAAAAAAGTATTGTATTTATATATAAAGTAGAGATTTTATGTTTCAATATATTTATTACTTTTATTGTGAGTTTGAATATAACTTTCATTATCTTCATTGACTTCAGTTTCTTCGTTCAAATCGTTGTCTTTGCCTTCGTTTGCATCCAATAAGAGTTGCAAAAAATCATATCTTTTAACACTTGGATTATTTCTTCGTTCAGTTATTATTTTGTGGATTAGTTTAACAAAGAAATCACTCATTTCTCTGGGAAATAATGATAAACCAAAAATGTTGGCAACTTTTGGAAATATCAATATTAACATAATTCGTGGCAATTGAAGTAATGTAAAGTCTTTTGATACTATTTTCTTTGCATTACTAATGATTGGATTGTTATCATCGATAAGTGCGTCTACTTTTGTACCAAAAGCCACTTGTATTATGACTTCCATAGTGAAGGCACCGAACACTTTCTTCATGTCTACCACTCCTTCATCCGATTCTTTTGATAATTTGTCCAAATTTGTGACTAATGTATGCAAACAATCGTCAATTAGTGGACGCATTTTACGTAACTTTCCCGACGTGAAAGTAGGCGACACTACAGCTCGGAGTCGTTTCCAGTGGTCATCTCTTGTATTATTAAGCATATTATCTCCAATAGGATCGCCTCCCATCTGAAATGTCTATTTTGTATAATCGAAATGTTAACATAAATTAAATAATTTCAAAATCAATTTATAATTAATGTAAAAACCCGTCTATTTGTGAAACTTGTGAACTGTTTGCTAAATACTTGTGCAATGATGTCTGGGTCGATACATATGACTATATTCCAGGGCCATTGTGTCAGACCAAACATTTTATTTTTATTTGTCATATACTTTAGCATAATATCTTCAGTACGAAGTTTGTGCCAAATTATCCCCCAAAACGAAGGCATATTCCCCACCGGAATGTTTCTTTTTTGCCATATTTTAGAAAATTTCCATTTTATATATCTAAACACAATATATAATATATTGTTTATATTAATATAATTATTTTTTTCAAATAATGTTTATTTTTAAAAATTTACCTTTGCCAAATAAAATATAATAATATTATAATAAAACTAATATATAGTAAAGCATTAAATAATAAAAATAATATGTCCATTATTTTTAAAAGTTTATTATAATCTATAATTATTATAAGCTGTTGTTAATCTTACTTAAATATACTTAACTTACTTATATAATTATATTAAATATATAAAAATTCAAAATCTTCTTATATATACTGTTTTTTTTTATTTTAGAAATAAAAACGTTATGAAAACGATCCAATATTTAGATAATCAATATTTTTTAGATATTTTTCAGACAGAGTATTAAAATACAGTATAATTTGTAATCAATTTATGATTAATTTTAATATTATATAACATTAAATTTACTACAAACTAATGCTATTAATACTGTTTAAACACTTTATTTACTATTGAACATTGTACTGTACTGTACTGTATATTAACAAATATGATAAATTATTGACTATTATTATAGTAGTACTGTATATGGAATATTTAAATATTTATTATGTGAATCACAATCTAATTAATTACACAATTTTTATTAATTAGCATATATTTAGATATTTTTTAATATATTGTAAGTTACAATTTGTAACTATTATATTATATAATCATAGATAGAATAATATACTGTATTTACAGTACATTAGTTAATATATATATCATGTATTTATTATTTATTACTAAATTCTACTTGCATTCAGTAATTTATAATACAAGTTAAATATAAAACTATGTGTATATTGATATATATTCAATACATAAATCAATACAATTATAAAATATTTTTTATATTACAATTAGGGTTATATTTGTATTTTAATAGTATATACTATTTATAGTACATATGTATATAATCTTTGGATAACACAAAGTGGAACAGCTTTGAGAAAACGGACGATTGTTATGACATTCAGAAGGAAACTAATAATTATTATAAAATTAATTTTAATGTATTTATAAGTAGTGGCAATAATTTGTTAGTTTATTATTATTTAATTATTATAATTATTAGATCAATACCTGTGTGTATTAAAAATGTCAAAATTGAATTTATTAATAACATTAAATAGTGTCAGCTTTTACTACAACAGATCTAATCTTTTGGTCACACAATTATGTGATCCGTCACTGAAAGGTATGTAAACATAGGGACGGTGTGTCTTATTGTCAGACTTTTACGGTCTCAAAGTGTCCGCTTTTGCCGAAATATTCTTGACTTTGATGTATATAATTGCTTATCTCGTCATTTATTCCAAAATAACTCTATTTTCCTTTCTCACTGGGAATTCCCAGGGAATCTATTACCTTGTGCTACAACACCTAATGAACCCTAAACAACAAATTTTATTATTAGATTTGAATAACAAATGTTGTATTAAACTGTATTTTGAGTGTTATTGTTAAATAGTATCATTGAATTCATTGAATTCAAATTTATTATTAAATATTTCAATTAAATTTTATGCAAAAAAAATAAGTTTTGTTATTATTTATTGTAGAAATATAAATAATATATTCCTTTTTAATGGACTAGGGAGGGAAATATAATATTTTTCCTATTTTCCTGAAAAATTAAAGGGATTTTATTAAAGAACTTTCCTCCATTGGAAAGTTGTCCAAAACTCTAATTATACAATAATTATTAGAAACCATTTATTTCATTTAGAAAATTATAAAAATAATTATTCAGAAAACATTTGTTAATTTTTTATTTAACAAAATATATAATTAAATTATTTTATTATCTCTACAGTATACTATAGTTACTAAAATCTATTGACTCATTTAGTATTTTAACTTATTTTATTATTTGAAACTTAATAAATTTTAACAAAATTTTAATATACAGTATATAATTATACTAATAATGTAATTAATATGATATATTTTAATGATGTTTATCATGTTATACGGTAACAGTACAAACATTTTCGGTAATTAAAATAAAATTTATTAAACAAACATTAATTGCATATAACTATTTACATAAACTTAAACCCATAAACAAATCCATAAAAACAAGTCCAGCACTCCATTACACACAAAATTATAGACAAACATTGTATTATACAATATATTGCATGAATGAATGCAATAACCATATGATTATAAACAAAAAACTATTTGTAAGCTTTTAAAACAAAAAATTAAGTAGTAATCAAAAATTTAATAGTTTTAATCAATAATATGTAAGCATTTATTATATTTTTAACAAGAATTAATATATACTAATTTTATACAATAATTTACATATTAATAACTAAATTATATTTTATTATTGTGTCCGTAATTTATGTGTAAAATACAGTTATAATATTGTATACAATACACGGTGTTATCTACAGTAACGTAATATTGAAATATGTATATTAAATAAATAATTAAATATATGTAATAATTAAATTAAATTAACAAAAGTTATAATACTATATAAATTTCATTATACAATCAATTGATATTTCATTTATGGTAATTAAATTAATTTTCTCTATTGATATAAATATTGACTATAATTAAATGCTTTTGTATTTATAATAATCAATTATTGATAATATTATAATAATTATGCATACATTACATTACATTACTGTATATTATTAATAGTATTGTATATGTATTAATACATTAATATTAAAATACATTATACAGTAATAATAGCAATGAATGTACAATAACTACATATTAATACTAATTAAATGTTTATATGATTTCAATGCTTTAATATAATTAGTAATTAAATAACAGTTATTTGTTTGATCTTAATTTGTATGTCATTGCCATCAATGGTTTAATCAATTGAATTATAGATTTATTGAATGATCACAACTGATCCAAACAATGCCACCAAAGGGTAGAAAGAAAGGTTCAAAGGACACAAAGGACACAAAGTCTACGGGTATTAAGTGATTGTATTTTATTAAATCATTTACTATTAATTTGTTGTTATTATTAGATCAATCAAGTGATAGTCGACCACAACAACAGCCAATACAGGGATCAGATTTTCCCACTTTAGGACAGACATCACAATCAGGACAAGTTGTTGCCAATAATGAACAGACAGTGAGAGCAACGGTACGGCAATTACAAGTCAGTCAAACGATACCAACGATGACGAGTCAGCTAATGGACAGTTCGGGTTCCCGTCAAAGCAGTACAACCAGTGATAAATCAAAACAAACTAAAGACACAAAAAAGGTTTGTATTTATAAATTTAAGACTAATTCAAACTAATAAAAGATAACATTTTATGATATTTATTATTATAGACTAAAGACGAAGATTTGGCTAAAGAAATAAAAGAAAAGATGACTTTATCGCTACCAAAGCGAGAACACCAACCGTTTTCTAAGAGACCGGGAAAGCCATTGCCTAACAATTGGAAATCAGTTGCTTTGTTGGCCAACCATTTTGTCATAAGAGTGGGCAATAAAACTGCTTATCATTACGATATCAGTATAGAAAAAGAGCAAAAAGTTAATGAAAAAGACAAGAATTTGGTCGACAAGAATGTAGACGAGGCGGCGGCCGAACCTCTGAAGCAAAACAGATTCTCACGGAAACTAAGTACTGCTCTAAATAGACGTATATTTGAACGTATGATTGAATTGTATTCTCAAACCGCTGGACAACACTTTTATGGTATGCGTTGCGTATACGACGGCCAGAAAAATATGTTTACTTCACGTGAGATCATCGCTGCGGGAGATCCAGAACATCCACTTCTATTGATTGTTAATCTTATAGAAGGCAACAGAGAGACTATATTTAAAGTGTCGATTAAGAAAACTGAACCAAACTTTAAGATTAATACGAATATTCTTAATGAGTATAACAGCGGACGTCATAGGGATGATGAGGCCGTCAAACGCGCCATTTTGTTCATTGATATACTTATTAGACATAACTCTACCAATGATATGGTGCCTATCGGTCAATCAATTTTTGATCCCAAAAATCCCGGACAAGAATTGAGCAGACTTTTGAATTTGAAATATGGTTTTTATACTACTGTTCGTAATCTTATGGCTGGTCCGACCTTAAACATTGACCGCTCAGCCGCCGCTTTCTTGAAACCAGATATTAAATTGATAATTGAATCAATAGTGAAGAAACCGCTGAATCAAATTCCTGGCCGATCTATAACTAATGCTCAAAGGATACAAATCAAGAAAGAGTTGAGTGGTCTTCAAGTAGAGTCCACTCATATAAATTATGGGACTCCAGATTCTCCACATTATCGCAAGTTTCGTATTATTGGTATTTCTAGGTATTGGAAATTATTATTATTGACTTAACTAACATAGAATAGCAAAAATAAAATATTTTTTATTTTAAGTGTTAGAAAGGGGTACAAAATTATATTTACAGTATATATAAAGTTGCAATCATATAAAATTGTTAAATAAGATAAATTATTGTCAAAATGTTAGTTTTGTACAATATATTATAACTAAAATTTAGTTATTAGTTTATTGTTATTTTTAATAGATTGTCGGCAGCGGAACAAACTTTTGAGTTTGAAAGAGACAAAAATCAACCAAAAGTTAGAATTACAATTCAACAGTACTTTAAAGAGAAATATCGGATAAATTTGCAATACCCTCACCTCCCGTGTCTTGAAGTGGGAAATCCAAGAGATCCAAACAGATTGCCAATTGAAGTCTGTCGTCTATTACCTGACCAACGGGTTCGCCGATCACTGACTAATGAAGAGCGATCCAAAATGACTATGATTTCCGGCCAAATGAATCCATCGCAAAGATTTGACTTTATTATGGATTGTGTTAAACAACAGTTCCATTCAAATGATGAAATTGCACGAAAAAATCGTAACTATTTATCAGACTTTTCAATCAATATCGACAAAGAACTTCTTAAAGTTAACTCCAAAGTAATACCGGCGCCGACACTCAAATACAAAGATAACAACTCTGTGAGACCACGTTTTGGTGAATGGGAAATGTTTAGAGAAAAAGCACAGTTCTATAAAGCCATTAAGTATTATATTATTTCTTATTTATATATATATATATATTTAGTAAATACCATATATTTATAGATACCGTATAAAATTCGATAAATATTTTTTTCATAATTTTGTTATAAGTATTATTATTATTATTTGTTTTGTTTAAAGTCTCACAAAATGGATTATAATAAACATATCAATGTCTCAAATGGATGATCAAAACATAAAGGAATTCAGTATTGATTTGTGTTCTCAGGGAAGGGAAATGGGAATGAATGTCAATAATCATGGATTGATTGCCACAATCAGAGTTTATGATCCGATGAAAACATTTGCCGGAATTAAGAATAAAATTTCAACAATGACTGGACTTCAGATGATTTTGTTTATGACACCACTTAAGACTAACCAATACAGCGATGATATCTATAGTCAAATCAAATTGTTAGGCGATGTCACTCATGGATTGACGACACAGTGTGTTAATATCGCCAATATTTGGGACTCAAGATCTAGAAGAAGAAAATGGAATCGAAGTTATTTAAGGCAATTGATGCTTAAGATTAACCCAAAGTTAGGTGGGATTAATGTAGCGCTTTTGGATACCAATCAAATGTCATCATTGTTTAAAAAGCAGTCCGTAATGATTGTGGGCGCAGATGTCAACCATCCGGCGCCGGCAGATAAAGTCTCGCCTTCAATAGCCGCAGTTGTGGGCAGTTTTGACATTGAATTTAGTAAATTTTGTACAACTATATCAATGCAACCGAAATCAAGAGAAGAAATGATTAGAAATTTAGATAAAATGGTTGTGGAATTGTTAAACAACTATAAAGTACACAATAATTGTCGTTTACCCGAATCAATAGTCTTCTACAGAGATGGTGTCAGTGAAGGACAGTTCCAACATGTGATTGATAACGAATACCCTCTAATTACAAAAGCATTTGATGAAATAGGTTTGGCTTATAAACCAAAATTGACATTTATTGTGGTACAGAAACGACATCACACTCGCTTCGTAGTCATTGATGAACCTAATTATGGTCGCAATGTTGAAGCGGGAACTGTAGTGGAAAGTGGTGTCACTCATAAGTATGATTATGATTTCTATCTGTGCAGTCATAATGGACGTATTGTAAGTTTATTAATAAATTCATTATAAATATTTCCGATAATATATTGACTTTATATTTAATGACAGGGAACCAGTCGTGCGGCTCATTACTATGTGTTGGCCGATGAAAATGGTTTCTCAACTGAAGACATGTGTAAAATGACTTATTACTTGTGCCACACATACCAGCGCTGTACGAAATCTGTGTCTATACCGGCACCCGTCTATTACGCTGATTTGGCCGCATATCGGGCTAAAGTACATGCTATGGGACGACCTGATCAAAGTGATACAGTTAGTGAACAGGGAGGAGGAGATGATGAAAGAAGTGACGACATGATCAATACTTATCGTAATTTTATTAATGTTAATCCCACACAAAAACTAAAATTATATTATATGTGAATTAAATGAACTAATGGTCCTTTTTATTTGAGTATAATTTATATTTAATACCTTTATTTCATTTATTGGATTAAGTTTATAATAATTTTGTTTTTATTACTGTATTAAAGATCACATAAAATAAATTGTTATGAATTATTATACTGTATATGATTACCGTAATAAGAGTCTTAATAACTATTCATTATATAAGTCAATTGGTAATTATTTAATATATTGATAATTACTGTATTTTTGTGATTATTTAAGTCATTTTGTTAAATTATACTTATAAGCAACTTATGTTTATTATACACTTACCGTAATTTCTTTATATTGATATATAATATTAATTTTTTGTTACATTTTTTAATCAAATTGCATTGTAATAGTCTACTACTCAATCTATAGTATACACAGTTATGAATTAAAATTAATATTATAATGAATATTACTATATTTTAATAAATGTTTTGACAACAATATGCATTGAATATTGAATAATCAAATTTATCCTTATTGTATACCCAAAAGCAATGTCCACATAACCATTATATCACAGATTATTTACAACACCTGTAAATTATGTAGTAATGAATAGTAATGAGTGATAAGTTTATTAAAGAATATATGGCACCATATTATCACTAATTTAGTTAAATTATTGAGATATTAGCTAAAATTTTATAAACTTTAAATAAATGTAATCTCCCCTACGGTAAATGTTTGCAATTTACAACTATAAAAAATTAAATTTGTTTTATCTCACATAAAATATTATTATTAATCTATAAATAATATTTTTAATGTTATAAATTATAACAAATTAAGTATATCTAAACACTTAAAACATGTTTATTGTTTCTATTCTTTACTTACAAAATATGCAATGATTTCATATAATTTTCTGTAAATTTATATAATATTTAATAATACTCAACAATAAACAACTGTTTGTATATTTTGTTATAAAAATATAAAAACTAGTGTATCAAAAAATATTAATAAATTTTTTAATAAATATAATAATTAATAAATAATAGTATATAATACAGTACTAAGTTGGTACTACCAACATAGTATATTGCTAGTAATATAAGCAATAATATTCAATAAAATATATATTAAAAAATTTATAATATCACTTAAAATACAGTTTAATATAACATTTGTTTTTGAAATTTGGAAGTTTTGAAAAAATAAAACGAGGGATCAATTTTCATCAAACCCTAAAATTTAGGGAATAAATACAATATTAATAATCAATTATTATTATTATTATAATCAGGGTTAAGTAAGGGGGTAGGGGGTAAGACCAAAATACCCCCCCTAAGATCGAGAAATTGGGATTTTACCCCCCAGACTTTTTGACCAAATTGGAAAAATTGTCGCTTAAAAACGAGGAGAAATGACCTCCCCCTAAAATTTCGGCGCCAATTTTTTTGWAATTTTAATTTTAGTTGATACTATTTTAGTAAGTGTTTTTATGTTTTTAATATTTATAAAAATCTAATTATTGATTAAAAATAGTTAAAATAACGTTAAAACTCATCAAAAAATAACATTATTTTAATTAAAATAAACTAAAAAATTAAAAATTACCTATTTGTTGAAAAGAGTAATTATATTACAATTTAAATATAAGTTTAAGATAGTTTACAAAACAATAAATACTTATATTATAAGTTTTTTATTAATAAATTTTAAATAAAAAATTAAAAAATATTTTCAATTTTGTACTTAATATAATTAAACTTTAACGAAATTTGAGTTAAATAAGTAGTATTCAGTCAGTATTTGTATAAAAATAACATTTAAAAACTAAAAATTTATAACAAACTATAAACATTAAGTATTATTTAAAAAATTAATTATGTTAAAATTTAAAAATTATTAAAATACTAAAAATAACTCATAGTGTATCATTAATGCTTTTATCAACTATTTTTAAATCTTAAATACATTATTTTATTTTTTGTTAATTTTTAAGTTTTTTTTATATTTTTGGAAATTTTACCTATTTTCCCGGGAATTTATACGGGAACTTATGGGAATTTTATTGAATTTACATGGGAATATTCGGGAATTTTTAGGGAATTTTCTCTTGACCCCCCCTTGATTTTGGATTTTTGAAAAAATTGCCGTTTAAAAATGCAATAAAAATCTTACCCCACCCAATACCCCCCCCCCCCCCCCCCCAAGATTTTTCGAGAATTTTGTAAATTTTACCCCGGTCTACCCCCCCCTAAAATCCAAAACCTTGCTTAACCCTGATTATAATGTATCGGGTGTTCTACCAAATCTTTATTCAAATACACTACTTATCAATGCATTGATTATACTTTATAATAGTTGAATAAAGATTCGTAAAACACATGGTATAATATAATATTTAAAAACATAATCAATATTTTTACAGATTATTTGTTAAATTATTGCATTATATTTAGAAATAATGCAAAATATTCAATTAAATAGTTTTTTTATGTACTATCCTTTTATCTTTTAAAATATGTATTTAATTTAATTAAAAATTATTTATTAAATTAAATATTTTTTATGCACTAATCATAACACTTACCGTACAATTTTGGTTAAATGGTATAAGAAATAGATGTCCGAAAAGTTTTCATTAAATATCAGTTTATTTTAAAAATTTCAGATTTGTTGTCTTCAAACACATATTTTCTCATATAATTTATGATAGTATTGATTAAAATTATGTATTCAGTTATTTGTTTATTATATATTTTTTCTGTTTGCCTAACAATACAGTATATTATTGTTCACTTGTCGTGTCAAACCCCGTATATATATATATATGCTATTATTTAATACAATAAAAAATTTCAAATATAATTTTTACAATTAAATGATCTTTTTTGTCAAATAAATTCTGTAAGTTTAGTGCAAGTATTTTGAGTAAAGTATTTGAATATAAATTGTTATATTAGAAAAAGTTTTAAACTTTTATTTTATTTCTCTCTTTCTCTCTAACACACACACTCATACAGAGAGAGAGAGAGAGAGAGAGAGAGAGAGAGAGAGAGAGAGAGAGAGAGAGAGAGAGAGAACTTGAAGCAGTAAAAAGTGCATTAATTATATGGAACACAATGTGTTTAACATTAGAGGTTAGTTAGGCTTAAAAACTCGACTGAACTGCACTTACACTCGTTTTTTAGTATAGCCTGAGAGGCCTATCAGTCCTTCACTACCGATAGATAAAGGCATTTGAAAACCAAAAAAAATAAGAGAAAAATAGTGGGGTTTTTAACATTTTAATACTTAAATATAGTTGAAGGACGACTTAGATTTTTGCTAATCAAATATAACTTTATTGTTTTAGTAGTGATAAATTTAGTACTAATTATACTACTATATATATACTGTAATTTTTATTTTATATATTGTATGTTTTATTTTTTAATTTTTAGTGACAACCACACAGACAAACACACACACAACTGATTTATACACATTGTATATTTTGTGTGTATGTATTAGTAAATAATTTTAAAATCTTTGAAGCGTATGATAGATAAATATTTATGAAAGCAGATACTAATAAATAAAGATGTACCTTGATCAATTCAATTCAATTATATTACATATAGCATAGTATATATGAAATAAAGTTTATTTTAATTTTTAAAATATGATTAGTAATGTCAGTTAGTTTACATTTAAATGTACACTAAATAATATCAGGGCGTTTTAATAGTGCAGATGTTTTTTATTTGATTCAATACAATGTAGAGTATAAATATAATAAATACAACTTTATGTATAATTATTAAATAATTGAAGTATAAAAACATCTGCATTTTTATGAATTTTAGGATAAATAATTTCTATATATWTTTTTGCTTTATTATTATTATTATAATTATTATTATTTATAATTTATTTTTATTATGTTTTAGTACTTTAGTTAATACATATGAATTGTTTGAATTACAACACAGTATATAAATTTATATTAATAAATCAATTTTAAAAATACTATTATTTTTTGATAAATATATCTATTTAGTCTATCGTTATTTTATGAATTAATTGTAAAAGTATATAATAATAATAATACTATTAACGTTATTATTTTATCATTTATTATCAGTACTATAGTAATTGAAATTGTTTTATTATTATTATTATATACAGGATTATGGATTTACAATAGTTGTCAATTGGTTCATATTTGTAATTAGCATTTATTTTATAACGCTGTTTGAAATAACGGATGTTTGAAATAATTCAATGTCTTAATAATTAGAGTAAGGCATTAGCCAAACACCCAAACGTATTGATGTTATCTACCAATACATCAAACTTTATTGAGATCACAAACATATATATAATGTATATAATATATTGAGAGAGAAGGCATAATAAATAAGTGGGTTTATTTCAATTTCAACCAAAATTCAAAATCACTAAATTTCATGGAAACATAAAAATATTTTTAAGACCAAATCAAATGAACCGGAATTTATTTGAAAATTTATTTTGGATTAAATAATTTTAGTTAAAAACAATTTTTGCTATAATTATTTAATCATATCTTTACTGTATTACTAGTAGTAATAGTATAGATATATTGTAAATTATTATTTTCGTTTGAATTCATATATATAATTATAATTAGTAACTTAAAAGAATTTAATTTTTGTAAATATATTTATTTGTATATACAGTATATATGTATAACGTTGTTAACAAAATGTATAGTTTTATAAAATAAATTTTTGTAATATAACAACACATGAGACTTTAACTACGAAAAAACCACATAAACTTTAACTACAGTTTTGGCATAAATGGGTTTGTAATACTCATGCTTTGCTTTTGTGTAGTCAAACGTTGTTATATAATATAGTAAAGTGAGGGCAGAGCCCAACACAGACATAAATTTTATATATTTCACAGTTTGTCACTCGTTATGCAATTTACTACTTTCTCAATGTTTAACCGTCTGTTACCACTAGTGTTGCGCAGACTTTTGCTTCAGATCGATAGCCGACGTCTAGTCGTCTTTTTATAACCACTACCACTACTACCAATACCATTGCACTCTCTCTTACGCATACACACACACACACAYACACACACACACACACACACATACACACACACATACATACACACACACACACATACATACACACACATACATACACACACACACACACACAGTACATACACATACTTTTCATATTCAATCGTTTCACTCGTTAATGTTTCTCCAATTTATATCTATCTTGTCTTTAAAAGTAATTCTTGAAATCACATATAACTCCTTATTCTTGATTTATTATACTTTTTTCAGGTTAGTTCAGTTAATGTCTAGCCTCTCTCTCTCTCTCTCTCTCTCTCTCTCTCTCTCTCTCTCTCTCTCTCTCTCTCTCTCTCTCTCTCTCTCTCGCTCTCTCTCTACGCTTAGAAACAACAGAAAAGATAATGTCATTGAGTTTGTGTTAATATTAGTGTTGATATGCCATTCCTCCACTTGTAGTGAACACTATCAGGTCATTGACATCATTGAAAAATGTCGTAATCTTCGAGTCAACCGTTGATTCGGTTTTAGACATCAAAAGGATACTCATCTCACCATCGATTGTAAGTAATATTATATTTTGAGACTTTTTAAAAAGATAAGGTGCGGGTATCTTAACATTTGTACTTCATCAGGTGCTCTGGTGATATAGCATCCAGGCATCTGTCGGAGTGCAACTACAAAGTCACCCATTACTACAATAATAATAGTAAATCATATTTTAATTAAATTAGTAAAATAACAAATTATTTATAAAAAATTACTGGTAATACAGTACTTGAAAAGTTAATAAAAGTATTGAAATGGAAAAAAATCGTTTGGAGTTTACAATAGAAATCACACATATTTTCGCAAAAAGTTACTTTTCATCACTGGTTATAAAAAATCCAGTCGTGAGGGCACTGGGCTTAGCAACACTGATATGACCATGGTCCATTTTGTACTTGAAATCATCAAATACTATCCATTGATAATTAATAAGACTATCAATGTAAATATGCCGTAGATATTGAATGAATTATATAAAATAATATAAACCAAAATATTGACATTTATTGTGGTACAGATGTCACATCACATTTGCTTCATTGTCATTGATAAACCTAATTATGATCGCAATACTGAAACGGGAACTGTATTGGACACTGATGTCACTCATAAGTATGATAATGATTTCTATATGTACTGTCATAATGGATGTATTGTAAGCTTATTAATAAGTTTATAATAAAATAAATTTACCGTTAATATATTAAACTTATATTTAATGACAGGGAACCAGTCGTGCGGATCATTACTATGTTTTGTCCGATTAAAATGAATTTTCAACTGAAGATATGTGTAAAATTACTTGTGCCACACATACCAGCGCTGTACAAAATCTGTGTCTATACCGGCACCCGTCTATTACGTGGATTTGGCCGCATATCGGGCTAAAGTACAAGCTATGGGACGACCTGACTGTTAGAGATGGAGGAGGAGATGGAAAAGGGATGCAATTAATACTTATCGTAATTTTATTAATGTTAATCACATACAAGATATAAATTATAATATAACACTACTATTATACAATATATAATTTATATACCAAAATTATATTATATGTGAATTAAATGAACAACTGGTGCTCTCTTTATTTGAATATATAATAATTTACAATTGAATACCTGTATATCATTTGTTAAATTATAGTTTATTATTATTTTTATTAAATATAAATATTACCGTATGTACGCACATATTGGCCAAACAAATAATTTTTTTAATTAACTGTTGTTATGGCAAAAAAAATTACATTTACTTCCATCCACTAGAAAAAGTGTGATGACTATGGCATAGGAAACAATTGGAGTAGAAATCTATATAAGAATATTCTATTACAATAAGAACCTATTAAAAGGTTAGTAATAATAACAATAATAATTAATACGATAATCAGATTACAACCGAAAATTGAAAGTTATCCGACATTTGTAGCCATTATTTGGCATTACATTGACTGCCAATAGATATCATATTTTAAGAGTGGGAATCATTACAGACATACAAAAAAATTTCAATAATGGAAAAGATCTGATAACTCAGTAAACATTCAAATACTATATGAAATATAGTCCCATAATTTACACAATAAAATTAATTGACATAATTAATAACATTGGTTCACTGATACAATTTTAATATTGTTATATTTTTAATTAAATTACTTTGTAGTAGTCTTTACTACTCAAACTATACAAGTTATGAATTAAATTTAAGATTATAAAATATTTAATAAAAATTATTATATTTTTAATAAATGTGTTTACAAAGTAATATGCATTGAATATTTAACAATCAAAATCATTACTTTAAATATTTTATTTTAAATAATTTATATTAATAGTATATTTAACAGAATATCCACTAAACTATTATACCTACACTATTACTAAATAGTAGTAGTAGTAGTAGTATAATAGTAGTACTATTATACTAAAATATTACCTCTCATATTGCTTACATCACTGCTATATTACATTTGTATACTAATCAGTGATATTAGAAAAACTATGGCCTATAGGACACAAAATATCACTAATTTAGTGATTGACAAAAATGATCCAAACTTTGTAAAATATTTTTTATTTAAATTATCAAATTATTAAGATTAATAACTAAAATTTTATAAACTATAAATTAATGAAATCTCCTTTAAAAGTTGAAATTTTAATACTTTATAAAAAATAGAAATTAATATAAAATTTCTAATTTCTGTTATCTCAAACAAAAACACCATTATAATCTATAACTGATTAATTTTATCAAACAATTTAAAACATTTTTATTGTTTCTATTGTTAATCGCTAAGAGTTTACTAACAAACTATGCAATGATTTTATATATAATAATTTACTGAAAATATATATATAATATTTTCAATAATACTCAACAATTAACAAATGTTTGTATATTTTAGTTATCAAAAATGTCATAACATTTACCGTACAATTGTGGTTACCTAGTATTAGAAATAGGTAACAGTTTATTAACTACAATGTCTCAACTTTATTGAAATCAGGAACTACTGTACAGTTTATATTGCATATTATGCTAACAATAGTGGAATAGTTGGTATATATTTTTTATTGATATATAAACTTAAAATGTTTGAATAACACATATTATTATTATAATAATTATTACTTTCTTCAATAGTTAATGTTTGACTATTTTGAATAAAACTATAAATTATAACTACTGTATATTCTATAGTTAAACGAATTAATTTTAAAGTAAAATAATTTAATATATTATAATAAAAATGAAACAAAACATAAATGGATTAAAAGATTTGACAAATGAAGTGAAGGTTGAAGTAATTCGTCGTCGATTTCTTCACGAGGCCGACGCTAAACCACAATTGTTTCATGAGATTGATGTGAAAAGAGTTCGCACTGAGGACTGGCAGATAGAGAGATACCTGACCTCAAATGGATCGGCCGATGAAGCGCTCAACTCATTAATCACAGCATTAGAATGGAAAAAGTCTTTTGGATTACATGAAAGAAATCATAAATATTTTCCGAAAGAGATGTTTAAGATATATTCATATGAAAAGCCCAGTGTTGACAAAAATGGTCGGTTAGCTCTATGGGGACGTCAGAGAAAATATAAAAATCATCCAGAATTTGATCAATTGTTTCGACAATTTATGGCATATCTTATTGAAAGTGTGGACAGACAGGCCGGTAACAGGGGATGGACTATTGTTTATATGGCTAAAACAGGTGGCATAACTGAAATATTAGGAAATCAATATATTGACTATTATGCCAACGGTTGTCAATTATTTCTTAATGTGGACACACCTTGGATTATAAGACAAAACTGGAAACTCGTCAAAAATTTTCAGTCAACTAGTTTTGTGCATCAAATCAAACACATCACTAGGGATGAGCTGAGGGAGCAATTCAATATCGACTCCATTCCCAAGTGGTTGGGCGGCACACGACAGACCATCTATGAAGACATCACCGAACAAATGCCAACTTTTCATGAAATAAAACATTTGGATTTCAGTGATAAACAAATCGATAGACTTTTAACATTATATCATATTGATAAACATATCAACTAATTATTTAATCAAATAACTGTATATAATATTATCATTTTTATACAATTATGTGAATATACTGTTTTGGTATATCTTATCATTTTAATCTTAAAATCAATTATCAAACTATTTTATAAATACATTAATGTACGGTATATTGTTGTAAATTTCTGTATATTGTTATACAGTATTAATTTAAATTAAATATTTTTTGTATGTACTGTAAAAACTCTTATTAGTTTGAGTTAAAGATTTGTTTTTTTAAATTCATAACTTTATTTGTAAGTTACCCAACATTTTGTTAATGATATAATATTTGAATTACAATAATATTACTAAAATTAAAAATTATCAATAGTATAATTTGTATAAATTTTAATTTTTTCAATTATGTTATAAATTTTTAAAAAAGTCATTTGAATATCATTAGAATATTTAATTCATGTAAAACTAATATATTTAGAGAAAAGATATTAAAATAAAAAATGAAGATTTATTTTTAAGTTTGTATGAATTAGTGTTTGCCGTTTTTATCCCAAACCACGTATTGTCACGTCTTGCAAGATATTGCTAGTCTTGTATATATATATACTGTATATATAAAATCAATTTACATATTTATTTATATATTTTTAATTTAATTTTAATTTACCTATTACTTTTATAACAAAATAATTTATTTAAACTATTTTTATATTTATTAAATTTTTTAAAAATTAATTTGTATATTTATTTCATTCTTTAATTAAAATTTATAATTATAAAATTATTTTTACATATAATAATAATTAACAAATAATTAACAAATATTTTTAATTATTAATTATTAAAATATTTATTATCTATAAAAATAATACCATAAATATAAATTTTAAAAAATAAGAATAGCCTTTGTACTTGGTCATTTTTTTAATTTTCAGGAAAATTTTGGCCGAACTTTAAATTTTTCAGTTTTGTCAAATCACGTCACGACAAGACCAACACTACTATGAATATAATATCAAAAGTTATAATTCTTGTATTAATAATATTAATTTAATTAATTGTTTAAGTGATTATAAATACTGTAAATTTAATTAATTATAATAAAATTCTAGTAAAATTAATTAAAATTAATAAATTAGATTAAGTAAATAATTTAATTAAATTAATATTATATTTATATTTATTTGAATGCAATAACAATAAGTTATACAAATTACTATAGAGTGCGCGCAGAAAGATATAAATTGAAATTAATCCCAAATAAACTTAAATTACTTGATATTTATAACAATTTGTTAGATTTAGAATAATTTTCAAAAATCAACTCATTTGACATTTTTGTGGATATATTTTGTTTTATTTTTTATTTTATTTAAGAGATACTATAATTTAAAAATTAAAATTTATACAGAATATACAATGCTATTGATATTGTTAAATAATATTGTCAAAAATAAAAAGTAAATAATAAATTTTAAGTTATTTATTATGAAAAAACAAATATACAAAAATCCTTTTACTGAACCTATTAATAGTGTAATAAAGAAAATATTTTTAAAAATATTATACAATATTACCGTAATATTTATCAATATTTTATGAATTCAMCAATTTTACTGATAAATTATAGTGACATCAAAATTAATTATTATATGTTAACAATTATGTTTGTATTTAAGTTTTTATATGATTATAATTTATAAACTATATTATTACTATTATTATTATTGCATTTTTTAATTTTTTTGTGAATAGAATTGACTTAAAGATCCGGTTAAAGAGTCCTTGGATTAGGACTACTAATAATGAGTTAATACAATACTTTGTAATAATTTATATGATATTAAATGTTTAAGAGATGAGACAAATGTGAATTTAATTTGTTATTTTAATCAAATGTGTCCTTCAAATGATGTATAGACTGTAAAGTATATGAATCAATATATAATTATAATTTATACTGTGTTTTGTCAATTAAATTAATGACAACTAACTGACGTTGAGTTAAATTTTTAAGTACACTATATATTGTGTTTATTATAAAATGTTTTTAAAACAGATTTCTTATGTTTAATATTCATAAAACTATTGTCAAAATTAAAATAAACACATATTTATTGTAATAATGAGTGTGTAAATGTAATTTTGAGTTTTATACGATGTTTTTTATTTTTTTATTAATAACGGTTTACATTAAAAATTTAATTCAAAAACTGTTTTAATTAATTAATAAATTAATGTCGAATATGAGTGAAGATATATTTGCCTTAACCTGTATATCAAATCGTGAAGTTGTTGATGAAATTCGTAGCAAATTTTTAACAGAAATCAATAATAATAATGATTTGTATCATGAAATAGATGTGGAAAGGGTTATGACTGAGGACTGGCAGATAGAGAGGTTTGTATTGACCTATAAGTCCAAAGACGAAGCTTTTGAAAAGTTAATAAAAGCATTGCAATGGAAAAAGTCGTTTGGAGTTCACGATAGAGATCACACATACTTTCCCAAAGAGTTGCTTCTCATCGCTGGTTATGAAAAGTTCAGCCGTGATAGAGACGGACGGGTAGTCAAGTGGGGTATTGGCAAACATTACAAAAAAATATCCGAATTTAATACATTGTTTCAACAATTTTTTGTCTACACGTTTGAATCGCTTGACAGGGCGTCTGGCAATAAGGGGTTTGTTAGTGTCAATGGTAATGAGGGCACTGGGCTTAGCAACACTGATATGACCATGGTCCATTTTGTACTTGAAATCATCAAATACTATCCATTGATAATGAATAAGACTATCAATGTAGACATGCCGTGGATTTTGAATGGATTGTATAAAATTGTCAAGAATTTAATGCCTAAAAGTTTTCAGGACAGTATGATTATCATAAAAAGGGAACAATTGACTCATTATTTGGATGTCCACGAGATTCCCATCACATTTGGTGGCAAACGTGATACGTGTTATGATTTAATTGATAAAATGCAATCACTAAGAGATTTGAAACACTTGGCAATTGATATGAATAATATCAACAATTTTTATAAAGTTTACAATTTTCTCGAAAATAAATCTAATTAAGTTTTTAAGATTTTATAATAATTACTAAATTGTATGTAAAATACATATATATGTATAAATTAACTATTTTTATAAAGTATTTTATTTGCAGTCCTTAAATCATATGTTTTGTCTGTCAAATAATAATATTATAATAAAATATATATTACAAGTATATTTATATTTATTATATTTACATTATATTTATGTGTTAACTGCTAAAATATAATATCAGTATTATAATTAGTGAATCAAAATATATTTAATTAAATATAATACATATTTTGGTGATAAATAAATAAGAAATATTTAATTAAATATTTTGTGTTTTTAGTAAATATAATTAAATATTAAAAATAGATTATAAAGTACTAAATACTGTAAAGTTTTTGCCTAAAGTTATAGTTTTTAACGAACAGTAAATATACGAATAACTCTATGATATAAAAATTAGCAAAAATATTAGGAAAAACAGCATTAGTTGTGTTAAACACAGGGTTGGAAAAATACAAGGTTTTCAATTTTGGCTATGTAAAATACAGTAAAATACAGTAAAATACAGTAAAATACAGTAAAATACAGTAAAATACAGTAAAATACAGTAAAATACAGTAAAATACAGTAAAATACAGTAAAATACAGTAAAATACAGTAAAATACAGTAAAATACAGTAAAATACAGTAAAATACAGTAAAATACAGTAAAATACAGTAAAATACAGTAAAATACAGTAAAATACAGTAAAATACAGTAAAATAAAAAATACAGTAAAATACAGTACAAAAATACAGAAATACAGTAAAATACAGTAAAATACAGTAAAATACAGTAAAATACAGTAAAATACAGTAAAATACAGTAAAATACAGTAAAATACAGTAAAATACAGTAAAATACAGTAAAATACAGTAAAATACAGTAAAATACAGTAAAATACAGTAAAATACAGTAAAATACAGTAAAATACAGTAAAATACAGTAAAATACAGTAAAATACAGTAAAATACAGTAAAATACAGTAAAATACAGTAAAATACAGTAAAATACAGTAAAATACAGTAAAATACAGTAAAATACAGTAAAATACAGTAAAATACAGTAAAATACAGTAAAATACAGTAAAATACAGTAAAATACAGTAAAATACAGTAAAATACAGTAAAATACAGTAAAATACAGTAAAATACAGTAAAATACAGTAAAATACAGTAAAATACAGTAAAATACAGTAAAATACAGTAAAATACAGTAAAATACAGTAAAATACAGTAAAATACAGTAAAATACAGTATAAAATACAGTAAAATACAGTAAAATACAGTAAAATACAGTAAAATACAGTAAAATACAGTAAAATACAGTAAAATACAGTAAAATACAGTAAAATACAGTAAAATACAGTAAAATACAGTAAAATACAGTAAAATACAGTAAAATACAGTAAAATACAGTAAAATACAGTAAAATACAGTAAAATACAGTAAAATACAGTAAAATACAGTAAAATACAGTAAAATACAGTAAAATACAGTAAAATACAGTAAAATACAGTAAAATACAGTAAAATACAGTAAAATACAGTAAAATACAGTAAAATACAGTAAAATACAGTAAAATACAGTAAAATACAGTAAAATACAGTAAAATACAGTAAAATACAGTAAAATACAGTAAAATACAGTAAAATACAGTAAAATACAGTAAAATACAGTAAAGTAAAATACAGTAAAATACAGTAAAATACAGTAAAATACAGTAAAATACAGTAAAATACAGTAAAATACAGTAAAATACAGTAAAATACAGTAAAATACAGTAAAATACAGTAAAATACAGTAAAATACAGTAAAATACAGTAAAATACAGTAAAATACAGTAAAATACAGTAAAATACAGTAAAATACAGTAAAATACAGTAAAATACAGTAAAATACAGTAAAATACAGTAAAATACAGTAAAATACAGTAAAATACAGTAAAATACAGTAAAATACAGTAAAATACAGTAAAATACAGTAAAATACAGTAAAATACAGTAAAATACAGTAAAATACAGTAAAATACAGTAAAATACAGTAAAATACAGTAAAATACAGTAAAATACAGTAAAATACAGTAAAATACAGTAAAATACAGTAAAATACAGTAAAATACAGTAAAATACAAAAATACAGTAAAATACAGTAAAATACAGTAAAATACAGTAAAATACAGTAAAATACAGTAAAATACAGTAAAATACAGTAAAATACAGTAAAATACAGTAAAATACAGTAAAATACAGTAAAATACAGTAAAATACAGTAAAATACAGTAAAATACAGTAAAATACAGTAAAATACAGTAAAATACAGTAAAATACAGTAAAATACAGTAAAATACAGTAAAATACAGTAAAATACAGTAAAATACAGTAAAATACAGTAAAATACAGTAAAATACAGTAAAATACAGTAAAATACAGTAAAATACAGTAAAATACAGTAAAATACAGTAAAATACAGTAAAATACAGTAAAATACAGTAAAATACAGTAAAATACAGTAAAATACAGTAAAATACAGTAAAATACAGTAAAATACAGTAAAATACAGTAAAATACAGTAAAATACAGTAAAATACAGTAAAATACAGTAAAATACAGTAAAATACAGTAAAATACAGTAAAATACAGTAAAATACAGTAAAATACAGTAAAATACAGTAAAATACAGTAAAATACAGTAAAATACAGTAAAATACAGTAAAATACAGTAAAATACAGTAAAATACAGTAAAATACAGTAAAATACAGTAAAATACAGTAAAATACAGTAAAATACAGTAAAATACAGTAAAATACAGTAAAATACAGTAAAATACAGTAAAATACAGTAAAATACAGTAAAATACAGTAAAATACAGTAAAATACAGTAAAATACAGTAAAATACAGTAAAATACAGTAAAATACAGTAAAATACAGTAAAATACAGTAAAATACAGTAAAATACAGTAAAATACAGTAAAATACAGTAAAATACAGTAAAATACAGTAAAATACAGTAAAATACAGTAAAATACAGTAAAATACAGTAAAATACAGTAAAATACAGTAAAATACAGTAAAATACAGTAAAATACAGTAAAATACAGTAAAATACAGTAAAATACAGTAAAATACAGTAAAATACAGTAAAATACAGTAAAATACAGTAAAATACAGTAAAATACAGTAAAATACAGTAAAATACAGTAAAATACAGTAAAATACAGTAAAATACAGTAAAATACAGTAAAATACAGTAAAATACAGTAAAATACAGTAAAATACAGTAAAATACAGTAAAATACAGTAAAATACAGTAAAATACAATGTACTGGATGTATTTTACAATAATAGAAAAATTACATTAACAATGATAAAATATTTATTTTTTATTAAAATTATTATTATTATTACATAATTTCAATATCGTTATTAGAATCGTTGTTTTCTAAAACTATTAAAATTAATATTAATTATTTTTATTAATATATTTCAAATCCAGAATTAAATTGAATAGCTAATTTCAAATTTTTTCAATATAAAATAATAATTATTATTACAAAACATGTGTTTATTTGTGAATTTTAGTATTTTTGTTACTAGATTGTTACTTGTTGTAAGCCAAAATTGTCATGTAATTTACATTGTATTATACTGTATAATACGCTTTGTATTATACATACACTTTGTCTCTGCCAACACTGGTTAAACATGTGAATGCAATCAATTAGTAAGAATTATATTATTCAGTATTAGTTATTAAGTTTGAAAATAAAATTAAGTCTATTTTTTACCTTTTCTTAATAAAAATATGATATCAATTTGTAATACTCTTATGCATTATTATTAATTGTAATTTAAATAGAAATTAGAATAAATTACAAATTGATTAGATATATATTTAACTAAATTTTTAAATATTAAGAAATTTTAAATATATATTTTACTAAAAAAATGACTATTTAAAAAAATAAAATAAATATTTTGGTAGTTTTTAGTAAATATTTTATTCATTATTTTCAATTTTTAAAAAAATATTTCTTGATGCACTAATTATAATACATAACTGATATAATGTAAGTCTTGTTATTTGTATATATAATTATTGATAATGACATTGATGTGGTAAATGATAGGTTGTTCCATGAAATAGGGTTGAGATGGCATAGTCTAAGTTGTCGGCTTTCGGGTACGACAACCCGGGATCGATACCCGGACGGACTACCTAATCATATTGGGATTTTTAACGCGAGGAAACAGATTATATGTGTACTCTGAACTGTCATATCGTTAATATCTACTCCTCTAACACATTGCACTTTCGATGGTTATGAGTGCTGTAACATAGTTGGGGTCTCAAAACACCGTGAATTCATATTATGTAAAAAAAGGGATACAAATCATAGATTTGGTTATTACGGTAATATATATATATTGAACAGTCAAATGATAATAACAATGTAAATATAAGATATTTAAAATCTACTAAAAAATACAGTATAAAATAAAATAAAAAATATTATAAAATTAATAATAAGTAGACATTGATTATTATTTAAAATAATATACAAATTATTTCCTTATAGACAACTCTTTTAAAAAAATATTGAATTATATGCAATAAAAATAAAGTTGCGTTTTTAATATAATTAATAAAATAAGTTTATTGTATTAATATTTTATCAAATTAAGATAATTATAAAGTAATTACTGTTATGCATAATATTCAATAATCTATAGATTATTTGTTAGTTGACATTTACTGTATATACTATATAGTATATAGCAAACTACAATATTACTATATTGTAAATAAAAAAATAATATTTTTTAATCAAATATTAACAACTAATTATAAAATATTTATTACTATACTTTATAGGTGTTACTTATAATATTAATAAAATAACAACTACACACAAAAATATATTATGAAAGTTAACACTTTCTAGCAATTATGTAAACAAAACAAATTAATAAAATGTAAAAGTTGTATAAAACAGTAGGATAAAATTGTAAAAATTATACAATTATTATTAAAACAAAATTTTCAATCAGATTTTTTTCTCTATTCATTTTCGTATAAAAGCATACAATGATTTCAAATAAGTTTTTATACGCATTAGTATTAAAATTCATTATTCATTATAAATAGCATTAAAACTAATTTTATTTATGATTAAAGCATTGATATATTATTTATATATAATTTTTAAAATTTAATTTACATTGAATAATTTACATTTTTAATTAATTTTTTGTTTGTTTATAAATGTCTACATAATTACTAGAAATAGTATTCACTTTCATAAAATAGTTTTGTGTGTAGTTTATTAAATTAATAAAAATTAACACATATGTGATAGACATTATCACAGATCCTCTCTCTAGTACTATAAATACCAAAGTCTATCTAAATATATAATTAGTATCTTAAAAGACTAATTAATTAAAGATAATTTCACATTCATTTTAAAGCCAAATAATAATTACTTTGTTTTCTTAAGAGTTAATAATAACAAATTGTATAAAATTTTAAATATTATATTATTTGAAAATACTAATAATATTTAATTTAATATTACTTTATATTAATATTGTTTAATGTAAAATTTGACTCAACTAAATAAATAATTGTTTACTTGAAATTTAAAAAAAGTTTTTTTGTGATTACTTCAAATTAGTGAAAGTCTATCTATCCCTCACTGATAGATATATGACACTACAATACTATTTAAATAAAAACATGTTATAAAATATAAAGTAATAAAATCTATTAAATATTCATTTGAAGTAAAATTTTTATTATCTTCGACTTAAGTGAAAACAATTATTTATTAAAATAATTGATAATTTAAATTACAATTTTTTTAAAACTGTTTTTTGGTATTGAGATTAATGCTAAAATGAGTGAAGCTATCTATGGATTGACTGATGTATCCAACAGAGCACCGGTAGATGAGATTCGTAAAAATTTTTTACTTGAAGTTAGCAATAGTCCTGATTTATATGACAAGATTGATGTGGAAAGGGTGAGTACAGAGGACTGGGAGATTGAAAGGTTCATATTATGTCATAAAAATATTGATAAAGCGTTTGAAGAATTAATAAAATCAATACAATGGAAGAAGTCTTATGGTCTTCACGATAGAGATCACACATATTTTCCTAAAGAGTTGGTCCATATATTTGGTTACGAAAAGTTCAGTCGTGATACAGATGGACGGGTAGTCGGTTGGATAGCGGGAAGTCGTTACAAAAAAATTGGTCAATTTTCTCCACTTATATATCAATATGGGTTTTATGTGGTGGAGATGATTGACAGAATGGCCGGTAATAAGGGATGGACTGTTGTGGCCGACCATCACGGGGCAGGTCTGGCAAATGTTGACATGAATTTGTTTTACATGGGATTAGAAGCATTGAAATATTATCCCATGGGTTTCAAATTGATGATAAACATAGACTTACCTTGGTTATTAAACTCTATCATCAAATTTTGTCTTACATTACTACCTAAAAGTTTGCACCAATCACTTGTCTTTATCAAACGCAACCAATTGACTAATTATATTAATATCAATGACATCCCTGTGCCGTATGGAGGGGTACGCGAAGTTACCTGTGAACTGACCCAACAAATGTTACCATTAAATGAATTAAAACATTTACAATTTGATGAAAAACAAATTGATATATTTTATAAAACATATAAAATATGATGTTATATATTATAATTTATAAAAAATTACTAAACAATATAATAAAAAGTTAATTTAACTATATGTTAATAAAACTAGCTTTTTATTCAATAAAATTTTTGATTAAAATTATTTATATGTAATAACATCATAATTATTATTTGTTTTATTATAATTAGTTATATTTTCCGATAAATTAGTATTTAAGATTATTTATATATAATATTTTTATTTTATAGTAAAATCTTATTGTATTTTAATTAAATTGTTAGAAATTTTCAATTTTGAACAATCATTTCAATACAAATTACATTTTTATTTTTTATATAAAATACTGCATAATATAGTCTTATTGTTTATTATTACTGTATTTATTTTATTTCTCAAAGTATTTTAATTAGTATTTAAATTATTAATTAAAAAACTTGAGTTTGTATTGTATTATAATTACAATTTTTATAGTAGTTTATGCTATTAATAATAGAAATACATATAAAAATGTCTATTAATTATAATTTTATTTAGAAATAAAAAGTTTTTTTTATTTTAAAATATATTATTTTATGTGTATTTGTTAAAAAATTTATCAAAAAATTATTAATTTTTTATAAATTATATAAATATCTTATTAAATTATAAAAGTAATAATTTTTACTATTATATTAAGCATATAATTCTGTATATTATTATAAGTAAAATAAATATTTAATAATTAAATTATTAGAAAAATATATCATTGAATATACAGTACAGTAGTATATGTGATATACTTTATGATTAAATACAGTATAAACTGTATTATTATTTATTACTAATTTGTTTAAAGCTATAAATATTTATGAACTTTGAATCAATAATCAAATTGTTATTTTAGCGCCAATTCATTAAACTATGACTAATATAATAATATTGAAATCAATTATTTAATAAATTAATTGAATATTATATAACAGTATCAATAGTACTGTACTGTAGAGTATTATAGACTACCTATAGATCAATACATATATTATTATTATTATTATAAACTTTGATAACATTACTAACAGTTGAATAAGTTTAGAGTCAATTATAATTGCAATCAATTGATTCAACTCTATATGTAATCTAATTTGACTATTGATGTCATGACTCATACAAACAGTTATTATATTTGATATTCAATTCAATGATCACATCTGACATCTGATCCAAACAATGCCACCAAAGGATAGAAAGATAGGATTAAAGAGTTCAGGTATTGTTGATTGCATTTCGTAAGTGTTTTACTATTATTTTGTTAATTAGACCAATCAAGTGGTCAACAACAACAACAACAACAACAACAAACAAGACGTGATGTACCGCAAGATTCAGATTTTCCCACTTTAGGACTGATATCACATTCAAGACAAACCGCTACAGACACTACTCAACCCATTGGGATGTCCGGACATTGGGGACAAACGACACCAACGATGACGAGTCAGCCAATGGACAGTTCGGGTTCCCGTCAAAGCAGTACAACCAGTGATAAATCAAAACAAACTAAAGACACAAAAAAGGTTTGTATTTATAAATTTAAGACTAATTCAAACTAATAAAAGATAACATTTTATGATATTTATTATTATAGACTAAAGACGAAGATTTGGCTAAAGAAATAAAAGAAAAGATGACTTTATCGCTACCAAAGCGAGAACACCAACCGTTTTCTAAGAGACCGGGAAAGCCATTGCCTAACAATTGGAAATCAGTTGCTTTGTTGGCCAACCATTTTGTCATAAGAGTTGGCAATAAAACTGCTTATCATTACGATATCAGTATAGAAAAAGAGCAAAAAGTTAATGAAAAAGACAAGAATTTGGTCGACAAGAATGTAGACGAGGCGGCGGCCGAACCTCTGAAGCAAAACAGGTTCGCACGGAAACTAAGTACTGCTCTAAATAGACGTATATTTGAACGTATGATTGAATTGTATTCTCAAACCGCTGGACAACACTTTTATGGTATGCGTTGCGTATACGACGGCCAGAAAAATATGTTTACTTCGCGGGAGATCAACGCTGCGGGAGATCCAGAACATCCACTTCTATTGATTGTTAATCTTATAGAAGGCAACAGAGAGACTATATTTAAAGTGTCGATTAATAGGACAGAAAAATTTGTGATTGATTTAAATATTCTGAATGAGTATAACAGCGGACGTCATAGGGATGATGAGGCCGTCAAACGCGCCATTTTGTTCATTAATATACTTATTAGACATAACTCTACCAATGATATGATACCTATTGGTCAATCAATTTTTGATCCCCGAGAACCTACTAAACCATTGAGCAAATATTTGGATTTGTCTTACGGTTTTTATAGTTCTCTTCGTAATCTTATGGCTGGTCCGACCTTAAACATTGACCGCTCAGCCGCCGCTTTCTTGAAACCAGATATTAAATTGATAATTGAATCAATATTGAAGAAACCACTGAAACAAATTCCTGGCGGATCTATAACTTCTACTCAAAGGATACAAATCAAGAAAGAGTTGAGTGGTCTTCAAGTAGAGGCCACACATATAAACTATGGGTTACCACGTTCTCCACGTTATCGCAAGTTTCGGATTATTGGCATTTCTAGGTTATTAGGTTTTCTTATTTAATTACCGATATATTAATAAAATTGGTTTATTATTAGATTGTCAGCAGCGGATCAAACCTTTGATTGGGAAGAAAAGAAAAATCAACCAAAAGTTAAAATTACAATTCAAAGTTACTTTAAGAAAAAATATGGAATAAATTTGAAATTTCCTCATTTGCCGTGTCTTGAAGCGGGAAATCCAAAAGATCCAAACAGATTGCCTATAGAAGTCTGTCAACTATTACCTAACCAAAGGGTTCGCCGTTCACTGACCAATGAAGAGCGATCTAATATGACTAGAATTTCTGGTCAAATGAATCCCGAAAAGCGTTTCCAGTTTGTGAAGAACTGCGCGGAACAACAATTTCATTCAAATGAAGAAATTGCGAGAAAGAATCGCAATTTTATGTCAGAGTTTTCAATTGATATCGAAAAAAATCTTCTCGAAGTCAACTCCAAAGTAATACCGGCGCCGACATTGAAATATAAAAACAACCGAACAGTTATACCGCGATCTGGTCAGTGGTCAATGAATAAATTGAATTTCTATAACCCTATAAAGTATGGTATTATATCTAAATTACTATTATTGTAATTATTAATTACTGTTTATTTTTAATATAATTTAATAATTAGTTTAGAAGAATGGATTATAATAAACATATCGATGAATGAAATTAATAGTTCAGAAATTGTTCGTTTCAGTAATGAATTGTGTTTTCAGGCGAAACAAATGGGAATGAATTTTAATAATTATAAAAGGATTGCTAATATCAATAATTACGATCCAATCAACACTTTTTCGGGAATCAAACAAAGAATCGAATCACAAGAATTTAAAGACTTACAAATGATTCTGTTTATAACACCGGCGAAGACATACCAATACAACGATGATATTTATTGTCAAATAAAATTGTTAGGCGATGTCCACAAAGGGTTGACCACACAGTGTGTTACTATCACTAGTATTATAGAACAAAGACATAAAATGAATGGCAATTGGAATCAAAGTTTTTTGATTAATTTGATTCTTAAGATTAATCCTAAATTGGGTGGAATTAATGTCACTCTAACTACTAATCAAATGTCATCATTATTTAGTCAGAGATCAGTAATGATTGTGGGCGCAGATGTCAATCATCCGGCGCCGGCAGATAAGGTTTCACTATCAATAGCAGCAGTTGTGGGTAGTTTTGACAATGAATTTACAAAATTTTATACAACTATATCAATGCAACCGAAATCAAGAGAAGAAATGATTAGAAATTTAGATCAAATGCTTTTGAAATTATTAAACAATTATAAGACAAAGAATAACAACTCATTGCCTCAATCTATAGTGTTCTATAGAGATGGTGTCAGTGAAGGACAGTTCCAACACGTGATTGACAACGAATACCCGCTTTTATTGAAAGCTTTTAAGAAAATGAATCCGTCTTATGAACCAAAACTGACATTTATTGTGGTCCAGAAACGACATCACACGAGGTTTATGGTTAAAGATACTCTAAGTAATGTTGAAGCGGGAACTATAGTTGACAATGGTGTCACTCATAAATATGATTATGACTTCTACCTATGTAGTCATAATGGACGTATTGTAGGCTTACAAATAAAACCGTAAAATAAAAAATATTAATTTCATAATTTATTAATAGGGAACCAGTCGTGCGGCTCATTACTATGTGTTGATCGATGAAAATGGATTTTCTACTGAAGACATGTGTAAAATGACTTATTACTTGTGCCACACATACCAGCGCTGTACTAAATCAGTGTCTATACCGGCACCGGTATATTACGCTGATTTGGCCGCATATCGGGCTAAAGTACACGCTATGGCACGACCTGATCAAAGTGATACCGCATCGACTGTTAGTAAACAAGGAGGAGGTGATGAAAAAAGGGATGCAATTAATATATACGAGGAGTACATTGAAGTCAATAACTCACAAAAGCAAAAATTATATTATATGTAACATTATGTCGATTATTATTATAAATGATAATTGGTTTTTATTTTAAAAATCATAATTTAATTTACCAAACAATACAATTTTAAGTTATAAAAAGTTACTATAAATATAGAGGTAAATCCATTTTATAGATTATTCATTGAAATAAATTTAATTATTAGTTAATTAGGTAATTATAGAAAAATGTTCACTCATTATATTTCAATAACTCTTAATTTTTGCTAATAATTTCACATCGTTTTTAATAAAATCTTTATCAATAAACCAATCACTATATGTGTCCAAAATGTGCGAACAATAGGATCCAATTACTTTAGTTGAATAGATTTGCAGTAAAATTAATTTTTAATTAAAGATCACATTGTTTAACATAAATTAATCAAATGAATACTCATTTTGTAGACTGATATTCAATAAAATAAAATCAATAAATAAATCTTAACACTAAAAACTATTAGTAATTTAATACTAACGGTATATAATATATATTGTATATATTGTATATAAAATTTAATTTATAATTTACAATTTTGAATTATATTTTTTTAATTTAATTGTATCGTAAGTCAAAGTTTTGTGAATAGAATTAATGTTTAGTAAGACTCAGTCATAATGAGTAGGACAACCCCTGACCACCCGACAAACGGGTGGGAGCACTGACCCGAACCCGATATATCATTATACTGTTCCCATATAAACCCAGTTTTCTCGTATTGATTAAACATATTTGTGATTATATTATTTCTGAGCTCTTTATATAAGTTTTGTGCTTTTAGTTGATTGGGACCCTTAAGACTGCCGTAATAGTGGAGAGATCGAAGTACCAGATAATTGATATTAATCCAAATGGGACCCCTCCAGTAGGGCGATCCCCACTGACTGTTCCACTTATTGTAGTAAAAACTTGTTTTAGACAATGAGCTCAATCCATATGGTGATCCCATTTGAGATGAGTTGCCAATTATATCTAAAACATGACCTAATCGTGTATTGTTGGGCTCTATTAGACCAAACATCAAAGGGAATAGATTGACATAACCTAATTGATCGCATGTCAACTGATATTTAGGTGGTGTCCATACTTTGCGTACATACTGTCCGGTCGAGTCTTTGACCAGCGAAACGTTTGTCGAGTGATATCCATAATCACAATAGGCTTTATCCGCTTCAGACCAATGAAGTGTCTCTAATAAGCCGTTGTCGGCCAATAAATCTGCTGTCGCTTTGTATTTGCTTTTCATGACTGTATCTCCAATTGCATCGGCTATACGTGTCATAACATCCGCTGCCAACCATATCCAACATCTCAAGTCTAAATGATATTCATCATCAGTGGGATGTGTAGCCCGTGGGTAGTCATCGAGACCAGAGGTTAAAGTTGAAGGATTCAATTCATGTATACTGTCTTGTGATCTGCCTCTCCATCTATATGTTGCCATTTTAGTGCCACTTTGAGATGTATTATACCAGTTAAACCATGAACTTAGTCGGGGGTATATCTCTTTCAGATATGACTTATCGATTTCATTGTTTTTCATCAGAGTATCAATGGTTAACAAGAATGACGGGGGATTGGCGTTCACATCTGTTTGAGTATTGAGTCCATGAAAGTTATCAATACTTTCGGCGCCAATTGTGATCTCGCGGGGTATCCATCCGTCGACATTCATAAGATTAAACCAAGACTTCATGATAGTAGTCGTCAATGAGCTGTTCCAGCGTTGGATGACTAGATTATGAAAACCTTCGTCCCATAAGAAAGGACGAGGAAATATGGGACGAGAGGGTACGGCTGATAGTATCTGTAATGGACCGTATGTTTTAGGTTGTGTCATACCGGGTGAGTTAACTGAAAGATTGCCATTAAAATAACCAATACTTCCAATCATTTCACTGAGTATTGACTTTCCAAATGCGATCTGACTTTCATTAAAACCTTTTGATTTTAATCGAAACTTTTTATCAAATTCTTCGTCAAAATTATATATTTTTTTCTTTAATTCACTTTCAAAATCCTCGTTATTTTGTATATCATTTAAATATGACTTTCCAGTACTAAAATCTGTTCTCACTTTAAACGATCCTTTGGAGACTACTTGATATGCAATGAGATGGGTATGGGTTGGAGTTATGCCCTGTTTTAAGCCATATATATCCGTCCCATTGATTGTCATTTTAGATAAATTACTTTTAATTGCTTTACTAATATCAATAATTGTTGCATTACTGACTAACTGTCCACCATATATTAATGCATTACTTTCAGCTTTTATATTAAGTGTAAAATTACCAATATATTGATTATAACCTTTTATATTAATAAAACTGGTATTAAAACCACTTATTGTGATATAATCCTTGTCTCTCATTAATGATATGTACATTACAACAGACATCGTCTCATCATTAATATTGTTTGCAGTGATTTTGTCGACTGACACCAAAGCTGACCAATTGTTAGCATTGGTATGTTTTACAAAACTTGTATTTAGTTTATAATTTTGATCGGTTATGGTTTGGAAACCAAAATCTTGAAAATTATGTGCTTTCCAGCCATAGATAATACCATCGTCCGGATGACAGGTGTGTCTCAACTGTAGATGTGATACATCGGACGCAGAATTTTTGAACCAAATTAAACCAATGGATGGAGAGTCGGGTTGTGTAGTCCTGAGACCGAAATAATACATTCCTCTAAATGTACCCCAAGTGTTGTAGGGAAGGATGGGCTCCATATGAAATCGGTGGTCAAATGGTATGTTCACATCTGTTGAATTGCAAGAAATTGATGCAAAACAACCAACAAATATCATTAAAATATGATTTATTAAATTCATTTTTTACAATTTATAATATTATATAGTAATATAACTATAATAAACTATAATAATATTAAACAATAGTTGATTATAGTTTAATAGTCTAAAAATATTGACAAACAAAAGCATTTAAATGAAATTTTTATGACAAGACACTTGAAAAATATTAAATGATAGCGAATTCAATACGACTTCAATAAACTCATTGATAAATTGATTAAATATAATATATCTTTATTGAACAAAATTTTTATTTTCAAAAATTATTATATTTATGTAATCAATATTACAGTTATTGTTAGTACAGTTCAATATGCATTATCTTTAAGTAAAGTAGTTATAAGTGTTTTCCATTAATGTAATAATTAAATTAAATATTTTCTATCAAAATTTAATTTTTACAAACTTTTATATATTACTTTTACATCTTAACAGTATTTTAATAGATAATTATTACATTGAAATTTTAAATAAATTATGAATGTTGTTTAAAATATTTCAAATAATAATAATAAATATTTTTCCAAATACTAAATTTTTAATAATAAATATTTTATTAAAACAAAATTAATTATTTTTCAATATATTATAACAAATAGTTTTAAATAAACAATTTTTGGATAATTTAAACTTTTTGAAATTTTTTTATATAATATATATATATATTATATATTTTGATAAATTTAAATAAAAATTTGTTTCAATTATAAGAGATTACATGACAGTATTTAATGTATTTTTAACATTTAAAATATAAAACAAAAAGAAAATACAATTTAAAGTCTTAATAATTATATAATTTGTTGTCTTAAATGATAAGATTAAAACTCAATGATAGTCCTAATTGTTTTACCAGACTTTAGTTTATCAAAACCTTCACTAATATCATCCAAACGTATTCTGTGTGTTATTAGTCCATCAATTGGTAGATCACCCGATATATACTTATCCACTAAATTTTCAATGTTTTTTCGTGGTTTTTGATTACCATAATAAGCACCCATTACTTTGCGTCCATTCAAAAGCTCTGCTACCGAAGCGACTACTTTGTTACCTCTGGCACCTAAACCTAAATGCATTTTAAAAAACTATTTTATAGTACAAACTTCTATTATATATATAATTTCATAATATTATAGTATAATAAATAAATTATTTTTACCAATAACTACAAGACTTCCCCATAAATTCAATGAATTATAGGCCGAGTCGAGGACTTGTTGGTTACCAATACAATCAAATGCATAGTCAAGTCCACCGATTTCTTTGAAATACTCTTCAATAGATTTTCCTAAATATTTAATTTTTGTTTTACTATTTAAATGATAGTATTTTCATTTAATTATATTTTATGGGAGATATACCTAATGTCGAGGGATTAACAAAGTGTGTGCACCCAAATTCACGTGCGATACTCTCTTTATTGTCATTTATGTCGACACCAATAATTTGTTTGGCACCGGCCTGTTTGCAACCTAACACCGCAGATAAACCAATAGCACCTAAACCCCAAACGGCACACTTAGATCCAGAGTGTACTTTAGCCAAATTGACAGCACTAGCATAACCCGTACCAACAGCACATCCTATAATGCATACCGATTTCAGATCAGCCTTTGAAGTAATCTAACAATTAATAATATAATTTTATTAATAATTATAAAAAAATATGAAGATTTTTGTGATTTTTATATGAAATACTTTTGCAATTTGTGTTTCTTTGACAACACTATACTCCGAGAAAGTACTGGTGCCGGCTGTAAAACAATTCAAATATTTAGATGATATGATATATTGATTAACAATTTATAGTTAATATTACTAAATGAAAGCAAAGGTTTGCCATTGATCTTCATTCGGGTCTGTTTGTTGTTCCCGTGATATAGTGTCGATTCAAACGATGAACTCAAACATAAATTGGTGTTTGGATGAGAGCACCACTCGCACCGATTGCATTGTGGTAACCACATTAGTATTACATGATCACCGACTTCAACACTAGTCACTTCCGGTCCTATTGACTCAACAATGCCGGCACCTTCATGTCCAAATACTATAGGATTGCCCTCTAACTCTAATTGAATATCAGTATCCAATCCCCAAATGAAATGTCCATCACTGGCACAGAGACCGGCCGCTACCATACGGATCCGGACTTCCCCTGTTTGCGGCGGATCTACTGTTATATTCTCTAATGTCAATGGAGTTCCTTCTTTCCATAGAACTGCTGCCCGACAACTGATTGTCTAAATTTTATTCAAACAAAAATCTATTGAAACAAACAAAACAAAAAATACTAACAAACCTTTGCAGACATATTTCAAACTTAAGTATTATTAAAAATAAAGTTTAACTTTCAAAAAGTCAATTCTTTATAATAAACTAATTTTTACATTAAAATATCTGTTAAATATTACATTTAAGACTTTATAGTAATTGAAATTTTAGTAATTAAATAGAAAATTAATCTATTTTTGATAATTTAATGTTTGCTAAGTTTTTTGATTATTGATAAATTTAATTTATTTGTTGATATATTATTTTATAAATGTGATCATTCATTGACTAATTATTCTTAATATTCAAATAATTTAATGATGAAAATAACATAATAATTCACTTATTATTTCTTTAATGCCTATAAACTATAGACTGGCAAAAGTAGGCGATTAAAATATATTTACTTAAGTAAATATATACAGATATAAGGATTAATAATTACATACAAAAATTTTATATAAATTAACAAATGGATTAATTAAATAATTTAATATTTGTGTTATTTGTTAATCAATTGTTGTCATTATGGGCTCATTTAAGAGCTATTTATATGCCCTCTCATAAAGTAATGTAAAATTAGTCTAAAATTTGGACACAAATTTACAATTAGATCACAATTAGGACAAAGTCTGGTTAATACAATAGTGGATGAAATAAAGGGTAATTTTGAAAATTAATTATAATTAAAATAATAACTATTTAATTGTTTATTTTTTACAAACAGGTTAGATATCTAAGAAAATATTACTAATATTAATAACAAATTTTAAAAAAATTGTTTTATTAATTTATTAAATTGTTTTATTAATTTATTAAATTGTTTTATTAATTTATTAAATTGTTTTATTAATTTATTAAATTGTTTTATTAATTTATTAAATTGTTTTATTAATTTATTAAATTGTTTTTCTCTAATCCCCATTCAGCAGACGGACCACAAAACAGTGAATAATTTTTTTGTCCATAAATTATGACCCAAATTTAAAAATCGTATAAAATAATTAGATTATACCGTATGATCTCACATTTTAATGAATTTTATAATTTAATTAAATTAATATAATTTCACAATCTTTACCGTATTTCCTAATATTTTAATATTAATGAAACTAATTTATAATACCGTTTTCCCAATATTGAAAATGTTTATAGATTTATACCATATTTTATTGCTAATATATTCTTACATAGGAATACTATACTTTTTCAAAAAAAACTTGACATTATTGTGGGAAGACGGTATTAATTTTAAAAACATAAGTTAACTATAGTAAGACAGTACTATGAGAGGTAATATGATATGAATGCTTAAAAGATGGTTTAATTATATATATATTGAGTTATTACGGTATTATTTAATATATAAAATAAAAAATATTATTTTTTTAATTAGTAACATAATTGATACCCATTTTGATCGATAGATGTATTGTTTATATTATTTGTTATAATTTATCCGTCCATTAAAAGGTTGATATATCATATTTCAATCCCTACTTTTGCCAGTGTATAGTATGTACTATAAACTTATAAGTTATAACTCTTATCAAAAATAGTACTAATCCTTAAACAACTAACTTTATTATCTCTTAACGGGTTATCTAATTATATCTCATTAAAACAATATATAATATTATTATATAACAGTATATATGAAATGAACAACTTTTCAATGTTTATATTAAAACTGATTCAGTAATATCTATAAACAATATTAATATATATCTAATTTAAACCTAATTTAAACCTAATTCTCGTACATAGTTTGCTACATCGCGTCATTCACCTAACATATCCCTAACTAACTAAACCTAACATTTTAATCAATTTACTGTTTATTTATTAGACTATTTTGTAAAGGGATTAATAGATTAAATATTACTATTAGACTGTATTGTATTAATTTAACATTTATCGCTGAACCGTATAACTGGTATATTATACAATATGTTATACAAATAATATCTATAATATTATAGATTCTACAGTATAKACTAACGCTTATATGGATTTATATGTTATAATATAGAATTACCAAATTAGACAGATTCTGTAAAATAATAATTATAAACGAATTTAGTATTTTATAATATAAAATGTTTATTAAACCATAAATTTTGTTACTTTTGGTAATCATTATATAAATAAATTTGATTGAATATATTTCAAATAAGACAAGTATTTTATTTATTATTAATTTGTTGCATACTGTACAAGAGAAAAATCAATTTAAAAAAAACTGTAATAATTATTATAATGCATAATTTTCTATTAAATTAACTATTTGTTTAAATTAAAAAAATATTGTAAATAATATAAAAAACAAACTAAAATAACTTAATTTTTAGTTATCGAGATTTCGATGTTATTTTATTTATTATATTGTTTTGTTAACAAAATAAGGTTAAAGACATTATAGAATATCATAAATAATTATAAATAAATATTAAAATAATAATTAAAATTTATACATTTTAAACATTAAAATTGCAATTAATGTTATGAATGTTTTATCTATATATACAAACGTTTTTCTTTTTCATAGATTTTTATAATTAAATTCCAGAAAATCTAATACTAATACAATAATAATTAATAAAATATATTAGATATCATTACTATTAAATTGTTTGCATTTTATTTATATACAATATTTACAATTTAAAACTGTAAATATTTATTATATAAATAAATCAATTAATTTTAAATATTTTCATCGTCTCGAAGGCGTTGTGTTTGTCGGCCAACGTCTCAGTGATCGTTGTCTTCACCGATGACTTTGTTTGCGGTGCTATTTGTGGTCCACTTTTGATAACCATCGGGTGATCCATCGGTTTTGTGGCCGTCAAACAAAACATAAGTGTTGTTGTTGTCAATAATTGTGTAAAATAGTCAACAAAACCCATGATATATGAAATATTGAAAAATATTAATATTTAATAAAATTAAGAGTTTTGATGAAAACTTGTTCTAAACAAAAGTGTTTTGAAAAGTTCAATGTTTTATAAACTTATTTAATTAATTTGTTTTATTTAAACACTTTCCGAGTCTTTATATATAAGAAGATGAAACAAAAATTGTAAGTTTATATTATATAAAAACATGAATTATATGAATGATAACAACTTATGTAAACTCATGTATAGATTTCATTTTAGTATAACTTTAGTATTTTGGACCTAAAATAGAAATATTACATAAATAATTTACTAATATAATCAATTATAATTATACATATCAAACAAATTGCTTATTATAGCTAATTGTATGATAACCAAGTAGATTGATTTAAACATTTAAAATTAAAAGACTACTTGGGTTTCATTTATAATATAACAAATTATATACAAAAATCAATTCATTGCAGCAATATTTTAAGTGATATGACATGTCTTGGAAATAGTRTTAACAAAAAAAGGAATTTCTAGAAAGTTTCTAAAAAAAATCTTTTTATGAGAACCTTATGTTAATTTTGTTATATTGTAAAAGTATATTATAAATAAAATATTATTATTAGTTTTTTAATTAATATTCAAAATAATAGAATTATTCGATTAATAAAAATAATAAAAGTATCAATAAATTTTATTATAACTATAAGTATAATAAGATTATTATATTAATTTTAAATATAGAGATCCCATTTGTATAGTTGTGTTGTGTAAATTATTTATTAATAATACAGTATTACTATAGATACAGTATAAAATTTATATTGGGATTTCATAATATAATAATAAAGTAAAATTTCTATAAAAATTTATTTCTGAGAAAGTTTCTAGAATTTTTCTTWGTGAAATTTATTAGAAATTTCAATTTGTTAATCTCTACTTATGACAAATTTTATAATATCTACAATAAATGTGTATTATTTTTATTATAATATTAGTTTTCTGCAAATTATATTTAACARCTTGATTGAAAACATTAATTACATTATAAAATATTATAATAACCACAATATTTCAATTGAATTAACTGTATATTATATAAAATTGTTGAAAACAATTTGTAGCATTAATTGGCTGAACAAACCCCCGGCTCTTTTGTAAAATTTATTTGTACTATAATTTATGTTTTAAAAAGTAAAGTTTATGTGAAGATTGCATTTTCATCATATATGATGTAAAGCTGTGAACACATTTTCATTTATCATTTTTAGGACTCATGTTATTAATATTTATATTATTTTTATTTATAAAATAAACTAATCATTGGTAAATAGTATATACCATATACTATATACAGTATATGAACCTGATATTTATGTTTTAAAACTCTTTATATGTTTACTATAAATTCAATTTAATTGTCACTAATGATGATTGAATGGTTTCGAGGTTTTACTACTTATACATTGTACTCATTTTAACAAAAATATTAGTTTAAAAATAATTAAATTACTATTAAGTSATTTTACAAACATTTTAATTGAAATCATATCTAATTAGACTGACAAACGAATTCTTTTTATWAAAAAAGGACATTGATAAAAAAGTTTCAAAATTACCAGGGACAAATCAGGGACATAATAAATTACTATTTTCTTATTATATTAAAATASTATACTTTTTATAGAMAATTAAGTACYTGTACTCAACATTTAAATATTTAATAATATTTTATTTTAATAAAAATAAATGTCATTAAAATTTTTCAAAATTGCACATATTTTACTGTTACATAAAATAAATGATATATTGTTATACTCTATAAGTTTTACTTGAATCATACAAATATAATTGCATTGATTTATTTTATGCACTCATTTTATGTAAAAATATATTTTGTTTTATATTTTATTTCTATAATATTTCTGCATTTTGTGTACAATATATTTCTAGACAACTTATTTAATTAACCGATATTTACATTGTTACGGTAAACCCTATCCACGACTCTGAAATAAGTGGTCAAATCCTGGACGGTTGGTCACCCTATATCTAGTATATAATATAAATATTTATTAATAAAAACTTTATAAAATAAATAAAATATTGATTACGTTAAAACATTTTCGATCATTAATATAATAATTATTAACACAATAATGTAAGTTAATTTAAATAATATTATATTAAAAGTATAATCATTTAATTATTATATTATTATTAGTAAATTCAGGTGTTATTTAAAAAAAATATTATTTAAAATATGAAACAAATATAATTATTGATAATCTATTGAATCYATTAAATATATACAGTTTATTAGTTTTGACTATTTTGTCTAATAAAATCAAACATTAATTATATTTATAATATATTGTTTATTTAATATAATATAAATTATGATATATAAAATGTTTATATTAATAAATTAACATTAATTAGACTATTTTTGATTTTAATTAGTAATCAATTTTTTAAAACTCCAGATTTAAGCCAATAATKTCTTAAAATGATAAAATTTATTTATTACTATTTTATTTATTTAATTAAACAGTATTTTTAAGTACACACATTATTATTGATACTCTTAACTGTTATGAACTATTGGTACTGTTATTTAATAAATATTATTTATAATATAAATAATATTTATTAAATAGTGAGTTGAGTGGCCGTTGATCAGGCGGCCAATAACTCGGGTTCGGTTAAGTATACGAAATAAGTACACGTTTTTATATGAAAGCAAACGATTTTATTAAATATAAAATATGCGACTAAACGCTGTGAAAGCTAAGCGACTACTACTGTTGCGGAAACGGTAGAGTCGTTGAAATAATGCAATGCTGCCGCTTATGATGTTGTGTTGAGCGCCAGCTGTTAACACACTCCCCGGCCGCGAAACTGCGTATATTGTCCGAATTTTGCGACTTTCGGGTAATGTGATCACGTACATCAATCGGTGATGTGTTTCGGTGATTACGGTCATGTTTATCGTCAAACCGTCGTTGTTTGTCTTGTGGTAGACGTCCAATCGGTGTCATAGGTGGTCGTATTAGTGGATGTTTCTTTTCGGTGTGATTTGTGATATCACGCTTAACGGTGAACAAACCAATCTGTGGTATTCGCGGACTACTGCCGGAACACCCAAACGATTTGTTATGCGATTTGATCGGCTCCTGTCGTCGACATTGACGTTTCCAATGATATTCGGTGAAACCGTGTCGAAGACATCGAGGACAAGGAGTCGGCGGTATGTCATACTTACGATTGTCTTTACGATTAATGCGATTATTTTCGGTGACAATACCGACTTTTTTGACTGTCATATGTGCGACTTTCGGTTTATTCGAGATATGTCGTTGACTTCGCAGGCGCACAGTTGTCTTCATTTCTGCGATGTCGAGTCCAACGAGAACATCGTACGCGATGTCCATTACGTGAATCGTTACGTATTCGGTGTGTCCGTCCATTTGAATCTTAACGTTGACGACACCGAGTGTATACTTATCGCCGGCGATGGTACCTACTTTGGTCTTATGTCGCTCGTCCGGTCGGAGTTTCATTTGTTTTGCGACATCCTTCGATAAGATAGTAATGTCGGCGCCATTATCTATGAAAGCTCGTACGGGTTTGTCATTAATTCGTATGTCTCGATATCGTTCAGTATGCGAGACAGCGTTAACCACTGGATCCGGATTTTTCGGTTCTGTTCTTGGACAGACGCGCATCCAGTGATATTCGGTTATGCCGTGTCGTCGGCATCGTGGACATAAAGTCGGTGGCCTATCATTGTTACCATTCTGTCGCTTTTTCCAACGATTACGTTTGGGTTGGCCGTCTTCGTCGTCGATAGCGTTAACGTTAAAACTTTTATTTCTTTTTCGTGTCTCTTCGACGAGAAGCGCTATTTGTAGCCATTCTTGAGGCGTTGTCGGTCGTTGACAGGCAATCAGCGGCCTGTAGTAGTCGGGCATACCCTTCGTGAGTAGACCTATCTGTTGTTCGTCGGAGGCGCGCGCTTCGTCCAGAAGGCGGCGCATTTCGTGATAATACGTGAGTACGCTCTCATTAGCTTTGAGTTTTCGGTCGGAGGCTTCGACAAGACCGTGACCAACCATACGACCAAAACGCGCAATCATAAGAGATCGGCACTCGGCCCAGGCCAGGTTTGGAAGTTTTCGGGCGACTTCACGACAATACCAACTGAAGGCATCGCCGGTCAAGTGTTTGGCGAGCGCAAGCAGCCTCTCGTAGTCGTTATAATCGTATGTCAATGCGGTGAAGCCATTCGTCGATAGGAGTTACGGAGGAACCGCCTATAAATGGTTCACATAATTTCGATGCGTGTTTTACGGTACTATGCGGTCGTGTTGTTAAGGTATCGGCATCGGAGTCCAATTTCTGTACGCTTGTAGTCGATAAACTCGATGCCGTATTGCGATTGTTAATCACATTTCGTGCGGCGGCGGCCACTTGTGCAGCTCTGGTCAGCGTTGCCAGACGTTGTGCTAACCCATCCTGTGTCGGGTCGTTAGTCATATCGCGGGTCAATGCTTCCAAGTCTGAAGCGATTGACGACAAGTCTTCATTCGTGTCTTCGGAAATCGGGTTGAGTCCGTTCGCACCCGTCGTTACGTTCAGGTCGTTACTGAACGGCGGTAGTGTTCGGCCACTACGTAACTGTTGAGACATCGTTGTCTTCGTATCGTTTCTTTAAAACGCTTTATTAACGAAAAACCGTTGAATCGATGAGAGCCGTTAAAGCGACAAAAAACCGTTGTTTTTTGAATCCAAAAGTCGTCGGTGAGTAGGTCGTCGAAGTCGATTTACTTTCGATATCCGCGAGGTAAGTATCTCAGTCGACTGCGCCAATTGAGTTGAGTGGCCGTTGATCAGGCGGCCAATAACTCCGGTTCGGTTAAGTATACGAAATAAGTACACGTTTTTATATGAAAGCAAACGATTTTATTAAATATAAAATATGCGACTAAACGCTGTGAAAGCTAAACGACTACTACTGTTGCGGAAACGGTAGAGTCGTTGAAATAATGCAATGCTGCCGCTTATGATGTTGTGTTGAGCGCCAGCTGTTAACACAATATATATCATTTATATTTAACAAATAACCGTTTCTTACATTAAACTTTTTTTTCACTTTTTGGCAAAAAGTAGAGAAAAACAATAAGTTTATAATTTTAAATCATAGGTATATAGTGTTGACAAAAAAAATTATAAAATAATAAAGAAATTTCTATCTATGGGATGCCTATGTTAATTTTATTCTCTAGATATTTGTTATCTTGTAACAATACATTGTTTTTACAAGWAATAATTAAATATAATTAGTAGCATCTTAATTATTAATTAAACTAAAAAATTAATTTATTTAATAATATTAAACTATAATATAATTTAATATATATAATAAAATGATGAATAAAATTCTACAAAACTAATTATTATTAAATAAATATAATAATTTTATATATAGATATCCCATTTTGTATAGTAATATACTAAACTATAATATATTGTATACTATTATGTTATATATTAGTAATATTACATATGTATTGCCTCATATTGTTTCAGGATTGCAATAGCTATAAATATGTGGATCCCATAGTATAACATTAAAGTTAAATTTCTATAGAAATTTATTCCAGAGAAATTTTCTAGAAACTTTCTATTTGCCCATSTATATAAATATATCATATTCCGGTATATAATTTACATTATTGTTTATGAGTATATTTATATATATATGTAATGTATAAGTATTGTATATAATTTATTTCATATAAAAACATTTTTCACATTTTACAGCAGACATTACATAGATATTCATTTATAGTGCAATAAATGGTGGAAACAAAAGACAAAACAAACGCATTACTAATTGGTATAAATATATAAAACCCAAAAATTATAATCAAAATTAATAATAGTGTTAACACTCGTCGTGATTGAACAACAATTAACGATAAGTAATTAAAATTGAATAAATGTTTACAGTATTAATGTTTAACGTATATAATGTATTATAATACTGAACTGATTAGTATTGGATTAAAAACATTAGTTTATAAACTAAATGCTAAAAAGCAGATAAATGTGTTAAATATTTACAATTCTATGTTTACGAATGTTTTTGTAGAATATATGTTAGATTTTACCAACAAATAAATGATTGGATTTACAAACATATTGTATAAACTTTACAGAATTTTATTAATACAATCAAAAATCGAGGTCTCATCACATTATTTCTCAATTATTTTGTTTTATGTGATTATGACATCAATTTGATAGTCTAGTAGTGCTGTGGATAAAAATGTATGCATTGCATAACAACTTTCATTGAATATCTACTTTATAATCAATTGTATAAAAATTAAATAGTTTTTGAAATATAAGAAATTAATTTTAATTTAATTAGACAACTGTTGTTATTTTGTTGATTAGCATTACATCTAAATTAGTTTATTACATACAGACTGTATAATACAGTATATAAAACAAATGCTTTTTATTGTATTGAAGCATAAAATTACATTAAAAATTAACATTTAATTACAGTTTTATAATAAAATATTGTTTTACGAATTGTTTATTTCATGGTATTTGAAAATTTATTAATTTTCATAAACTTAAAAAATACAAATACCTATAATATAATTATGTTAAGTCTAAAAATTAATTTCAATATATTATTAACTTAAATATTTAAATTTATAGTAATACTTAATATAAATATAAACTTTATTTTATACATTATTTTTTAAAAGCATTTTATTTATTAAAAAAAACTATTTCTAAATTAATCTGTATGTATTATTTAATTAATTATGATTGTGATAAAATGTAAATTATTATAAAATAATAAAAACTATTAAAATTGATTAATAATATAATGAATACTGAATTTATAGACACAAGTCTCAGAGCCACCAAATATATGATTGTATAGAATGAGCCGCTATTTTGTTGGTTAACCACTGTTTTCTTTGCTTTATATTTAAAGTGATTTCAGTATCACCTCTATTGAGAACAACCACTACGACAGCTCCGTCGTGTCGTTTAGCGGTTACTACATATATGTTGTCGACACAGGTATCCATTTGATGTTCAACCCGTACAGAATCTGGTAAAATGAACTTGCTAAAATGACCAAGTGCATAAAATGATGGCTGTTTATATGCTTCTCCAGCAACACTATCCACATATACCAATCCTCCACAACCTGACCGTTCAAACCAAAATGGTCCGCCATTTAGATCCAAAACCATATTCCATTCAACCCAACCTACGGCCCAATTATTTAATTGCTAATTTGAATAATAATAATAATAATAATAATAATAATAATAATAATTGCTTAATTTAATTGTAATATATTAGATAATACTGTATATTAATATACTTACGTTAATGATATCAAATGCATACCGTTCCGCATAAGTCCAGTTGCCATTGCCGGCTCCCTCCAAAAAACATGCCTCAGTGTTCATATAGAAATAATTTTCATACTTTTCGTGTAGGTATTGCAAAACTCCTCCCACATACTGTGCCCCATATTTTTCATTGTAATACCAATGATTGGCAATACCTGAGACATATTGTGCCGCATTTGTATCATTTAAGATGATATCAATCCAATTGATGAGAAAGGGTGTGTTGTCGTCTAATATTAATAGTTTTAATTTGTTTTTGTCATATCCAGCTCTGGCCAGTGTTGGGCCCAAATTGTTTTTGATATAATCTCTTAACGTATTTGGTGTAAACTTAAGATTATTGAGCTCATGGTCTTCTACCGGTTCATTCTGAGAGGTCAATCCCCAAAATTCTATACCATTTTCTTTGTAAGCATTTAAAAATCTTAATTAATAATATATGTATTTAATTAATAATACAAATTGTGATTAATTACATGTGTTAATATGACATACTTGATGTGATAATCGGCCAAAATTTGAAAATACTCTCCACTGACATCACCTTTAAGTTCAGTAAATGATATAAATTCTTCTGTTTTCTTCATCCAAACGGGTGGACACCAATTACTGGCAAATAATTTGATGTTATGAGGACTGACCTTTTGTGCCAATTTTACATAAGGTATCTTCAAATAAAAATAATAATAATAATTAATATCTAGAGTTAAATACACAAAATTTAATTAATTTAAAAAATTGATTAAAATTTTACACAAATATCATACTTTCCACTCAAAGTCCTCTTTTTGTAAAGAAAAGTGTTTCAATTGTTTATCATTATAGACGTCATCCAAAGTGTATGGTCTAAGAGAATAGTCAGTCCCACCAATAGGTATCCTTCCAAATGTATATTCAATACCATTACTTCCGTAGTAACTCTCGATGATAGCTCTGGATAGAGTCGGATCTACTGAACTCAACATAGACCCCGTGCTGTCAGTAAAGGCACCGCCAAAACCAATGATTTTTTGATATTTATTGTTTTCATCTATAGTTATGGTTAACTCGTTTTTTAAAGACTTTTCATAATTTTTATATCCATAAAATGGATTAAATTTTAGCGATTTTTCTGCGAAACGATCGCCCAATTTGTTGCTCTCGTAAACTGAAGCATAGCCTGCATTTGGTCTGACTATTGCCGGTATATCATCACAATAACTGTCGTTACAAACACATACAGTGTCGGCATTATCTATGTGTTTACGAAGACACTCCCTATGAGTCAAACAATCAGGAATTATGTTTAATAATATTAATATTAATACAATTAATATAAATTTTAACTTTGAAAATAATACAAAATTATTATTATTATTATTATTTTGCATTATATTAATTTAGTGAATGTATGAATTATTAAATGATATGCGATAAAAAATATATGATAAAGATTATGATAAATTATGATGTTTCATTCAATAACTTATAAAATATGATATTTTATTTTCAATATCAAATACAAGTACTGTTTGATAAATCTGCTAAATATCTTGTTTTAAGTACATATTTATGTTTTAATTGCCATTAAATAAGAAACATTAACATTTGTTTTTAATATACTGTATAATATTCATTAATTAAAACACCTTTTTAAAATAATCATTAAATTAATTTTTAACTACAAATGTTTCAAATTTAACAAAAAAAATTATTTTAGATTTTATAGTTGAATGTTATCTTTAATGATAAAGTTGAATAGTATATATTATTAGAAAATAAATACAATATTTATTGATTATTATATCATATTATTTCTATCCTTGATTATAATTACTGGTAATTATGATGTACAGTATGATGATTAACAAACTACGTGTATTAAAACCATATTTAATAATAATTTAATATTATAAATAATATTTGTTTATAACCATAATTAATTAATATCAAGGTAATAACATTTAAACAAAAAATATTTAGTAATAATATTAAAACTCTAATTACATCTACAAAATCAATAATTAAATATTTAAATTCAATTTTTTTAGTATATTTAAATTGTTTATGCAATATTTTTCAATATAAAATTAAAGATTTATATAAATTTTTTAATTATTTACGAATAAAATGAACTAAATAATTATAAAAAATTACATTAAATAATAAGTTTTATTTTTTGTTATTGATTTGATCAATACTAAATCAATTAACTAATTTAATTTTATTTAGAGTAAACTAAATAAAATTAGCAAATTTAGAGCTTTTCCGCCCTAAAAGCTTATTAAAAGGAAATACAAATTTATTATTTAAATTATACACAATAATAATTAATAGTATTTAATAAATTTTTATTATTAATTGTATTATATATATATATATATATATATCAGGGTCAAGCAAGGTTTTGAATTTTAGGGGTGGGTATGCTGGGGTGAAATCTACAAATTTCTCGAAAAATCTTGGGGGTTTAGGGGGTATAGACTTTTATTGCATTTTCAAACGGCAATTTTTTCAAAAATGCAAAATCAAGGGGGGGGGTCAAGAGAAAATTCTCTAAAAATTCCTTAAATTCCCGAATATTCCCATGTAAATTCTATAAAGTTCCCATAAATTCCAGTATAAATTCCCAGGAAAATAGGTAAATTTATCCAAAATATAWAAAAAWAAAAATTTTTAAAAATTAATAAAAACATATTTTAACAAAAAAATAATGTAAAAATAGTTGATAAAAGCAGTAGTGATACACTATGAGTTATTTTTAATATTTTAATAATTTATAACTTTTAATATTAATTTTATAAATAATAATTAATGTTTATAGTTTATAGGTATATAATTTTATTTTTAAAATATTATTTTTATATAAAAATTGACTGAATACTAATTATTTTTCCAATTTGGTCAAAAAGTCTGGAGGGGGTAAAATCCCAAAATCTCGATCTTAGGGGGTAAAATAAACTATTTAAAAACTCAAAAAATATTGCAAATAAATGGTTTATTGAAAACATTCAATAATATTTTGATTTAATTTTCAAAAATACATCTTTTAAGTTATTGATCTCAAAAATATTGAATTTTAATATATGATCTATTATTGGTGGTGACTGAATTGCCCACTGCTCTGCCCACTGCCCACTGTTTTTGCCCACTGTTTTTGCCCACTGTTTTTGCCCACTGTTTTTGCCCACTGTTTTTGCCCACTGTTTTTGCCCACTGTTTCTGCCCACTGCTCTGCTTTTGGGGGGTATAGACTTATTACATTTTAAACAATTTTTTCAAAAATCCAAAATCAAGGGGTCAATAGAAAATTCTTTAAAATTTTCTTAAATTCTCGAATATACCATGTAAATTTCATAATGTTCCCATAAGTTCCCGTATAAATTCCTAGGAAAATAGGCAAAATTTCTAAAAATATAATAAAATATAAAAATTAATAAAAAAAATATTAAATTTTAACAAAAAAATAATTTTTAAAAAATTGGGCAGTGGGCAGAGCAGTAAGCAGAGCAGTGGGCAGAAACAGTGGGCAGAAACAGTGGGCAAAACAGTGGGCAGAAACAGTGGGCAGAAACAGTGGGCAAAAACAGTGGGCAAAAACAGTGGGCAAAAACAGTGGGCAGTGGGCAGAGCAGTGGGCAATTCAGTCACCACCTCTATTATTACATATAAAAATATATAATACAATACATATATCAGATTTATAGCAGGATTTCCCACCAAATAATTTAAATGAGGAAAAATATAAATTATTATAAATTTAGACAAATTCATCATATGTTTTAATAGCAGTTTATTAGATAAATTAGTTTATAAATAATTATTAATAATTATTATTAGAGTAAATGATCCGCATTTGTGACTGAACTTCTGTGAGAGTGTATTAAAGTGTCATAAATTATGAATGAAAGTGTCGGTTAAGATTTCTTGCAAACTTTCAACTCGTTTAGTCGGTATTTGAGAGTTTGACAAAATATCATATATTGATATAAATTAAAATTTATATATTATATAATAACTTTATTTTTACACTTTTTATACAGGTTTTCTTAAAACAATATTTACTCATAATTTTTAATCAAAAAAAGATATTCATTTTTAACGGCATATTTTTAATTAAATATAAATTAATAAAATTATAAACTTACTTAAGAATTTATAAATTATAACTTATTTAATAAATTATTTAATTGTTTGTATACAAATTAATTTATTATAATATATAAAAAATTATAGTTTATTAATATTTATAAACAAAATTATTGATGAAATGCTAAAAAAGTTATTTAGGAAACACATAGAGATTATATTTGTTCAAAAAGTACTGTTAATATACTATACTATTATATTATTAGAAGAAGTGATCAATAAATTTATTGAATTGACTCTTCTCTCTAATAGCAAACATATCATCCAATAGTGACCACAAACAACATTCTTTAGGAAAGTGATTGTCAACCAAATTGACTAAATAATAGTTATCGTGAATGTGATCGAGTAGTTGACGGGAAGGACTGTCTGGCGGATAGATTTGCGCCCATTTCTGTTTCCAGAGACCAAAAGCCTCGTCTTTCCACACTTTGAAAGATATGGGATCAACAACTGTAGGCTATTATATATGTAAATAATATCAAATAAATTAATATTTTTTTAAAAAWTTATAACACGAGTTAACACTTACTTGAATGATCTCACGTCCGGGAAAGACACCCCACGTTACGGCTATTGCTTTGTTGTTCTCTATGTTAGTCACAGAATGACTGCCCTATAAATTAAGGAACAGTTAGTTAATAGAGTAAGAAAATTATTTTTTAATTATAAATTGGTATCAATAATATTGAAATAAAAGTTAATTTTATTTCTCACACAACTATTGGTGATCTGGTAGTTAACGTGTGGATAGTTTTTCAATGCCTCGATCAGTGCCAACACATTAGTTTCCGGAGTGAAGAATTCTATGTATGCTTTTTGATATACATAACCATCTTTAGCACCCCAGCCATGGATAGGATGTGTGGACTCAACACAATTGACATTAGGTTGTGAACAAGTGGTTAAAATACCTTTTTTATTAAACTTTGATAACTGTTTTACTAGAAGTCCTGTTTCACAACTCAAGTCATTCATATTCCAAGGAAGAACTGACACTTTGTGTCCCATTTTATTAGGAGTTTCCGTAATGTAATGATAGAAGACATCCCACACATCTTGTTCTTTGTTGAGTTCCTGTCCCCACATTTGCAACAGTTGTTTGCGAGGACGTCGCGCCTCAAGAAATAAATAGTAATTTTCAAGTGTTTGAAAGGCTGGTGAGTCTATTGAACCCCACCGGCCGTTAGGGAAGTCATTCCACGATTGTGTGCGACAAACGTAGCTTTTTTGTCTGCCTGACCAGTATATGGGCCTTACGTCTTCACCAGAGCGCTTGTGATTAGCCGCCGGACACCAAGGAAGTGGACGCGACACTTGTGTCCAAAGACCTAACTGTTTTAATATAGCACTGGAAGCAACCTCTTGATTAAGTGTATAAAAATGTAAGCCATTAGTCACATTAGCTGCCAGTATTTGTCGACATAAATCAACTGTCCATTGAATACCATAGTTGCGAATGGCCTCATCATTATTGCGAATGATCTCTAAGTCTTTCAAAAGGGCTTCCGGTATATCTAATTGCGATAGTTTGACAATCTTTCCGAGAGATTCGTAGCTTTGGATCGGCATAATTCCCGCGAGTATTGGAACTGTAATACCTATTTTGCGACAGTTTTTCACATATTTAACAAACACTTCTGACTTGAAAAAGAGTTGAGTTATGATGAAGTCAGCGCCGGCGTCCACCTTATCCTTAAGTCTCTGTAAATCCATTTCCATGGATTCTGACTCGGGATGAGCTGATGGATAGCCGGCCACAGCAATTGTAAAATAATTGCCGTATTCACGGCGTATAAATCTGACTAAATCTATGGCATATTTAAATGGTTGATCTTCAGTGTCGCCGTCATAATTGAATCGATCGCCTCTGAGGGCAAGTATGTTACGAATTCCCAAATTTTTAATTCTTTCCAAATGACACTTAAGATCCTTCTCAGTCATTCCCACACATGTTATGTGAAGCATAGTATCGACACTACAGTAGTTAAGAGCCACACCAGCGATAGTAATGCTGGACGTCTCTGTATCTGATTCAGGATTACCTGCCGTATGCCATGTGATGTCACAAAACAATGGTCCGCTTTGACGCATCCGTTCTAACCGAGCGACCAAATTGATAGCCGCTTCTCGTGTTTTGGGAGGAAAAAACTCAAACGAGAAAAACGGTGTCTCTCCGGATGTCATACGACGTCGCATACGATCAATCAGTGATACGTAAGGCTCACCACCGGAACCGACAGATATCTTACGTAAACTATATGTTTGGTCAATGTTTCCATTTTGATCACCATTTGTTGATCCATTACTTATCAATTTGTTTGATTCATTCATTATTAATTGTTAACAAAAGTTATTCTACTATTAAAATATTAAACTAAAATTAAAATATAAAAAAATCTACAAATGATTTAATATATATAATGTGAGATACAGTATGTCTGTACTCAATAAGTTTTTTCACTTACGAGTGACTCAATTGAACTTTTCTGATAACTTCTTATATATATTTATTTTATGCGATAATTTTTATTATCATTTGATTGTACTGTAAATCAAATATCATACATATTTTTTTTGTTAGATTATTATTTCCATGAGTTTTTATTATTATAAAATTCCAAATTTCTGCATTTTCATTTTTTTTATTATATTGATTAGTCAGTGTAATAATAATAATAATGAGGTATAATTGCTATTGTTTTTTAAATAATTATTTTTGATTATTTATTAATAATATGATAGTAATATTATACTTTTATATGATAAGTGCAGTATTTTTAATAGAGTGACTATGAAATATAAATATTGTTATATGTTATATAAATATATATTATCACTTACAGTATATATCGTATATACAGTATATAATTGCTTTACAATAACTTTTATAAAATCAAAATAATTTTTGAAAACAAAATGTATTATAGTTTATTATATTTTTAATATATCATATAAAAAAGTAAAATAATATAATATATTTAATATACAGTATTCATATCATTTGAGAACTTTAAAATAAATTTGTTTAAAAATCAGAATATTTTATCAGTAATACTGTATTTGCAATATTAAATATAATTGTAGAAATTTAATAATTATAAATATTAATTTTATACAGTAATATTTGATTATTAAAACAACATTTATCCATTTAATACTTTATAAAGTTTATACCAGTTTATAGGTTTGAAGATGAATAACATTGAAACTATTGCTGAAAGTATATTATATCAATAATTTTTTTTTATCATATAATTTATTTGATAACTTTTATTATTATTTGATAATTATAAATAGAAATTCACATAAATATCAATTTGTTTATTTTTATTTAGACTTTAATGCTAAATATTACTACTTGTTAAAAATTATTTACTTAATGTTCACCAGTTATATTAAATTAGATTAAATTATAAATGATTTAAAATAAAAATAATATATTAAGTATTAAAATAGATAAACATTAAAAATGAAAATGAAATAAATGTTTTGCGTAAATTGTGACATAACGTTATCTTCAAATAATTGATAAAAAAACTATAAAAATATTTCACCAAATTTTAATAACGAATAAAAAACACTATAAATTATAAATTATTTAAATAATTAGTATAAGTTATTAGTAATAAAAAGATATTAATAGCTCTTTTTATGTAAATATGATTCAAAATAGAGTACTGGAAACAAAAAGTATGGATCTAGAAAAACATTGTATTATTTATAAAGTGTAAATTACATTATTAAATATACAATACTGTATGTTATTATAGTTTCGTCAATTTAAGTAAATTTATTTTTTGGTTTATTAGTTATTCAGTCATAATTTAGTTTCACAATTGACTTAAAATGCTATTTATTTGACAATATTGTTTATCTATTATTACTGTTTGATTAATAAAAAATATACTTATAAATAAAATTGATTTAATTTTTGACAAAAACATATGTAAAATTTAAAATAAATTAAAATAAATATGTCAAATATTACAAATTAGGATATTGAATTTGGTATTATTTATGTTGTATATTATTTAATATATAATATTTATAATATATTACTGTTTCTGGTTTATTATTTTATTTTACTATTATTAAACACAAGTTATTTAGGAAATGAATAAAAAATATATTTTTTATAATCTATAATTATATATATAGGTAGAAAATTTTTAATTAAATATTAATTTTAAAAGTCAATTTTTTTAATAAATTTCAAAAATCACTACTTCTAGTAATATTTATAAAAATATTTGGTGTTTTAATTAATTATGCTTAAATTAAATATATTTGTTAAACATTATATTCATGTTACTTTACTTATTTCATCATTAATTATATTTTTATGGCACACAAATGCATTTAATTATAAAGCCATTAATAGTGAAATAAAATCAAATAAAAATATTTATTTACAATATTTTATATATTTAACTCAATTACTTGCATTACTTTCGTTACCACAATATTTGTGTCAATTATTTGGTTTTATTTTTTACAACGCATTTCCCGATAATGTAAGCCTTAAGTATGATCTCTCATCGGTACCAATGATATGCTTCCGAGTTGTCACACGAGGCGATTACCCCGATCTGGTCAGAGCTAATGTGGCCAATCATATAGAAAAATGTCTTAGAGTTGGTCTCAATAATTTTATCGTAGAAATAGTAACGGAAAAGTCGATGTCTTTTATAACAAACAAATATATTAAAGAGATTATTATACCAAAACATTATGAAACAAAAAGTGGGGCTATATTTAAGGCACGAGCCCTTCAATATTGTTTGGATATTGAAGACAAAGATATGTTGGATGATAACGATTGGATCGTACATTTAGATGAAGAAACTATTATGAGTGAAGATGCTATTAAAGGTATTGTCAACTTTGTGTGCAATGGAAAGCATGATTTTGGACAGGGAGTCATTACATACGCTGAAAATGGTATTCATAATGTGTGGACAACATTGATGGACACAAATCGTGTGGCCGATGATATGGGAAAAGTTAAATTTCAGTTCAAGTTTTTCAATAAACCAGTGTTTAGTTGGAAAGGTTTGCATTATTTAAAATTTTGTTTTTTATATCTTATATAAAATATCTATTGAAAAATTCTATATTTTACAGCTTAGATAATATATATTTATAATACAGAATATAAATAATAATTTAATATTAGGTTCATATTTTGTGTGTCGAGCAAAGGCTGAGCGCACCGTTACCTTCAATCACGGTATAGACGGTTCCATTGCTGAAGACTGTTATTTTGCACTGAAAGCCTACCAAATTGGTTATACATTTGACTGGATTGAGGGTCAGATGTGGGAACAGTCGCCGTTTACTATCAAAGATTTTATACGACAACGAAAACGATGGATGCAAGGGATATATTTAGTCTTACTCTCGCCGGACATTCATTTCAAATACAAAATATGGGTCGCAATGAGTTTGATTGCATGGATTACTGTCCCAATACATAAAATTGCTTTATTTATCACTTATTATGAACCAAATTATGGGTTAAATAGCTTTTCATGTTTGACATCATTTGAAACAATCATTTCAGTTTATATGCATTTTTATGGAGCATTGATATCATTTAATGTCAGCAAAATAGGATATAAAAATTATATATTATTATTATTATCTTCAATTATAATATATCCAATAACATTGTTATTTGAAGGAATAGCTGTTACATGTGGTTTATTAACCGATAAATATAAGTTTTATATTATACAAAAATAATAATTATATACAAATAATATAAAAATACTACTAATAATAATTTATAAATTATTGTATATTACACATACAAATACATTTATAAGCAAACTTAAATGTAATATTAATACAACAATATAAATGTTATTGAACTTGATACAAAATTCAGTTTAAAAAAATTATAAAATTAATATCCTTTTTATGTTTAATTAGAATTAAGGGAAATGCATAAAAACATTTGTTATTAATTTATATTTCAATTTTTAAACTTTATTTAATAATTAAAGTGACAATATTTATGACTTAAATTATTTGTGACAATAATTACTTAATAATGAAGATTATCATAGATTTTGAGCAAAATTTTAATTCAACTCAAACTCATGATTGGATGTCAAGAAATTGGTTTTTATCTGTATTCGTATCATTGGTTTATGTATTGACTATATTTCTTATACAAAATCAAATGCAAACGAGACGTGCATTTGAAATAAAAAATAATCTTTTCTTATGGAACACCTGTTTAGCCCTGTTCTCAATATTTGGTTCATACAGGTATATCATTGTCATAAATATTATACAAAAATTAATTTTTCTAATGACTAACATATTTATAGAGCCATTGTTGAGATGTATACTATTATTAGTATTTATGGCTATAAATACTCGGTATGTACTTCAGGTTATCACACAACAGGTGCTCCGTTATGGTCTTTCCTTTTTACGGTATCCAAAATGATTGAATTGTTTGATACTATGTTTATAGTATTACGAAAACGTCAATTAATATTTTTGCATTGGTATCATCATCTAACTGTTCTCATATTTACCTGGTATTCATACTCACAAAATGCATCGACTGGTCGCTGGTTTACTACAATTAATTTTATTGTCCACTCATTGATGTATACCTATTATGCCTTGAATTCAATTGGCATAAAATTGCCAAATTTATTATCAAAAATGATAACACAAACACAAATTATCCAAATGGTAATTGGTTTATTAATTAATATAATTGCATTAATCTATAAATTAAATGGATTTGATTGTCATCCAAACTATGTCTATATAAATACCTCACTATTAATGTATTCATCATATTTTTATTTGTTTACTTTGTTTTTTATGAAACGATATAACAAATTAAAGTCCAAACAATACAAACTAAAAAATAAAAGACAAAAATAATTTGTTTTTGATGTAAAAATAAAATTTTATTAATTTTATATAAATATAAATTTCATATTTATGTAGACATATATTTTAATAAAGTTTTATAATAAACATTTACAATATTTAATGATTATTTTAATATAAGAAAATCAAATTTCTGAAAAACTTTAAATTATAATAATTAAGTTGTAATTTCAAATCATAAGCGAATATAAATAAAAAATCCAGAAAAAACTAGAATTATAAACAAAGCCATAAAGATTATCCCAGTAGTTGACACTGTCCTCCCTGTCCTCCCTGTCCTCATTGTTTAATTTATTTTTTACCATTGCTTTGCGTTTAGTAACATAGCTTTTTGGAGCAAATTTTAAGTCATAAACTAAATCAAATTTTTGTAATATTGCCAACACTAGAGCCGGTATATTAAAATTATATTTCCAACCATACTCTGAACTATTTGAATCGTATGGAAAACTATTTGAAAATTAAAAATTAAATAAATAATGAATACAATAATCAATACATAAATTGCAATTTATTGAATTAATGTTTATTGACTTACGTGTGATGAAAATTATGATATCCCTCACCAAATGTAAAATATATGGCAAAAGAGCTCTCTCTGGGCTCTATTATCTCATCATACGGTCGTAGGCCATACATATGGGCCGCAGAATTGACCAAAAATGTTGAATGAAGTGCATAGAGATATCGGATTATGTTTGCAATGAATGCATTAATCAAAGTTTCGTCCCATAAAAGCATTGGTATAATTACTGGTATAATAATACCCACCAGTAATGACTGTTTAAAATAAAATTATTTGAAACAATCAATTGTAATCAATTGAATGTAATGTAACTTACGAGTAAAATCATATGCTGTTTCTGAAACATAACTACTGGATCTGCTTTAAGATCTCTGACATCTACTTCTTGACGTTTCTTAAGCATTTCCGGATGTTTCTTGAGAAAKAGCCAACCGATGTGTGCAAAAAATAATCCTCTTTTGGAGTTATGAGGATCGGCGTCGGTCTCGGAAAACTTATGGTGAATCCGATGATCACGACTCCAGACATAGACACTCCTTTGCATAGCCATTGTCTGTAAAATCATTAATACTATTTTGACACTCAAATGGGCTTTAAATGATCGGTGTGTCCACAGTCGGTGTGACCCCAATAAAACACCTAAACCGCACAGCATATACATGACGTAAGTCCATAAATAAGTGGCCGATTTAATGGTGCGGAAGCATCGGATCCATCCATATATTCCTACGATATGGACAATAGTCAGGAAGACTAATGTTCGCCAAACGATACGAGTTTTGTAACCAATTATATTGTTAAACAAATTTGTAAGAAATGATATTTCAAACATTTTCCATTAGATTATAATAGTATATATATATGTGCTTTATTTTTTTAATTATTTTAGTTCATTAACTTAAAAAAAATTATATATATATTATATATTTTATTTTATTTTGACAAAACTAGTCGGAAATAAAAATATTTTTAAAAAATTGTCGTGTGAATGAAACTAAAAATTATTGATATAAATTAACCTTTAATAACTTTTAGAGTAATAGTTACGTTTTTTACCTATTTTATGATACTGGTATTATTTTTAAATAATAATTGCACCGTAACAAACTTAAACTGATAAATAAAATATCAAAATTTAGTAAAAGTTAATTAGGTTTTCAAAAAACAAAATATTAAAATGATAAACTTAGTATACGCTAATATTAATTATTATAAATAATGGTAATTAAAATTATACTATATATAAAACAATTTAAAAAGATTGTAATGTTGAAATATCATGATAAATACAATATTATCAACAGTATTGAATTTTATAAAACTAACATTAAAATTTAAATTGTATTGTATTTTTATCAGTAAAAATCAGTAATATAATAGTTATTTATTAATAAAAAGCACTATTTAAATTTTGTTAAAATTAATTAATAATTATAATTTTTATAATATTTCTTAACTAGCATTATTTTTTAGACAAATAAATATGACTAAATACTTATCAAATGCAATTTTTAAAAATAATGTTTCAAAGTATATTTTCAATGTAATTCCATTCAAAAGTTTAAATTTTTTTATTGATTTATATATTTATATCAGTTTCAACTTTTTTATAATAATGAATAATATTTTTGTAAACTCAATGGCAATAAAATGAAAATAAACATTTAAATATATTTTTTGAGTTTTTTCAAATAAAAATGATTTTAAAATAAATATAATCTACATAGACGTTAAGCATCTTTGTTATATTTAATAATCTAAAAACAATTTTTGAACAGCAATTTTAATTATATTTACATTTTAAGCAATAATTGTCTTCGCGTTACACTATAAATAAAATATTTATATCAATATAAACATTTAATTGTGTTTAAAATAATATACTATTTTGACAATAATCGGAGATAATAACACTTACCGTTAGATTTAATAAATAAAACACATTTATTAACATTATTTTATTTGTTTATCATAAATATACTTTAATTTATATTTAATTTATTTTAAAATATAAATATTAACAAAAAAGTATTATTTGATTAAAATTTGTTACATTTTCCTCCATTGTATTGATTTTCATAATAACCACTAATACAAACACAATTACCATTTGTATGATCACATCGTCTAAACTGATCGTAAGTACGAAAACAATCAAAATTACTTTTACACCAAAATTTCAGACAAACTTGTCTTTCCTCAAAATATACGTAATTTGGCGCACATTTACAGACAAAGTCGAGACACCGTTGATATTGATTCATACATTGTTGATCTTCATAACAACTTTGACCATAAGTGGCATTAAATCCCTTACATTTTTTGCCATTGTTTATATCAGGACCGTAGCCACTATTGCACATACAGGTGCCGTATTCATGATCACAGTGACGGTTAGGGTCGCGTTGCCGGCACTCATCATCATGTTTGCAGTGAAACTGTTGGCACCGTTGGCTACGCTCATCAAACTGATAGATGGGATCACATAAACATCTGTTGTCAATACAGACCATATTTTGGTCAATACGATGACATTCATTGGTTTTCATACAACCGGAATACAAACCAAACTTATATTTCATACAAATTATTTGACTAATAGTTGTTATAATTAGTATTAATAATACTTTTAATACAATTAGTATTTGAATCATCTTTAATAGTTACCAAGATACTTTTACCAAATATTTTTCTAATAAAGTATAAATATCAATTTTTAGTAATTATTGTAGAAAATATTTATATAATTAGTACTTTCAATTTAATTGTATTTTTTATTAAAAAGTTTACTTAAATACTGTTATTATAGTTAATTTTATTAATTTTGATTAACCTAAAAATAAAATTATATAAATATGATATTATTGTTAGATACTGTATTGTTATATAACAACTGAGTCAACAAAAATATGACATTCAAAATGTTTACTCTTTTTTGTAATTGTGTTATTTAAATATTTTTGATTTATATATATTGATGATAATATTTATCATTTATAAACAATAATAAAAATTAAATAAGAATAATAAATAGCATTGACAAAAAAACTTTTAGAAAGTAAACTAATTTCAATTTTTCTATATATTTTTTATTAAACTAAATTAATTATTTTAGACATAATTTACTGTCCAAAAGGTATAGATTTGATGAATCTATTGGCCATATCTAGTGTAGCCCTGGGCTGGTCTAACATTGAACAGTGACCGGCATTACGTACGATCACATGACTAAAGTTATCAAAACTTTTTTCATAACCGGCTATTTGTGTGTCGTTTGCATTGACTCTCCAAATGTTTCGTTTGGCTTTATTGTAATCGTTATAATATTTCCAATCTATTAATATTTTAATATTGTTAGTAATAAATAAATAATTATAATATCTTTAAATATAATTACTTTTATTGAAAAGTAATCCATTGGTAGACTCAATGCCAACAATTATATCAAAATTTCCGGTAAATAATAATACTTTGGATCCGCTGTCTATGATTGCCGTTAGGTTTGGTTCAGCCGTTTTATATATATCTTCCTCCATATACTTCATAACCACAGAACTCGATAAGTTATAAACAACATCTCCGACATGAATGGCATTGCGAACCGACTTTTGTGTCAAATATTGGTCGACATTTATAAACCCCTTTATATCTTCCGACTGATGAATATCATAAAACTGTTGGTAACCGGTTGTGTTGGTTAGATAACTAGGTTTTTCTATTGATGTCACTAAAAATTACATTTTTAAAAATCTTAATTTAATTGTCATTATTAAAAATTATAAAAAAATATCATTACATACATAACTGTTCTTCCCATTCAAAAGCTTTGCGATAATCCTTAGATTTTGTGCAATTTTTTATGTTTTGTTGTAATTGTTTCACTTCTTTTGCTTCATTTTCATCGATTAATCCCAAACTTAACAGTGTTTTATCATAAGATATTTGATTTATAGGATCAGTCCAACCATTACCTACGAGTATGCCTTTAAAATTAAGTTTAGAAATGTGTGACATTTGTATTAAGTAGTGACCAAATGATGGCACGTATTTTCCTGCATAAGATTGTCCGCCAATATATAAATCATTGCTTCTGTAGTCATCAAATACTATATAAAACTGTTGAATAAATTCATATAAATTTTGAGCAATAGTTTGTTGATCTTTACAATATCCATTGGAATCGTTTGTATAACTAAATCCTGTTCCAACGGGATTATCCACATAAATAATTGAAAATTCCTGACTTAATGAATATGAATTTATAGTGACATTTAATTTATCGCTAATTACAAGTGGTCCCCACATAAACATTGACATTATAGAAGAGGCACCGGGCCCACCCTCAAGATATACCAATACCGGTGCCGTTTTCGGGTTTTTCTATATCAACAATGAAAAAATATATTTTAAAAAATTAATTCTTATTTAAAACTTACAAAAGCGGGAATAAACCAGAAAAACGTATTACTGTTATAATTCTCGTCAATTGTTATGAAGCCGGTATAGGATTCAATTTTGGGTGCATTGGGTAGTGCTGTCACCCGACTAAGTGATCGGGCTTTTGCTATATCACCCGATTTGATATATGGTGTCAATAGTAATTGTTTTTCACAATATAATGTAAAAACAAAAATAGTTGTAATTAAAAAAGTTATAAAAAATAATTTCATTTCAATCATTGTATTATTAATTATTAAATTCTATAATATTTAGAGAGAATTATTGATAATATTGTTATTTAATATATTTCATGTTATGTAGAGCTTCTACTTATATATAAAATATAAACTGTATTGTAAATTGTGGTCGTATTATAGCGTTATTACTAATTATTGATAAGATTCAAAATAATAATAGATATATAGAAGAGTATATGAAACTAATTGAACTATTTTACTAATTTGCAATCTATGATATTAATTTAATAATTATATTTTTAAATGATAAAACATATTAATATTAATACAGTACTTAAAGTACATTAAGTGTAATAATTTTATTATGAATTTAAGTGTAATCTCAAAAAAGTGTTGATTCATGTATAACATTAAGACATTAAGATATAACTTTATTATTATATTAAATATATTTTTCATTTTATTGTTAGTCAATTAATTTGTGTGATTATAAAGAATTTGTTTAAAAAAGTAATAATAATACAGTATATTCTTAGATTTTTTAGTAAAAAATTGAAATATTAACAAATTACCGTAAGCTTAATATTTTTGTTTTGTTTAAAATGTCTAAACTATTGTTTAATACTGGTTTCATATTCTACAGTATTATTTATAGCAGTAAATCTCATAAAATCTCAATATAATACTTTAACTAAACTTTTTATTTAATTCATAAATAATAATTATAATCTGCTAAAAATAATATTGATTACATAGTTTGGATAAGTATTTAATTGAAAATTATATATCTTTCAATGATAATACATTTAGATATGTATTGTAAAATGCTTTAGTAATTAATTACAATGAAGTAATGAAAATATACAATATGTTTGAACAATGAATTTTAATTTAATAACTTATAAATAAACCATAATTTAAAATTATTCATCAATTCACATAATAATACTGTAATAAATATACTGTATTTGATACTCTATTATTTATTGCATGTTATTATAAATGATAAACATTTATACAGTTATTGATATACATTGTAATTTACTTTTATAATTCAATTGATAGTGTTGTCAAGACAGTCAAATTGCCATAATTACAACAATAGAAAATTAGATAAACCGTTAGCTATTAAGAGTTTTAATTTAATACTAGATTATTAGCACAATACTTTATAATATAAATTATTATTAATATTTTAATTATATAAAATGTAAAAATTACAATTACATTTTTATTGTATTTTGTTTAATTATATTTATTATTTAATAGTGATTTTTTTTGTTCGTGTGTTTATTATACAGGTTTTAAATCATTACTATAAAAATTGTATCATAGATTTTTTTTTACTAATATAATGGTTTTGAAACACTATATATTATTATCATAATATTTACAAGTTATGAATCCTAGAATAATTAAAATTTAATATACAGTACTTGTATTTATAATTTATAACTTATAAATACAAAACATGAAACTCACATATAATACTGTATATACACAGTATATGTACTGTAAATTCATAATTGTATAAACTTATAAATGAGAAGATAAGATGAAAATTATTTGCTTTCAATGAAAATTTAGAGATAAGGTTTCCTGTTCTCAAAAAATATTATTAAACACTACTAATATTGCAAATAACATATTATATTAAATACAATATTTTTTAATTTCTATATAAATAAATATTATATTCACAATTCTATTATATTATATATATGTGTTATATATATATATATATATATATTAAAAATTAAATTTAAAAAATTAAAAAGAATATCATTTAAAATTGCTAAAAATAATAAACTTAAATTACAGCTAATATAAAATAAGAGATGATTACAACATTAACAATGTTTACTTAAAATAGTAAACACACCACTTGATAATATGATTGCATTTTATCATATTTATAATATGCAGTATTAATGAGAGTGTGTGAGTGACTGAGAGAGAGAGAGAGAGAGAGAGAGAGAGAGAGAGAGAGAGAGAGAGAGAGAGAGAGAGAGAGAGAGAGAGAGAGAGAGAGAGAGAGAGAGAGAGAGAGAGAGAGAGAGAGAGAGAGAGAGATTGTATAAATGTTTGTAATCGACATGTTTTCWGGTAAATTTCAATACTCTATATTTTATATATCAATATAAATTATATTGAATATACAGTAATTTTTGAATATATATATAAATTATATATTAATAGAATATTTATATTAGTTGTATCCTATATTTTAAATAACAATATCTAATCATTATCATTTATATTATTATAAATTATCATTTTACATTTGTCAGATTTCAATGATATCTATTATATGACTATTTAATATTTTTCCCATAAATTAAAGTTGTAAAATATGTATATAAATTGTTTACTTTTTATAACAACTTTAAAATTAAATTTATTTATAACTAAGCAATAGTTTAATTAATGAATGAATTGAAATTTAATATTATTTGCCATATTTATAGCAAATATTGCACTTTCTCTACATTTATTACCCATCAAATACCTGCCAATCTATTTATGGGTCAATATATTTAACTTCACTAATCATACTTTTATGTCTTTATTTGTATTTGTTTCACAACTCATTTAACAATTGATATTATTAATTAAAATAACAGTTGTAATACAAATTAAAATAAAATTATTAATAAATACCATAAAAAATAAGATTTAATGTGCGTAAAAAAGTATTGCTCAGTAAACTTCAATAATTGTTTTAGTATATTATTATTTTTAAACTTTATTTTAGGATATGTTAACTCAAGTTTCTGATAAATTTTCTCTTAATTTTGAATGGACTTTGGCGTACATAACGTCAAATATATTTTGTTTAGTTTAATATAACTAATAATTTATATGATATTATGATAAAATAAAGTACTGTTTGCTGTATATATGGTTATAGTGAGCACTGGTGCATACGTGATGGTTACCGATACCGTGTCTCAAATGTTTGAATTATTGGATCACCGCTTGTCTACACTTGTCATGTGTTTGGTGGCCAATGACGGCATTGCGAAACTCTATTCAACCAATCGTTACTAATAATATCACAATTGGTTACAAGTATGAAGTGGTGCCGCTAATCACCATATGGTTTGATTAAGTTATTTATGTTATTATATTAATATTATTGTCATTTAATTGGTTGCATTGTTGGAAAACTACAAAATATACGGCAAAACATACACTGTATTGTAATTTTTTTAAAACCAATTTCATAGTAATTAAAATCTGCAAATGACTAGTCAGGTATAGAAAATGTTTATTAATATAATTTTGATACAATATTTAGGTTTTGTATATACATTCAAATATCAATTGCTGATTAATTTATAGAACTAGACACGTGGCACGTGTGCACCGTAAGTCTATTTGCTATTTGATATGCTTCTCAAAAATTAATTATAAAGTCCATTATTGTTTATTAGTATAAAATATAGTATTAATAAATGACTTAATAAATATTTATAGTTATTAATTTTAATTAAATTTACCTAGTCAATCAATCGCTATACTATATTATACTATAATAATGATTATATTAAAACTAAACTCATGTGTTAACAATTTAGATAATAAATATTGCAGCATAAATGTGTAAACTAGTCATACCAATAATTGTATGAATGTGTGCCAACATGTATAACAATTTATCATTTACTTAAAATACTACACTAATAGTGATAAATGTTCGCTAAATTTTAAAATCTATCTAAAAGTTTTAATATATTTATATTTAAATATTTTATTAAATGACTTAATATATGCAACAGAAAATTGCTGAATTTCCGGTTGACTTATCAATGCCCGGCACGAGTGCGCCGGAAAAACGAAAAAGAGGTCGACCAAGACGTACACCCGTTGACATTGAAGACAAACCTAAGAGACGAAGAGGTCGGCCATCATTGCCACCCATCAAGAAGGAGATCCGCAAACGGGTCAGAGAGACAAAGGCTTCGGCAAAGTATAGGCTAAAGACTAAAGAAAAACTACAAGAAATTATTGACAATGAAAGACAATTAGAAGAGTTTGTGAGGGATAAACAAAATCATATCAATTATTTAAAAGAAAACATTAAAAAATGGGTTCAATTTTATCATAATAATACACATTTCATCAATGATTACAATAGGTTTTATTATATCTTAAGTCTATTAAATGAATAAAACTAAATAATTGTAAGTACAGATCTTACTAAATGCTTTAGGTATTGGCAAAAGTATAAAGAATTTGATTTATTTTTTTATATTGTATTATTAACCAACTATTCAATAACATATGTTATGAATTTTATCAAATTATCATTAATAGTTTCAAAGTTATTGTAATTAAAAAAGGTCTTGTCGTTGAATATTTTGTATACTAAATATGCAAAATTTTGGGACGTTATTTTTTCTTAAAATTATAAACAAAAAAAACAAATATTGTTTCTTAAACTTATCAAAGTTAACTCAAAAGATAATAAAGTTTTTTATACCAGTATCAGTTTAAATATAAATTAATTCAGAAAAAAACAATAAAGCTTAAAAGTTGACCAAATATCATTAATGACCACTTGTAAAGACGATTCATTCAGGAAACAACTGCTGATCATAAATTAAATTAGTATATGTCATGAGTAGGAGTAATAGTCAGGCTTTTTACGCACATAACAGTTATAAAAATATTTTATAGAATTAGCTGTACAAAAGCAATTTTGTCAATTTGTACCTAATAATTTTTGGTTTGTCAATTGAGGTGACTTTGAAAAAATGTCGATTAAATTTTAATCTCTAAGAAAATAATTCCGAAAAACTTACGAATAAAAGAGTAATAGTTGAAGAAGCATATGTTCATTTTATGAGTCAGACTTACCACAGGAATTCAAAATATTGATCTTTAAAGATAAAATTTCACATATTTGATAAAGTGTCTGATAACTTTGAAACTATTAATGATAATTTGATAAAATTCATAACATATGCTATTGAATAGTTGGTGAATAATATGATATAGAAAAATATATCGAACACTTTATACTTTTGCCAATACCTAAAGCAATTGGTAAGATCTGTATAAATATTTTTAGACTTGTTTTTGGTTAAAACTATTTTTTATTACTGTTAAATATATTGAATTCTTTTGTAATTTTGTAACGATTTTAATAGTGATTTTACCAAAAATATTATATATTTTTAAATAGCAAGCAATGTTCAAAAATATTTATAAATTAATTATAATTAGTATACATATTGATTAAATGTACAAATTTTTATATTCTTATATCAATATATGATCACTAATATGTAAATATTTAATTAAGTATTCTAAAACACATTGTATATAAAAAAATCATTAACATATTTATCAATATTATTGCACTTATTTATAATTTATTAATTAATACATTTAGTAACTTCATTCAATTTACATTTTTATAAATTATCAATATTATAAAAAAGCATCTCATAAACTTTAATTACTGTTAATATTATTTAAGCTATTATATTATATTTATTTAAATCAAAAATTTATATATTATTTTAATATTCTCACATTTAATAAATTCATTAGACTTCATAATAACATGTATTATATATAAATTGTTGTTAAATACTTTAATATTCTCTATTATTTTATAATATATTTTTAAATGTTTTTATATTTTTTTAAACACTACAAATGTTTAGATTATTATGTATAGAAATATTTAGATAAGTAAACTTAATGACCAATAAGTTTATTAGATATTGTTTAGGAAGTTAGTGTTTCCGGTGTAACTGATAATTGTTTTATTACATTACTTATCCATTTTATGTAAAATAGATCTACAGCTAGACTGACACTTCAAGTCAATTATATTATTGATAATCAATGATCAAAACGATTTATAGCCCTTGACATTATAATGCCGTTATAAACTTTGTCATTTTAATAAAATAGTAAAATTAATATTTAATTTATTTTTATTTAGATTTGTACCTAAAACAAAATAATTTAACAATTATTTTTTTATTCAAAATCTTAATATATACTATACTGTTAACAAATAWAATGATTTAAATTAGTTTTAAACATTAGGCTTATAATGCTTAGTCAAACATTATCTTGCATAAAATGATTATAACTAAAATAAATTATAATTAGCGATAATGTTAAAAAATAAATCATAGCTAATAAATAAAATATAATAATAAAATAAAGTTTATATAAAGGTTTTTCATATAATTAATTAATTTATCATACAGCATATTGTGATTATAGCTAAATAATTAAAAATTTAATTTTAGATCGTTTTAGTTTTTAATAATATTTATTAAATAATAATTGAATAATTTGAAATTTTATTTTATTTACAAAATTATTTTATAATTATTAATAAACTTGATTGTATAAAATAATATAATAAGTTATCTATTATGATAAACCATAAGTATATGAGTGGGTTTTGTATAAAGATATGAATAAACTTATTTTTGTGATTAGCATTTTTAAAATAATTTTCATTAATAATGTAAATTAAATTAATATAGTAATTGTTAAATTAATGAGCCTCGTGATTTTAATATTAATCATAATTTTAATATATTAATAATATTATAATAATATAGACTAATAAATATTTTTAAATAATTTATATTAGATATCATAAACAAAATTAAATATGTCTCATACATATGTAACTACCGATACTTGAATATAAAATTTATGTTTACCACTACACTATATTTAGAGTTAGAGCAACTTTAAAAGGGAGAGAAGTTCCCCAATAAAATCCCTCAAAATTTCCCATAAAATATGGAAATATCTTATTTTCCCTCCCTTCATCAATAGAAAAAGAAAATATAATTTATATAATTACAATAAATAGCACCAAAACTTAAATATTTTGCATGAAATTTCTTTTAATAATTAAAAATATATTTGATTTCACTAAATTTAGTAATACTCATTATCAATACCACTCAAAATATAGTTTAAAATAATATTTGTTTTCAAACATTATAATAAAATGTGTTGTTTATGATTCAATAGGTGGTAGCACAAGGAAATAGATTCCCTGGGAATTCCCAGTTAGCAAAGGGAATATAACAAAACATAACAAACTTTTAGATAATAAAACGAGGAAAAGAATTTAATACAACATTAATTATATTATAAGTATAGTAAGTACTGTATGATTACAAAAAATGCTGTAATATTTAGAGTAATATAATATTATTTAAACTAACTTACATTTTTATTTATTATCATAATGATTATATTGAATAACTATATTAACACAATAACATACTTTATACCATTATTAATAACATTATGAAAATACTTTTACTAATAAAAAATATATTATTAAAATTTTAATTTATCGATAATTTACAATTGAAGTAAAGTTTTTTATAAGTATTTTTTTGTATAATTAAATTTTAAACTAATTTTTTTAAAACTTTTAAATTTCATTTTTTAAATATCATTTAGTGTTTTAATGATTTATACATAACTGGGAAATGGATGAGTACTACACGGATACATCTGCAAGTGATTTAGAACAACAGATCTCCCGGTTCTCTCAACAGCCGACACACCCTTTAGAAAGTATTTATCAAAAATATATCAAAATTTCATATAATATGATTAAACAAACATAATATTGTTATTTATATTTTTTTAATAACATTTGTTAATTTTAAGATAAAATTGTTCAACAAAATGGACAGTTTGATGACCCAATTGAATATCCCGTTAGTCCTATTGATTTTGATGGTGACATCTCTATGAACACACTGTTGAACGGTTTGGCTGAAAATGAACAACAATTAGTTGAAGAAGTCTATAATGATTCTGAATTAAAAGGTATTGTTTGACGTATTAATTGCAAACTTATATAATTAATGATAAATTTAATGTTTAGATACAGATAACAAAAGGGCTATTTATACCCAAGTCTATGATAATTCACTGTCATTTGACCAACAAATCAATGTCAACCACAACCACAACAATGACACAAACTCTGAACAAAATATTACAATTGAAAGCCTGGTTCCGGCAACTAATGTCATCACATCAGTGCCATCCATACCAGTACTAGAAAATGGTGAAAAAGTCAAAAGAAAAAGAGGTCGACCAAAGAAATATCCAAATGGTTCGCCCAATAAGTCTAAGAGACCGAGAGGTCGTCCACCACTAAAACCAGAAGAAAGAGATATTTGCAAAAAACGCAGAGAAACTAAAGCGTCGGCAAAATACAGACAAAAATTGAAACAAAAATCTGCGGAAGAGATTAAAATTGAAAAACAATTGATTGAAACAAACAAAGATTACAAAAACACAATTCGCGACATTAAAAGACAGTTACAACCATTTATACGGTATTACCATAAACACCAACACCTCATAGATTGCAATAGATTTGAATACATTAAAAATGAAATAATGAATTGATTTAATTTTAAATACAGGTATTTTATATTCACATTATTCATTAATATTATTCATTGATCAGAATATGTTATATAATAATAAATTTTTTATTCAACTCTTTATAAACTATAAAATCTTACTTAAAGATAACATGAGTTTATATGTACTGTATTTAACTGTATAATAACTAGTAAATTACCATACTAATATATCAAATAATTTTTTTAATTGTTAAAACTAATATATATATATATATATTTATATATATATTCTTTAATTATTACATACTTTATCTATTCTACATTATGCAATTTTTTAAGTTTTTAAATATATATATATATATATATATATATAAATAAACCTAGCTATATAAAGCTAAAATAAATATTTAATACAATTATAATATATTTTTAAGCATATGTATAATTGTAATTCCTTATTAAAAATGATATTTTTTATTAAATTCAATTACTATATAGAGCTATAATTTTATATTATTTTTTGGTAAAATTGTTTATTATTTTTTATATGATATGTAAGTAAAATTATGATTTGATTAATAAAATACATTAAAAAAATAATTTGTAATATTATAACATTTAGTTTTGTAAGTCTAAATATAAATATATTTATATAATACGATATCATATTGTATATTGTTTTGATAAAAACATTGCTATTAAAATGTTTTTTATCATATCATGTATGCTATTGATAGTAATTTGGAAAATATAAAATATATATATTATTGTTGTTATAAATTTATGTCTATATTGTCTACAATTTATTATTAGACAATAATAATCTATAGTTTAAAAATAAATTATTACTTTCAAACAAAACATATTTAAAAATTTGCATATTTTCTCACACTTATAGTGTAAATTACAATCTATTTGTTGAATCAGTTTATAGAGAAATATACTACATGTGGACAAACAATTAAAGATCATAGATTTTTATAACAAATTTACACCAGTTATTGATACTTATTATTTTAATGCAATTATTAGGCAAATATTTATCTTTTATAAGTATATTTTAAGATGTTTTATTATAATTGATTTGATTTTAATGATAACTTAAGATTATAGATTCAATTAATCTTTAAATACATAATATTTTAAAGTTATTAAACATAATATATTTCTCTATAAACTGTTCGACAATCAGTATTCCGTTTATTAATTAAAAATTCCTTATTTATTGAATTGAAATTTATTTTTAAATAATTCAATAGCTTTTTTGAAAAATATTTAAGTTTTGGTACTATTTGTTATAACAATATATGTTAATCAAACTCTACATAGAGTACAACTAAGTAAAAAAATGACCAAGGTTAAATATATTCATTATAAAATTGTCTATAACTTTGTCATTTTAATATATCAAATATGGTTTACTAGATATTCAATATAAACCCCTTTTTATTATTTGTCTGATATTAATATATTACACAATTATTGTCAGACTTTCATATAGTAATTGAAATAGACTTTCAATAAATTGTTTGTTATAATAAAAATAATTTAATTATTATCAATGATATCGTTAATTAAAATCTCTAACAAAACAACACTTCATTTATTAATAATAATAATATTTATAACTTTTTTTATATCTAATTGATATAACATTAAGTTTGTTTAATAATGTAAAGACTATGTGATTATTACTGTATATTCATTAGCATAACAATGACAGCCAATAGACAGTCAATGTGTGGGTGAATGAGTGACTGAGGAGACAGTCGTCGAATAAATTATATGAAAGTATTATCACATTATTTAATACAACTGAAGGTTATATAAGAAATGGTTTACTAGAGTTAACAAAACATTTTTTTAGATAATAATTGATATTTTCAACAATAATTATAATTTGATATAAATATAAGCAAATAAAACAAGAAAAATTGACTCAAAAATACTGAACACATGTTTTTTAATTGAAATTTTGAATACAATTATTATTTGAATAATTTTTATCAATTAATGTAAAGTCCGGACAATTACTGGACGTTTAACAACACTAAGGCTTACGTGAAATGTTTGAATCAATGACTCACTTGTTTTTATTAGTCATATAGTGTTGCCATTAGTTTGGTGTTCAATCCAAACATATTAAGCATAATATAGCAACAAATTCAACCAATCGGTGATGAATTGCATTTGATATTCGTGTGATGATTGGTCTGATTTTAATCACAACAACATATCATGTGTTATATAATACTTGCATTTGTCGTACAAAACACATATACAGTATATATTGGAATCACATTCAAGTGTTTCAAACATTTATAAAAACTTTTGTTTCATTTGATAACCAAAACTATATATTAGTTATTATTAGCTATTATTTAACATTATATTTGTGTCAACTCTTACAACAAAATAAGGTATTTAATGGAAAATTTTATTTTACTTTAATATTCGCTATCAATAGAAAAATATATTAAAATTTTATATAACTTTTTAAATTATGCTTTACTTTTTAAAATTGAAAATTTGATATTATTTTAAATCAAAACTAAAATTAAATATAAATTGAATTTAATAATAACTCTTATTATTAAATTTATTTTTATCAATTTTATAACTCGTTAAATATGCGATTATTTTTTATCAATTAAAATAACATATTATTAACTAATTAGAAATAATATTACACTTTAATTAAAAATATTGTTGAATAATAATTAATATGATTATCAATAATAGTGTAATAATATGTTATATGATAATCATTGTATAAAATATAAAATTGCATTATTAATACAAATTGCAATTTACAATAGTGTAATGCAATCAATAGTCAAATTCATAAATTATGTCAATTGATAATTGACTTAATTTTTATATAAATTGTATAGACTTTACACTAATTTGATAAAAACGTTATTTATTAATACTAATAAAATATTTGTATTTTTTAAAATATAAACATTAACTTTGTTTTTAGTTGACTGACAATTATTATTATGAATTTCTACGAAATTTATTTCATATCTAAACTTTTTTTTTAAATTATTAAATACCAGTTTTATTAGTTATTTGTAATATTATATGCAATTTACGTATAATATGTTAATTTATAATGATTTGTAAGTCTATGTCAAAAGTAATAGCAAACAAACTTAGAAAAAAACTTTGAATTTTTATATATTGAATAAATTTTCACTTAAGACATGACTTAACACCGAAACTCATATCAATTGTAATTAGTATTCAATATATTTATTATAAAATTATTAATACTTTTTGAGTTTTTATTATTAAATTATAACTTTTTATTTGATTTGATTTTTAGGCGATAAACTGTTTGTACAAAAATAAAATGACGACAATTATTGATGACTTGTTGTCAACTGATTCGTACATAGAATTGGAACAAATGATTATGAGGTCACAGATCGACCAATTGAACGGTAAGTGTCCACTTAGTGTCCATTTATTTGACCCGAAACTATACAACACATTAAGTCATTCATTCATTTTCTTTCTTTTCAATGACAGATGTTTCAGATGAACCGTTAGATGACTTGACGTTTGACTTAATGGACGATAACTTTATATTTGGCGACAATTGTATTACCGCCGAACCCGTGGCCAATGAGGCCATACCTGTAAACATTAATGATGTTAACGCTATGACAACGTTTACGACACTGACTTCTGCGGTCACCATATTTGATGACATTTGCGACATTGGAATTGATCTTCAGTTCATCGATAAGTTGTATGAAGAGTGTCCCTCAACAGTCAATTCAACTGATTTAATAACTAATGGTATGTTTAATAGTATTTCAATTAACAATATATACGGTATATATATTAATGGATTAAATGATTCAATTTTTGGTAGACTTAAACTCATATAATGACAGGGCTTTTGATACAAAACCCATTGATGACAAACAACAGAGTGCTTATCAGTCATTTAATGCTGATTTGATGATCAATGATACCGATGGTCTGATCTTTGGTCACTCATATTCAAAACAGAAGACTACTATTGAAGATCTGTTCCCACAGACGAGTGCCACAAATATTCAAAATAATAGTAGTTCTGAGACAGCAAAGAGAAAGAGAGGTCGACCACGACGTATGCCTATTGTTGAACAGAATGTGATTAAACGTCGAAGAGGTAGACCATCACTGGAACCGGAGGTTAAGGAAATCCGTAAAAAAATAAGAGAGACTAAAGCTTCGGCAAAATATAGATTTAAGAAGAAAATGGAGATAAATATTATATTAAGTAAAAAGAAAAGATTGGAAACAATGATTGCTAAAAATACAGATATTATTTGTTTAATTAAAGATAAACTCATGTCTTGTTTGCCATTTTTATATAATAATTTGCATTTTATTAATCAAGACGTCTCATACATCCGAAACATAAAATCTCTCTGCAATTAATCATTGTTTACTGAGAGAGTTATACTAAAATTATTTTTTTTGCCATCAATTGTCATATATTTTATTTTTTAATATACGGTAAATAATTTTAAAACATGATTGACATCTATGTATAGTTTATTACACAATAGAATATAATTTTGTAAATATTTGTCATATATTATAATTATATTCAACGATTAAAATTAAATAAATAAATAATTTAGTCTTACCGGTAATTTAAATTTTATAATTACGATAAGTCAGTAAACTATTTTAGAGCTAAATTACATTAATTATTTATATATCTGTAAATTAAATCTTTAATATTTTTTATTAAATTGAACTAAAATTTAAATAAAGTTTATTTATTTATACAATTATTACACAATATATCATTAATTAAATTATAGTGAATATAATATAATAATAATATTTGGCAAATTATAGCTGTTATATATCATGGATTGACAATTTCAATGTCATGATTAAACTCAATTCATATTTATTTGTTTTATTTTATATATACAGTAATAATTATAGACATTAAGGAATATGTCCTTCAATTGCTAAATTTGATAACAAAATAATTAGTAGTAAAACCAATAAAAGGCTCATAAAGTTTTGATATATTTTAAGTTAGTTATAATTATTAACATTTTTAGTTAAATTTATGAAAATAAAAACTTTTGATACAATTTGCTAAAAGTAAAATGACTACAAATTTAGAGAGAAGATTGTCTAAAGAGTTACTCGAAAGTGATGTCAAAATACTTAAGAAATTCAAAGACGTCAAAAGTCTTGAAGAGTTTGATTTAGAAAACCTGGAACTCATTAGAGGCGAAACACCGGAAGATGTTAAACAACGGTGTCTTCAACTCTGTAAAGACTATCTAAGCAATGAATGGTTGGATCAAACTGTCGACACATTTGAGTTCAAGCGGTTGACGGGAGGAATGACTAATCAGTTATACTATTGTTCACTACCGACGGTATCAAACACTTCTCAAACACCACAAGAAGTGTGTATAAGATTTTATGGTCCAAAACACTTCAATGAAGACGAGAGGTTAAGTGATATTATAATTGCATTGTTGGTCTCGGAAAGTCATATCGGACCTAAAATATTGGGCATATTTGAAGATGGTCAAATTTTACAATATCTTAAAGTAATTACAATAATATATTACTGATTGTCTATCATAACATTTATATTTAATTTCTAAACTATTCAAATACACAGCACAGGCAATTTCGACTACCTGAGCAAAACAATCCTAAATTAGCGATTCAATTGTTTGAAATGTTGGCAAAAATACACTCATTGGAAGTGCCCATCAAAAAGTCTATTAACTGGTTATTTGATTACTTTGATGAATGTCTTGATATCGGTTATAACAAGTTTTCAATTAATCAAATGTTTGATGAATTAAATTGTGAAACACTTAAGAAATATGATATAAAAAATGAAATTCAATGGATTAAGAAAATAATGATTTCAATTAACAGTCCCATTGTATTCACACACGTGGACTGTAGGGGCAGTAATATAATGGTTACCGAACCCAATGATGATATCATACTCTGTGATTTTGAGTACTCCAACTATGGCTACCGGGGCTTTGATTTGGGTACTATTTTGATTGAATGGGGCCATCATTTTAAAGACTACAATGTCTCTCACAATTTTCCGGGTGATCATGTGTTTGAACCACTAATCAAGGCATACATTGACGAGTCGGTCAATATTCACGGAAAAGCATTTTTGGAAAATAAATTCAATTCATACGAAAACCTATTAAAAGAGACAAAAATATTTACATTATCTGCATTCATGTGGCTCATCATGTTTTGCATCAAAAATGATGATAACGATGACAATGCTTTACCAATCAATAAAAATGTTATGATGGTTTGTATGATAACTTAATCTTCAAATTTATTTATTTATTATTTATAATAATTTATTTTTTATAGGGTTTCGCTGAAGTTAATTACAAAAGTTATTGGAATTTTAAAAATGAATTCATAAAACAACATTTATTTGATTGATTCATAATTTATACAGATTATCAAATCTACAAATATATGTATAATTCAATTGAATAATAAAATTATCTATTATATTGTATATGTTTTTTACTTATTTATAAATTAAAAATAGTGATAATATTGAATAAAACTATTTTGAAATGCACCCAATTTTATCAAATTTTCCACTTTATGTTATATAATTTTAATGATTATTGTTTAATATTGAGTATTTTAAATTAATTAGTCGATAATTAAGTTTATCATTGAAATTATATCTATTAAAAATGATAATATCAATAAATGAAACATCTACAATTTTTAAAATATAATAATTTTAAATAAATGATTTATTAAATTTAATTTAAATAATAAAGTTTTAATATTTTTTATTAAATAATTAAAGTTTTAAATTAATTTAGACTAAATTAAAGTTCTAATATAATTATAGAATTAAACTATAATATATTTTATGATTTTATGCATATAATATATTTATGAATTATTTAAAAGTAAATTTTAAATAATTTTCTAATTTCTAATAACTTTTTTGGTTGTTTTCATAATTTAAATAAAAATAAAATAAGTTTTGCTTACTTTTTGATAAGAAATTACTTATTAATCACTAAACTATTGATAATATGAACCAAAGGCCATCGTTTAGCAATAAAGAAATGTCAAAACATTTCTCTCATTTATTATTCAATAATCATTACAATTATTTCACAATATTTTTATATTTAAAACTTATTTTTATTATTAATAGTTAATATTATATTTTATTCATTAATATGTTAATCAATTAGTTTTTTGTAAACTTTGACTACAAACTACTTGTGGTTTGGTTTACATTATTTATGTATTAGTTTTTATGGGGATATATTTTTGTATTGTACTGTATTGTCAGTGGTTTAGACCATACATCAGTACAATTGAATAATTTTGAATGAATGAGTTAAAGTTGAAATCAAATAAAACATTATATTGAATAATAGCTGATAAGCCGAAATAAACTCACAAACTTTATATTAAATTATATTATTAAATAAAAATTACATAAAAAATATTTAAATACTTATGTAATTTTTATTATCAATTATAAATTAAAAAAAATGAATATTAATATAATTTATGAAAATTTAATTAATTTATTTATTTGGTCTCATTATCTAAAGCGATAATAGTTGCCTAACAATATTGTTATTATCAACATTAAAATGCTTCGGATCTATGGTTTAGACGGTCTCATCGGAGACACATGTTTTGAATTTAAAGTCCCACTCTTAGGGCAACAATTTGTTTAATAACTTTTAATATTGTATTCAATATAATAATTATGTTTAATTATAATTCAAAAACAATATAATTAATACAATAAGTTTTAATAGTTATATAAATACTGTAATTAGTTTATGTATACAAAATAAACAAATTAAAACTAATTAAATACTGAAATCAATATAACATTATTTACAGTAAATATATGTAACAAAACAATAAAACATTATTTAAATTAAAATTTAAACAAAAAATAATAGTTTATTTATTAATTAAAGCAAAATATGCTTTAAAAATAATAAAAATCAAGATATTAAATAAATATAACATATAAGAGTTCGGGTATCTCAACAAGGTAGATTAATGTTATTTTTTAATAATTATTATAAAAAAGTTAAAAACAAGTTGTTGTTGTTTTTAACTTTTATATTTTTTTCTAAAACTTGATGAGAATTTACTAAAATTTGGTAAAAATTGTAGATTAAAAATGCAATAAAAACTCATTGTATTAATTATATTGTTTTTTAATTATAATTAAACATAATTATTATATTGAATACAATATTAAAAGATATTAAACAAATTGTTGCCCTAAGAGTAGGACTTTAAATTCAAAACATGTGTCTCCGATGAGACCGTTAGATCGAAAACCTTAAGCAACAATGATTTATGTATAAAAAAATTTAATTAAAATATTTTTTTAATTTTATAATAATTGCTGTATTTAATTTCATATAATTTACAGTATATTATAAATTTATTAATAAAATTATAATTTTCAAATTTATTTATAATTAATTAAAAATATATAAAACATATGGTAAATGGATCCTACTAATTTAATATGATAATATTGCGATATAACATTTGTTATTAAATTATTTTTATCAGTCTATGCAATGAAATTAATGATTAAAACAATAATTTTGTTGACTTTAGTTCATTGCATTAGTGGACGTCCGTTGGTGTCGGCATTGTTAGGCAAACTGAATGTTTTGTCGACCGTAACGAAAACATTGTCTAATTTGCTGACAAATCCTGTGCCAAACACTGGTGGGTCCGACTCTATTGGAAGCCTTCTTCCGGATCAACCGTTTCCTTATCCTGAAACAGATTCGAAAGAAGTGCTGAAATCGTCGGTCAAACCATCGTTGGCTTCTATACTCAATCCATTGCTATATAATATAAGAGGAATTGTAGGTCCAATAGACTTGGGTCCCAATTTATATCATATGACTGGTATTTCATTGCCAATTGTAGGACAATCAGCACCGAATGGCAGACCTATTAAACTATATCAATACCCGGATCAATCCAATCCTATGATCTCTTACCCATTGGGTATTATAAATTCAATCAATCCAGTTAATAATTTAAATTTAATTAACCCAGTTAATAATTTAAATATGCAAAAAATTGAAGAATCAGGCAATAAAATTGAAGATCAAACAAAAGATAAATCTAGCAGTGAGTCTACAACTAAATCTACCGATCAGTCTACAGACTCAACACCGATTTTGGCATCAACTTTTACACCCACTTTGACATCCACTTTGACATCCACTTTGACATCCACTTTGACATCCACTTTGTCATCCACTTTGACATCTACTTTGACATCCACTTTGTCATCGATTTCTACGAATTCGGAAAATTCAGGGATTTATTATGGAAAAGGAATGGCATATATACCCAAATCTGATAAGGATTCAGCTAATGAACAAACAACAGATAAACCTAACAGTGAGTCTACAACTAAATCTACCGATCAGTCTACAGATTCAACACCGACTTTGACATCAACTTTGACATCCATTTTGACATCAACTTTGTCATTGCCATCGAATGGAAGAAATCAATAGATTAATGATGGACTCACAAATCCCGGTTAACTCCTGGATCCACATTAAATGATTAACAAAAATAGTTACAGTAATTAATAGTCTTCAAAATCTAAAAAATCATAATTTAAAATCCTTTAAAAGTAATAATAAAATCTAATTTTATTAACCAATCTTAAAATACTATACTGTATACAGTAATCAAAATTTTTGATATTATTTTTTATTAAAAATGATTAAACATGCATAATGTAAAATATTTTTTCAATATATTTTTATTTAATATCAATTAAATCAGTTATATTTACTATTTAGCGCTTATATTCAAAAATTGATTTATTAAGTCCACCGAAAAATACGAATTTCACCAAATTTTCTAATAACTATATAATACTGAAAGACCTATTAATAATGAAATAATATTTTTGTTTTATTTTAAGTAATGATTTGACTGAAAAATTTCAATTTAATGAAGAAGACAATTGAAGTCCAACCACTTCTTATACAATAAACACTAACACTTGTATTACATATTTATAAATCATAGTTAGTAGACCTCATTCATATAACCATCTCTGTGTATCATATAATTCACAACAATATACATATAATTTACAGTACATGTATTGTTAGTTAATCAGTCGATATAAATGTCAATTACGAAAAAAGCAGCCAAACTGTTATCGGCCGCCGGTTTCATCAAAAGTGGATTACAAGACTATAACTTTTAATGATCTTAAATTTAATATATGTTTGAGTTATTTACTTATTATATTGATAATAGATATTAATATAAAATATATAAAAAATTGTATCACTATATTAGAATAAAGTTTAATTTTATACTATAATTCATTGATACTTATAAAATATTTGTAAATTAAATTGAATGTACTTTTATTAATTACCACCAAATATAAGTTTGTATAGTTCGGGCTGGTATTGTATAACTTAATACATTGTTTTTGTCATTGATTTTTAAGTCAATGTCTAAATCATTTTGGTTGAGCACAACCACAACCACTCCATTGTCTGGTCGTATGATTGATAAAATAAATAAGTTATTTATATTATCAGACAATTGGTGTGCAATTCGGACGGAATCAGGTTTTATAAATTTACTAAAATGTCCGATAATATAAAAAGTCGGCTGTTTATAAGCTTCTCCTTTCTCAATGTCCACAACAATAGCTGTTCCACATTGATTTGGACCACAACGGGGACAACCGTTTAAACCCAATGCCATATTCCACTCAACCCAACCAATAGTCCAGTGATTTAAATCCTAATTGTAAAAAGGTATAGTTGATGTAATAGATAATTAAAAACATACCCTAATAATATCATGTGCATAATGTTCCCCAAAATCCCAGCGCCCATTACCCAATCCATCCAAATGACAGGCCTCAGTCATTAACATAAACTTATTCGGATATTTACTATTTAGTTCATCCAAAACAATATCAGGATAACCATCAGTACGGGAACTTTCGTACCAATGGTAAGCCATTCCCGAAACAAATGGTTCAGCAATTTTGTCGTTGAATACTTGGTCTGCAAACTGTTGAAGTGTGTGGTGCCAGTCAGTCGTCTGGTAAATGTTGTCGTCATATATCATAAGTTTTAGTTTATCCGGAGTATAGCCCGACTTCAAGAGTTGAGGTCCAAGATTTTTGCCGACAAACACTCGTTGCATATTTGGATCAAAATACAAATCGTTGGGTATGAATATGCGGCCCCAAGTGGGCTCGTTTTGAGTGGTCAGTCCCCACATTGTTATGTTATGTTGTTTATATATGTCTAAAAATCTAATATAAATTTAAATATATCATATACAGTATTATACAATTATTATAAAATAAATTTAATTTATAGTACTGTACTGTATATCAGCAAATTAATGTATTATAAATAAATATAACTGACTTCACTAAATATTTGGCGAAAATATCATAATATTCTCCTCCTGTGTCACCCTTTAGTTGATTAGGAAATTGCGATTTCGGATCTGTTTTCATCCAATCGGGTGCAACCCATGCGCTACCAAATAGTCTAAGCGGTGATGTACTCAAGTTTTGAGCAGTTTTGATATGAGGTATCTGTATTGTTATGACTGAAAATAAATAAATAAATTTTAATATTTAATTTCTAATTAATACTTTCAATTCTAAGTCTTCCTTAGTCAATGCAAAATGATTGAGTTGTTTATCATTGAGTTTATCATCGTATGAATAATAGTGGGCCGAGTAGTCAGTAGAGGCCACCGGCACTCTTCCCATATTATATTGAATACCATTTTTGCTAAAATAACTGTCCATCAAATATTGTGACAGCTCTTTGGGAAGACCATTCAAAACCATACCGAACTCATCAGTAAAAGCGCCACCAAAACCAATAATACTCTGATATTTTTGGTTTCGGTCTATAGTTATTGTTTGAATTAGGTTTGCATTGAATGGCATCGTATGGTTAAATGGGATCTGTGTCTCAGCGAATCGTTTGCCAGTTTTGCCACTTTCATAGATCAATGCATAACCAGTTTTAGGTGAAACTATTGGTGGAAAGTCATCACAATAGGTCTGATTGCAGACACAAACACTATCCGCACCCGTTATTGTACGTAATGAACATGGATTTGAAGCTTTTACTATTAAACCTTATTTTTATTAAATAAACATTAAAAATAATAAATTTAAATATTGTAATAATTTTATATCATATACAGTACAGTATTAACATTTTATAATATTTAATACTTAAATTACCTGAATTCAATAATAAAAACAATAAATATTTTAAAATATTTTGAAACATTGTATTTATTAACAATAAATGGTGGTATTGGTTTACAAGTATTAAATTTATAACTAAATAAATATTATTATACAACTCTTTAAAATAATCTAAATCTTTAATCTAAATAAATGTGGTATTATTTTATATATTATTATAATAATGATATTTATTGGATTAATTAGTACYAATTAATACCAATTAATATTATTATACTCGTATACTCAAATAATTATCAATTAGTAATTATCAGTAAAAAGTTTCAATACATAAGTATTTTGTTTAAAATTAAATTTATAAATATTATATAATTATATAATTTTCTTATTATTATTAGATAGTGAGTGTAATATGAAAATACAGTATAAGTACTTTTATAGATAACGTATTTTTCTACTTTTATGAGTAAATTGTTAACAACAATAGTTGATTGTTAATAAATAAATAAATTGTGATTAATTTTTCAAAAGTAAAAACAATAATTGCAATAATATAGCCAATGATAAGCCATAGAAAGACATTATATTTGAGATTTTGTATTTTCAATGTCTCATGTGATTCAATGGTATAACTTTGAGTCCACATTAAATAGCTCTCTGCTTGCAATTGCCAGAGAGTATTGATATGAATATTAAGTCCATATTCAAGTAATTGCTTTAAACTAAACAATAATTTTGAATAAAATTAATGATATTATCAAATATTATCAAATTAAATAAATATTATTTATATCTTACATAAAACTAATTTGTTTAAAATATTTTACATCTTTTGTAACAAAATTATACAAATATTTGGGATAATAACGATTATCTGATATTGTATATTGAATGCCATATTTTAATAAATATTGTAAATTTTGATTATATATAAATCTTCGACGTGTATCTACTATCAAAACTGTATGTCCATTGACTATATGTGAGATTACTTTATAATAATTATAAATATTAATTTCATATTTTTTACAATAATTGTAACTTCTATTTGCAATTATATCACTTTCATTAATACCCTCACTTGCATACCATGAAACCCAATAAATATTGACTTCACTATTAATAATAGCATCTAATGTTTCATAATTAGCCGCATATTTAATGTTTGCGTAAACATTATGTAAAAGACCAGAAAATGCTTTTAACAATATAGTACATGATATCAACCAAATGCCAGTTAATATTAGAAATAGTATTTGATGTCTAAATTGTTTATTTAAATTAAATCTATTAAAACTACCTGTCGATGAAAACAAATTAACTGGTTGTGCAATCATTACTTTTGAATAATGTATCAAATAATATAACAAACTATAATTGTTATTTAAAACATATTTGCAAATAAAAGCGACGATTAAAAATAAAAATAACCAATTGATCCATATCTAAATTAATGAGAATTTATATCAATTTTATATAATATTATTTAAATTTTACACTATTATTAATATCTTATAATTAATACATAATTATGAAATATTGTTGTAAATTTCCAAAAAGACTCGTCAATAATAGGATGCATTCCAGTGATAATCTCAACTAAGTATACCATTTGCTTCGGTATTAATTCAGTTTTTACTATATTTATGTTTTTAGGTATCGTTCCGTCTAATGATATCGTATTTATCTTAATATAAATTATATATCATATATAAATATTGAGACATGAATTGTTAAATGAATTTAATTAAGTAAATCCAATTATTACCAACAAAATTAAAATTAAATAAAATATAAATGATTAATTTATAATAAATTATCTCACCAATGATAAATTATTTACTATACTAAAATCAACTTTAACGAGTAAGTTCAAATAGCATAATAAGTAAATCATTATATGTAGATAATAACCAGCAATGTATTTCTAAAATAAAATAATAATAATAATTTTAAATTATGCGATGATATTATTGTAAATACCTGTACAGTAAATACCTGATTAAACTTAAATGTAATATTTGTAGAATATGTTTGATTATATCGATTACATCCATAATATGATTGATCATCAATAATATAATATTTGTAATTAAATCCATCATAAGTAAATGGTTCTAATAATTTAATTTCTATCATTTTTTTCAAAAATTATAACCAATTAGTTATAATACAGTATTATACTTTTGTATATAATGTAATCTTTTAAAACAATATTGTTTTCGATAAACAAAATATACTATAATATAAATAATATTATTAATATATTCTATGATATTAAATAATAAAAAAGATAATACTGTATATGATTTTGTTTCTTAAGTTAACAAATATATGATATTATTCAATATTAATGCAAAAGTTACGAAACAATATCAAAAATTTTATTTGAATGTTTTGCTATTAATGTTTCTTATGTTTATTACCATATTTTTTATTTTTATAAATAAACATACCTGTATAATATATTAATATGCAGACAATGATAGAGTAATATAAAATGTTAATATTATCAAAATAAATACAAAATATATAGTAGTATTAATATTTTGTACAGTATATTGCAATAAACTAAACAGTGATATTTTATATACARTAACGATTTTCTTAAATAATCTATTAATATATTATTTTATTCAAATCGTTCATTATTTACTGTATATTAAAATAATATAATAAAATTAAAATAACAATATTCTTTACATTTCTTATAAAGTATACAGTATTTAATAAATAATTGTCTATTTTGTTATTTTTGTATTTTTGATTTTATAATATCATAATTACATTATATACAGTATATATAATATCAATATTATATAATAACAAGATTATTATTAATATAGTTAAATTAATAATACAATAATTATAGGAGTTAGTCCTAATACATTGTTTATAGTAAGTATTAGAGGGATGAACCGAAAAGGTTTTTAATATATTAAAACAATTTAACATATTTTTAAATTAACAATATTTAAAAATTACGGTTCGGTTTGGACTCTTGTCGCTCGGTTCAGGTTCTGTTAGGGTTTTTWAAAAACTCCCGGTTCCACCTTCTAGTAAGTATTATATAGTATATACTTTAGTAAAGTACTAAAAACCATATTTTAAATAAAAATTAATAAAATATTACTCTTAATTAAAAATCTTTTAATAAATATTTTAAACTTTTTGTTGATCTTATAGAATGTGATAAAGCATTCCAATGTTGAGCTCTTTTATCAAAAATAGTATTTTTATAACAATATTTTTTTCTTTAATATCTCAAACAAATTACCTGTAATTATATTAAATCTATAAACAAATTATTAATTATAAAATAAATAATATATAATATTTTGATTATATCTATTACAATTTGATCAAGCACATTTAATCTGTGATATACGTGATATCTGTATTTTAATATAAATATTATGTTATACTTATCCTAAATATTTTTGTAAAATGTTTATAGTTGAAGATATTTAATTTTCATATTACAATACAATATAAATTTTAGATTACCTTGTGTAACAATTTATAATAGATTTATAGTATTACTACTATAAATAAAATTATTAAATTACAATTTTATATATAATAATATAATCATCATATTTAACATTTTATTTTTCAAAATATATTTAAAATTCTTAATAAAATATATAACAAATTTTATAAAATTAATATTGAGAAAATTTTAACATAAAGACAACGATTATGAGATATATATATTTAAATATAATTAAAATATATTACTGTATATAACTTCTTAATCATAAAAAACGTGTTGTTTTTCCATATGTTTCTTAAGACTATCTTTTCTGCCAAAAGTTTTGCCACAATTTTCGTGCGGACACCTGAAGTGTTTTTCCTTCAAGTGAATGGACATTATGTGTCTTTTGAGTGAATTGGATGAAACCGATTCAAACTCACAGTCGGGATATTGACATTTGAAAGACTTAAGACCCAAATGCCTTTTCATATGCTCTTTGAGTGCATCAGATCTACCGAACCGTTTCTGGCAGTCGTCAAACTCGCACTTAAATGGCTTTTCTTTTGTATGTATTGAACGGATGTGCCTTTTAAGTCCTTCCGATGAAACAAAACCGTAGCCACAGTTGGCATAATGACACCGATAAGGTTTGGACTTCGATAAGGTTTCGGATGTCGGTCGTCGCTCATTGAGTATTAGTGCGGCTCCCGTACCAGTAGTACCAGTATTTGAAATGGTTTGAGATATGACTTTTGGCACAACCTTTGAGACGAGTAGAGAGTTTTTACAGCTTTTATGAACACTTTGTCGTAATTTTGAATGTTTGATATGTTTGTGATTACGAGAAGTACTGTTTTGAGGATTATTAACGCATTGTAAGTCTGGTTCACAAACTATAGACTCAACTTTAGGACAATAATCCTTATCATTGGGATCGTCGCTATCGTCTTCTTCTTCTTCTTCATTAGACTCATCCTCATCTGAATTGTCACTTATAATCTCTTTTTTGACGGTTAAACTGTGTTCATCTATCTGTCCATTAATTTTAACCTTTTCTTCAATATCACTGGATTCGGGTTCCCGTTTAATATCACGATTATTGAGATCTATATTAGTATTTTTATTTTTTTTGCATTGTTTTTGGTTGTCGTCACTAGAAGTCTGACGCGACCTACTGTTGGTCTGTTGGCTCTCTGAAGATACAAATGATGTAAAAATTGATGTCTTATATTCGTCGCTATTCTTATATTTAAGTGAATTGGTATCGACTTCTTGCCAAAGATTAACAAATTTCTTACTAAAACTTTTACTATCGTCAGCACCGGGAGTATTGTCGTCAGCACTGGAACTCTCAAACTCAGAGTCCTCAGTATTATTATTATTATTATTATTATCATTAATATTATTAGTATTATTAGTATTACAGGTAGTATTAGTATCATTATGAATATTATTATTATTGTTGTTGTCGTTGTTATCTTTATTACTATTATTATAATAAACAGCTTTTAATTTTTCTAAACAATTTGTACTTAAATTAAGACTATTATGTCTACAATTAGCGCAGAGTTGACTTCCGTTTCTCTGAAGTCTGTGTTTAAGTTTTTCAACCATAAGTTTTTCATAAATGAGTTGTTTTTCCATTTCTTGTAATTCCTGTTGCAATCTCTGAATCTCCATATCTTTGACTTTAATCTCTAAATATTTTTTATTTAATATAAAATCCTTTTCCTGTTTTTGTTTCTCTACTCGTATTAGACTTTCTCTCAACTGATCTACGATAGCATCCACTCTGATGTCAAACTCCTCAAACTCTTCATCCCTGTCCTCTATATCATCGTCCTCTTCATCACTGCTGGCATCAGATCTCTTTCGTCGGCGATTATGGTGTCGTCCATCCCATGAGTCTCTCAATTGTCTCTTAAAACTCTTGACTATTGTATCGCTTTCAACAAAAATATCATTTAAATGTGTGTCAAATATATTGTGCGTAACGTTATTGCCGTCGACGGCACCAATCATATGGTGGTCACTGTCCGTCTCATTTGTTGTCGACTCGCTGTTTAAAATTGGCGGTAATGTTAGATCATCGGTCCGATTATCGGCCGTAAACTTATAGTAGAGTTTTCTGTATTTAGTCAGCACTTGTCTCAGTTGTGATCTTTGACTGAGACATATGTCTACCATTTGCGGCAAATCTAACTCAAAGTCGAGTGTCAGTAGTGTCTCATTGGTGTCGAAGCCGTACTTCAGCAGTGAATCAATGGTCGAGAAAGTGATGTTTCGGTCTTTGAATAACTCAATCAACAAAAAGTCTTTCTGTGAATTCACTGACATTATTAGTATTTTAAAACTAATAACTGTTGACCACTTAATTTGGTGATAAAAATGTTGAAATTTTCAATAACAGTTAGTTTTTGCAAAAAGTAAACCGAAAAAAGTGTTATTCACTGAATATCCAGAAAAAAATACTTTCAGTTTGACTGATGTACTGTATGTATGCCTTTAGGATCAGAAAAAAAAAGTTTTGACACAATTATACTATAATTATCTATCAATAGATTACTAAACTTAATAAAATGCATATTTATATAATGTATACGAAATACAGTATATATTTTTTAAAGTTAAATATTCTTTAAAATTTCCAATCATTAGTAAAAATCATTTCATGGATTAAAAACTGATACTAATTGTTCAGTAGTTCAATAAATAAATTTGAAAAATAATAAATTGTATTCAATGTGTTATTATTAATGTAGAAATAAAAGATTGATAATAAAAATACAATTATCCAAACTCTATGTCATAGAAATGATATTTTATAATAAGCCTACAATATGTCATTGACATTTTATGCCATTAATACAGTATATACACTGTATTATATACTGCACTTTAACAACTAATGTATCAAAAGTGTTACATACTGTACTATATTTACAATATTGCTAATAAAATCATTTTTATTTTGCAAATAATAATATTTAATAAATTATACTTACAACACAAGGAAATGATAATTGAATTATTAATCAATGAAATCAATGTGAATATATCAAGTACTATAAAAATTGCGATTTTTAATTAATATAAAACATTTTCAAATTTATATAACAATATTCAATTTTAATACATGTCTGAAACCAATTTGTAGTTCACTTTTAAAAAACAGTGTTACGTGTAATACATATTCACAATGTATAACACTATTTAGTTAAACACAGTTAGCACAACACACACTGTATTTTACAGTTATTTTATACACAGTCATAGAGAGTGTATGTATTGTGCGTTACAGTGGAGTTGAGTGAGGGTTTGTAACACACATTTGAAAACTTGTGTTTCAGAAAACATATATAAAATAAAATAAGTTTTCAAAAAAAAACTTGTTTCACAAGAAAAATATTACTATTATATATAATTCACTTTTTAAATACTGTATTGAGTTCACCGCACATTTTATTTTTAGCAATTGACTTATAATAACCAGTGAGAGATTGTTTGAGAGAGAAAATTGTTATAATTTTACGCTACGATAAATAGATGGTTTAATGGGCCCATTCAAGTCAATTCAAGTCAATATTATTATATTATATATTTATTTGCAACTTTTTTGCATTGTTTTGTAAAAACATAAAACTATCGATAATTATTTGAAAATCAAGTAATACTAAATTATACAAAAAATAGGTATAAAATTAATAATTCACCAAGTTATAATGTGATAATATTTTTCAAATAAAATTGTGCACATTATATATATATATATATATATAAATAAATAATATATAAACAATTATTTTAAAAAATAAATAGATTTTATACTCTAATGATTATAAAAATCATTTAAAATATAAATTATTTAAACATATGTATAATCATATGTTTTTTGTAACGTTGATTGAAATAATATAATTATTCTATAAATAATGTCTAACAGTTTAATATAAATATATTTGAAAAATATATAATTTAAAAAAATAATATTTTAATTAATAACTTGATCAGTTATATTTTAAAAAATAATATTTCAATTTTTAATAAAATGAGATATACTAATAAAATAAAATACAAATACTGTACATATATTGTATATAAATTAGTGTTAAGCCATAGTTATAAAAATTTAATGCTCGATATAATCAGGAAATGTTTCAAACATAGAGTGAATGTGTGTTTAAATTATAAGTTTGAACTAAATATTTAATCACAATTGAAATCCTGTCAAACAATTGCTGTTAAATAAGTTTTGTAATAACGCTCACAAATTACGTAATAATAATAATAYTTGTAATTGTTTAACATTAACATTATTAACATAATATAATATTACAGTAATAAGTTAATGTTGGTATACTTAATAAATTATTATACAATTTAATTATATTAATTATAAAATGTCATTTTTACGATTTATTAAATTAATTTATAGAAATATTGCATATCATATAATATAAATTTACTAATTTTTATTTTATGATTTTGTTGTAATTTAAAAAAAACATTTTCTTGTTATTAAATTTATTTTATAATTTTTATTTAATAATTTTAGTTTTTGTTGTTATTGAAATAAATGAAATATCATTGTGATTACTTATGATTATTATCTTGCATATTTATTAATTGCATTATTATTTAGTTATAAAATATTTTATAAATTATTAAGATATAATACTTTTAAAATACTAATTTATTATTTGTAATAATTTTTTGAAATTATAAAAATTAATTATTCAATTAATTAAATGAATAATAGAAATATGTTAAGTAAATATTAATTTATATAATTTTAGTATTTTTACAAATAATTTATTTAGAATTCTATTATTAATAATAAAGACAGAAAAATATTCTAATAATAGAATTAATAGTGAAATAATTAATCCGCTATAATATATATAATTAATATTTTGAAATTGCAATAAATTTAATGAATAAACTTTAATGTCTTTAGATTTTTGTTGGTTATTATCAAAGACTTTAATGAATTTTAAATAAAACTCATAAATCCAATGATCTATTAGACCGGAGTCCATACATCTCATAATACTATGAATTAATAATTAATATATAAATAGATAACAATATGAGGGAATAGATTTTAAACATTTAACTTACATATTATTAATAATGTTTTTAAATGGACTTTGTTTGTTCATTGCAATGGCCAGCATATCGTTAAATATATTAGAGTCCTTATAAATTGGTGGTAAATAATAGTGCAAATTGTGATGTATTTGATGATAATTAAATCGTGTCCTCTCAACAAATGCTGTAATTTTTGTCGGAAATTGCTTTAACTGTTCAAACATTTTCATTAAATTTGAGACATAAATTATGGAGTTTTCATTGATAACCAAACCGTATGATTCCAATGCATACTTAAATTTTATGTTATATAAAATTTTCTATTAAAATATTATATAATATTTATTATATACCTTAATATTTTTAAAATAAGACCAATTCTTTAGTGTAATTATTTTGATGTGACTATTGTTTATAGCGTTTCTTAAGTGTTCAATGGTCTCAATAACATTGGGTTGATTTGGGACAGTCATTGAGCTATAGATTTCACCCGAATATATTGAGTTTAATATATAGATTGATAAAATCCAAAATATAATCACTAATCTAATTGAATTATTAGTACTAATTTTATAAATTGAGTGATTAACTAATATATTTAAAAAATCTAAATTAATTATAAATGTTTTTGTATTTATGTAATCAAAGAATGTTTTTATTAAAAACATTATAATAATTGAAACCATTATTAGTAGCAATATATCGCAATTAAATGATCTTAATAGAGATGGTGAGTATGTTGTAATTGGAAATATCGGTGCCATAAATGTAAGGCCAACCATATAATGAGGATAAGTAAATGTGACTAATTGTGAACGATTGTAATTTATAGTTAAGTCACCGATTCCTATATATGATATCTATAAAATATATAACTAATTAACATTATATTATTTTATGCAATAATAAAGCTTACATTTGATTTAACAAACTCAATAACGGCGGTCCAATTTTTATGACAATCAATAATAATTAACGAAATGTTTGTATATTTATCGATCATTTGTAATAATTTACTTTCAAATCCATATAAACTTTTTAGATTAATATTTGTATCATTTTGTTCAAAGAAAACATATGGTTTAAGCTATAATAAAATTTACATAAAACTTAAATTATTATTTGCTATTAATAAAGATAATTTTAACCTTGTTTGTTGCAACATAAATTTTATTAATCATAGACATATTTGTAATAATTATATAAAAATACTCAAAATTATTTTTTTTAATATTCAAAATTATAAAATATAATTTATTTAAATTAAGTATCAAAACCAAAAATTTTTTTTATTACTATTATATACAATATATCATACATTAATATACTCTATAATAATAATAATTTATTTATTTATAAATAATCAATATTATTATAAAAATATAATAAAAAAATTACAATGAATATTCTATATTTCTATAGAAATATTATTAGTGAATAAAAATATTTAATTAACTAAATTTTAATTAAATAAAATATAATACATATTTTAAATATAATACATAAAAAATATTTTATTATATATTTAGCATTTTCTCTAAATATAATGCAATATTTTGACAAAATATTGATTGTAATACTTATATTGTAGTTATAGTACTGTATTATAATAAACAGTGGAAATATATTATTGCAAAAGATTATTCTTAAAAAACTAATTTTAAAATTATCAATATTTGTAAAAATAACTATTTTATGCTTATTTTAAATAATGAACAAGTTAATTTTGATAATATTAATTTTAATTATTATCAAGAGAATTTATAGTACCTTTAAATCTATATAAATTAAACAATAAAATTATATATTTTTTAGATTTCAACAAAAAATGCATGTTTTCTAAAATATAAATAAGCATTTTTTTTATAAAATATTTTATTGAATATTATCTTAGACATTAATAGACATTATATTTACTTTTTAATATAATATTAATCAATTATTGCAATTTTGATATTATAAAATTATAAAATAGTTCAGAAAAATTGATTAAATATATAAAATGTTATTTTTATTGATTACTAGAGACATTAAAATTTCTAAAATATTTCAGAAAATGTGTGCTCAAACTGTTCAAAATATGTGAAAATATGTGATTAATTAAAAAAAATCAATTATAATTGTATAAAATTTGTACATATTTTAGTAGCGTATTGTTAATAATTAATTTTGAGACATTTCTTGTCTTAAAATAACAATAATATAATATATACAAATCATTTTATAATATTAATATTTAAAATAAAAGTATATATGTTTGTAAAATGTACTATTTTTTATTTAAAAATGTAGTAATGTGTGTGAAATATGTGTCTATTTTCAAAATATGTTTTGAAAATTTGTCAAACAGTTTCTTATTATATGACCAGGATAAATATAGATTACCTGGGTGAATACATTTATAACCGTGTATATTTAACGGCAACAAATATGTGTTTCACATATTTTGATGTCTCTATTGATTAAAATTAAGTTTTTTTATTATTTAATAATCTTATTACAAACTTAATGTTTATAAAATAAATTACATAAATATGAAACATATTGTAATGAGTAGATTTTATCATTACTGTTATAACTATAATATATCCTATTCTTATACCGTTTATTTTAATAGCATTGCCATTTATATCTGGAAAATGTTGATTATTTAGATGTTTCATGAGAATTTTTGGGGTGAGTTACTCGCTTCACTTTCCATGCAATGATTTCACGTAAACCACTGGAATGGCCGCCACTATTGGCACAGTACTCCTGTAGTGGTTTAGGTTGTCTTAATTGTACATTGGGCACAATATTAGCTTTTACTACACAATTATTAATACAATCTATGTCTGATTGATCGTAAATTAAGACATTACTACTTTGCGGACCAATTATATAAAAGGTATTATCTCTGGTCCTGAGATTATTTAATTCAATTTGACCTTTACTATCAAACGAAACACTATTCAATGTTAAGACACTCATTGTTTTGAGAGTTAAGACTCGAAGTCTGTACCACTCGGGTCTGGTCTGAAACTCTGAGACCAGTAAAAACTATTTTACTAGTTTGGTCACTCACTACACGTGACACAACTATAGTATACTGAAGACAGGACGATACAGTGTTATCAGCATCCATACAATGGCTGGCTAGCCGCAACACTTGCGCTAAAACAAACAAATTACTCAATGACAACAAATGTCTTGTCGCAATTATAAACTGGTAACTAAAACATAACGATTGACTAACTGGTCGGGCCCTACCAATAATTGCCAACGAGAGAAGCCTCAAAGCCTCCCTCTAACCAAAACATGCAACTCAATACCCAATCTACTAGTAAGACTGAGTCTAATGGTCAGTACCATCACTCGGTACTACCGTCGGTAAAACCGGCGTATAGTCTATTCAAATACCCACTATAGGATAAGTAAATCTATACACGTTGACCAACCCTGTGGCCAAACTATAAATCAGAGTCCTCTGACTCTGATGACATAACCATGAGACCGACACAAGCAATCTCAGGGGGAATCTAACCCATCTATGTCTCTCCAGCCGTGCCTACCCGGCACTAAATAAAGGCGTTTAAACACTAGTTAAACCCTACCCGACACTCGTCGGTGAAATGTGATATCACCGAAACCTGTGTTACGGTGACTATCACTGGACTACTAATCTGTACTGTATATCATAACAATAGACAACAAAATTACACTCAACTAACATACATAGACAAGGACTATATTAGACAAAATTGTATGTGTGGTGGCGGCAATGACAAGGCGCTCATCAACTACAGCAAGCGGTGTCGCGTACACAACCGCCGCCGCGACCGTCAACGAATGTATTGTCGGAGAGTCACCGATCACATAAATTAATATAAATCTATAGAAACACATCATACACTCAAGTACGATAAAGACAATACATGACCGACAGATTGCCGACAGTATTACATAATTATCGTAACATTTCTATTATCTCACATACGGTATTCAGTTAAATCTGGTCAGACATAACTATGTCGTCTCTGGGGTCAATTGACATCACCGATAGGTTTTTGGCCGTGATATTATAAGAACTGTGCATATGTAACAACAATAAACTATTAGGTGTCCAAATATTTATTTATACCGGGTCAGTCAATCCCGAAGGTGACTATAGACTCATAAAGTTAAGGCAAACCTTAACTATACTCTCGGATCACTATTGAGGAACGTATGTATACGGTCTTAAACTCAGTGTCCGTTATCGGCTATTAACACACAATCACGCGATCGGGAGACCGGAACCCTCTTGGGACCACTAGCCTGCCTAGTCAGTCGGTATCGAATAGTAACTATGCATTTCCCAACTAGGTTAGCGAAAGCACATATGTACTCGAGAAATCCACTGCTATGCATTCACACACACATTCACTCAAACAGCCGATAATTACAACAATCAACCAAACTAGTGCTATTGTCACGAAGACAGCAACTATTAGATCACCTAGTAAATTGTATTTTAAGGTCAGACTATTAGTGTTAAATAACACTGAGAACCGACAAAACTACAACTGTTTCACTAAAACGTAGGACTATTGCCGAAAAATCGGGCAGAGCCTTCGGCGGCCTGGTACAATCTCGGGGATGTCGGAGACTCCTATATGACACATATAGTAGTCTATACCAACAATAACTAAGCATAAGTCAAAGGAGGTAAAGGAGGAGGATAGCGTAGCCGTACAGATCTCTCGACACGACAGATCCGTTAGCACACTATCAACGGTAGAGGAATGACGGCATGACCGTACGAATCCCCCGACACGGCGGATCCGACGGTCAACCATCATAAGGTAGGTTAGGGTAGGTATGGTAAGGTTACATAACTGGACCGGAACCCCCGACACGGCGGCTCCGTCCATTAGCTATTTACGCGGGAAGGCTTGACAACATAACCGACCAGATCCCCCGACACGGCGGACCCGATGGCCTGGCATCTTACCTTAATGTAGATAAGAAGGGACCTTTACGATACTGGAGCTCCCGACGCGGGAACCCACGGATTTAGGTCGCTTAGAAAAAAGTAGAAGACAATAAAGACAAAAACTTACATTAAAAATCCAAAGGCTTTATTTTAAAATGACATCAAAGGGTATACATCCAAGTATACGGACCATATCAGAGAAGGGGGTCGAACCAGAAGGGGAGAGAACTGATCTGCTAACGGCTCTTAGCAGTACTAGTCTTATGCCTGTGACTACCAGTATCTCAATGATAAAATCATTGAGAATACACGGGGTTTTATAGTAACGGTTGCGTCAATATAATTTTTCAAGGGAGTATGGGTATATAGTAGTGATGTGTTGGTGCCAGAATCCGTTGCAATATTATACTGTTTATGCTATGTTATGTAATGATTGATGTCTAAAAACTTTAATTTCGGTTCTCGATGGGGAGGATTTAGTATAGATTTATACTACAGTTAGGGAGAGGAGTTTGGATTTTTGGCACTATATATATAAATGTTATATGCAGTATATTGTGTACAATATGATTGTACAATAAAAAAAATTTCTTTGTGAGTGTTTTTTGGTATATATATTTAATATTTATATTGACAATATATTAAAATTAAGATTACTATAAATCTTAAAAATAATTGAATAACTCATTTGTGTTATTAATAAAATGTTGGTATTTTAGGCAAAGCAGTAGTGATTTCATAGTCAATATGGCATTCATTGACACCTTTGAGAATTTTGACGAATCCTTTGTCTCCCCAATGGGTGTTCCACGAGTTGGCCACTAACCAGTAGTCGACACCATTTTCTACACCCCAACCAAGTATTTTCATGGCATGCGGTCCTCTATTGGGACCTTTTATCAAATTGCTATAAATACCACTTTTATAAAGCAAAAAGTCATCATAAAGCTAAAAAAGTTTTAAATAAAATAAATTTATACAATAATAACTAAAATTTTATATACATAGAATATATACTATATGTACAAAAATCTAAGTGATTTATAAATGTCTATTACATACAATATAACCTCCCACAACTACTGGTCCATTGGTCATAATTTCCAATTGTACCCGTTTTGTATCATTGAAAATACTGTACCATTTTTCACCAAACCATTTGTCTTGAGTATAACTAACATTATAGCCTTTTTCGCATTGTTCCACACATTTAGGTGTGTCCACACCGGCCAAACTACATTGAGGTAATGGACCGGTTGTATTGTGTTCACACGGTTTAAAAGAAAATGGTTGACAACCCTTATGACTGTCGTATAAACCACCGGTTACTATACCATCGTTGACATAATAGCTCCAACTCGAGGGATTCATACCACCATCACAACCTCTACAGCTATATTTGTTACAACACGACACCACATTTTGGGCTGAAATGATTGGCTGAAGTTTGCCTTTAGATGCAATACATATACGATCGGACATTACTGATGTTGTGGACACTGCCCAACACGCACCTGAAGGTATGATTCACACAAATTAATTAAGTGCTTAATACTTAGATAATTTGAAAAAAACTAATTAAATGCATTACCACACTCTCCCTGATCTCTAATCTCCCGAAGCGAAGCACATTCGGGCCATTTTTCTCGTGCGTCAAATGATTCGGGTATTTCAATGCCTTCCACTGACATTTCGGGTGCGTCCGGGAAATACACATTTTCATCGTTTCTGTAATTTGTTAGTGTTTTATACATATTTTCGTCCAATTGTTTTCCAACAAAATTGTCACTTGCCTTTTATCAAATTAATACATATAAATATTATAAATGTTATAAATAAATAATAATTATTATATATTTGTTTACCTCCCATCTTTCACTAATGCTATTAATATAGTTAACCATTTCATTAGTATCTTTAAAAGTTGTTAGCGATTGTATGGCTATGATTGCCATAAATAATATCAATAAAATTTGTAAAATAACATACATTTTTAATTACAGTAAATGATTAACAATAAAAACTATAAATACTGCTTGTTCAATAGTTAATATTAGTTAGAAAATAAGTTTTTAGCTTATATACAGTATATAAGCAGTATATATTAAAAGAGTACATTTATTTATGAAACTTATAAAAATTATCTTGTTTAATATTTTATTTAATAATAAAATTATAATAGTATTACTTTCTAATATTATTATTTATCATTAAACAAAAAAATCATAAGTTTTTGATAAACATTTTCTAATTAAATAAAGAACAACTGAACTGAATCACTAATCTAATCAAATGTTAAAGTATTTTCATTATAATTGTTTAGATAATAAATATTTATATATTTTTAATAATTTAGTAAATCTTTTAAAATATAAGCTAAAAATTCAATTAATACAAAACGTATATTTAAATTAAAACGACAAAATTATAAAAATTATTAATATGTAAATTTTATATTTTATAATATTAATATTTATAATGATTTAATTGTTTGATAATTAAATTAGATTTAATCATATCGTTTGATAGATTCCGGTCGGATATTGACTAATAATAATAAACAAGTTTTATATTATAATATTTATACATTTTTACATTTAACTTTTCTCCTTTTTTCAACCATTGGCTTTCGGCTATTAAAATATTATTTTCTTTAATAATACAATATATCTAAAATACACAAACATACACATAGTTTCTAAAAACAAACTTTTTAAAGTTTGTTAAATATGTAAATTAATATTTAAAAAGTCTATTTATTTAATAATAAAAATAATAGTCAAATTATTATCAAAACAAAATACAAAAATAAATTAGATATTTAACACATTTATGGTATATCTGTGTCTTCACTGTTTTCAATATGTTTCAAACAACCGCTTTCCTTATAAATACGGCAGTGATATAGTGTTAGTGAAGCCAAATGTTTAACATGTATTGCAGTGGACGAGCAATCAATCAGTTTAGTCAATACTTCACTACAATTTTCCTCCAATAATTTGGGACAATATATTGTACCTAAAAATTAGTATTGTATTTAAAATATTTAATATGAAATATACTTTAAAAATATGATCTACTTTTAACACGTGTCATATTAGCCACTGTCCAAACAGCCCAATACTGTGCACCGGATGKTATGTTTTCTTGCATTAAACTCATTATTGACTTAAATGATCTATTATTATATATTTAGGGTTAGATTGAGATTCCCAGGGAGGGAAGTTCCCAAATAAAATCCCTCCAATTTTCCCGGAAAATATGGAAAATATATTATATTCCCTCCCTTGATCGTTAGAAAGGGAAAATATAATTTTTTATACATTAAAAAGTACCTAATCTCAATGACTATGTGTTTCAATTGAGACCAGTATGTTAGTAATAACTAGAGCATTTATTTCACATATAACTTATATTTTTAGTGATTAAAGATATTAACAAAATAATTAGATATATAAGCAATTGATTGAAAACTGATTATTATAGCAAAAGTTTTAGTCACATAAACACATATAACAACATATTTTAAAAGGTAGTCACATATTATCAAATATAAGCACATATTTTGCATATAACTATAATATAATGGAAAATAATAGTTAAAATAGATTTTTCTTATGTTTTTCTAGTATATGTATTATTGTTTTCAATATTTTAAAATAAATAACAAGCATTTTATGTTTATGCAATGTATTATACATTATTACTATTTGATAATTTTAGACAAATACTGTAACATAATATTTATATGTTTTCTAAAATTCTACTAATTTCTAATGTCTACTAAAAGACAATAAGATTTAGAGATTTGTTTGTATTGATTTTAATTTATGTATTTAAGTATTAATAAGAAAAAAACAAATATTAATTTATCATTAATTGTAATACAATTTTTAAATTGTTATTAAATATAATCACATATTTTAACTTTAAAGTAATTATAAACACATATTTTGACTATTTTAAGAAAATATAATCACATATTTTCATGTTTTAAAGCAAATATTTCATTCAATAAAACACTAATTTTAGTCACATATCTAAAGTTACTAGTAATAACTCTATCAAAATATGATTCAAATATTATTAAACATTTAGTAAAAACATTAAATACATTTTGTAGTCATTTACTATACAAACGTGTTTTTAATTAAACATTATGTAATGTGAGTTATTCTACGATAGGTGGTACCACAAGGAAATGTCTTCCCAGGGAATTCCCAGGGAACAGGGAATATAAGGAACTTATGGATAATAAGACGAGGGAGGGAATCTGATCTAACCCTATATATATTACAGTATGCATCAGAGAGTGTCAGCTTATGGATCCCATGTATTTTGTATATAAATGTAATAAGGGCTTAACTAACACTATAATAAATGTAATAATAAGCCTTTCTACAAATCCAATGTCAAAAACACAAATAAGTGAAATAACATTAAAAATAAATATAATACAGTAGAGGAAAAACAAAGTGGACAAAACCAATCAAAATATTATAATATAAAATAGATATAAAAAATAATAAGACAAATATAAAAAATAATTAAAATAAAATATTAGAAATAATTAATTAATTTTATTATTAAATATTCAATTAAAACTAATTAATTTTTCATTTAAATATATTTTAATTTTTATAGTCTATTTATATTTATTATTATATTATTATTTTTTTGTTTATTAATGTATTAAAACTATTATAAATATATAATTATTATAGAATGTTATATTATATATCAGTTTTAATTAATTTTTTATCATTTTTTTATAATTTAATACCACCTGTTTTAATGTTTAATTTAGTTTTAATTAAATATTTAATAATAAAATTAATTAATTATTTCTAATATTTTATTTTAATTATTTTTTATATTTGTCTTATTATTTTTTATATCTATTTTATATTATAAAATTTTGATTGGTTTTGTCCACTTTGTTTTTCCTCTACTGTATTATATTTATTTTTAATGTTATTTCACTTATTTGTGTTTTTGACATTGGATTTGTAGAAAGGCTTATTATTACATTTATTATAGTGTTAGTTAAGCCCTTATTACATTTATATACAAAATACATGGGATCCATAAGCTGACACTCTCTGGTATGCATTGTATATTATATGCATATTATAGTATAGATAATTATCTATCATTAGTATTTGCAACTAATTTTTGATATACATTTTAGTTTAATTAATATACTGTATAGTATTTATAAATACCGTAACTTTATTAAAACAAACCTATTTTGAATGTTTGTGTTTGCATTGATTTTCCAGTGTTTAATCGTTGAATTCAATAGTCTGCCCACATATTCACGTTTTGTTTTATTTTTGACATATTGTTGCCAATTGTCCTCACTTTCAGATACTTTAATAAAGTTTATATAATTAAAATTTAATTTATAAATTTAAATATTTATAAGAATTTATGTTAAACTAACCTAAATATGATAGTATTGCAGTTACCATGTATTCAGTTGGCATATCAATGATATCATTATCACTTGTATTATTCCGATTGTTATCTAATATAGTGGTCAGTCTATTAATAAATGTAACATTCAATAGGTGTTTCCTCAGGTCAGCCCATTAGCAAACGTTTGATAATGTAATTAATATTTGAAATTTTAAATCTGTATTAAAAAGTTGATTGTTATTACTAATTAAACATGAACAATTTTATTTATAATATTACAATGTTCATCATAAAATATGTCTAAACAAGCAATTGAATAATCCAAACAATTTTGTTCAACAATCTTTTTACTATTTATATAACTGGTATCTATAATTGTTTAATAGAAAATTATAAACAGAAATTATTTAAAAAATATGACAATTTTACAAATTTATATTTATATTACCACTTATACTACTTAATACACCCCATATATTAATAAATAATTTAATATTTCACTATTGATGTGTTCACTAATTAGTAGAGCCATAGCATCAATGACTCCCAATTGATTTGCATACTCTTTATCTCTAGTGTCCAATAATGACATTAAACGATACAATAAATCACTTCCTAAATATTCAAATAATTTAATAATACATTAATTAATTAATTAATAGATAATATAATTACCAATACAATTTATTGTCGTTTGATCAACACTACACATGTTAAGTAATATTTCTGTCAAATGTTTAATCTTGATTTAATGACATAAAATTTTTAATTAATATTAATTTAATTATTTAAAAAATATACAGATTTATTGACAAACATTTTGTGGTACTCTACAAACTGGTGTATTAATCATGTAATCAATTGTGAAAGCCATAAATCCTCGCTCTAGCTTTAACTCACTTAAACATATATTTTAATAATTGTTATGTTATTTGACTTAAGTATAACATAATTAATATGATTACCTAATCTTAGTTTGCATTTCCGATTGTTTGTTAAGCAATTGACTGATACAGTCATGTTTGGACACTTGCGATACAATGCACTGACATTTGTCACACTTTTTAGGACTAAACTTACAATCGACAACATGTTTGTCCAATTGGTCCAATGCTATCACTTGATCGCAACCATTGTCTTTATACTCACATGTTATTTGTAACTTTGCTAATATATTTGATATCGCTCTACAATAATAATATTTATAATGATATGTTAGATTAATTTTTATAATTAAAGTCACTATTCACAAGTAAGTGTATTAAAAAAAATTAATTGTATTATCAAATACTTGTAAAATGCATATTAAAAAAATTAATAAATAAAATGACATCATCGGAAGTGATAATCCATTTATAGTCAATGGTTTTCTATCATAAGGACAGGTATTGTTTGATTCCAACCATCTGTTTATACATTCTTCACAAAATGCTTGTTGACAGCACTGGGCGACCAGTGGTGAGCACATTATATCCTTACATATAATGCAAACCAATTCATCCCTATCTGTTTGACTTAAATTGACAAATCGGTTAATATCGTAACCCGGCATTAATTATTAGTTTTATTTAAATTATTAATAATAAACTATTCATTAAAATTTATTTAATATAAATATAAATTATTTATAAACATAATTTACTTAAAAGACAAAAAACAGTTATTATTTTGTTATGAAAACATATTGGTATAGAAATCATCAGAAATAAATTTCTATAGAAATTTTACTTTATTTAGATCCCCATATCTATAGACTATAGCTATTGTAATACTGTATTAATTATACATAATATTACTGTACACTACTATATAAATGAGATTCCTATATATAAAATTAGTATAATTATCTAATTATAATTATAGTTTTTGTATAATTTTAGTCGTAATTCAATTATATTTTTAGTTTTATATATTTAAATCGATTAATTTTACTTTAAATTTTAATTAAAGTACTAACATGAATATTTTGTTATTATTTGTAATTATATTGTTTTATTACTATAAATAGATAATAAACATAGAGACAATAAAATTAATATAGGGATCTCATAGACAAAAATTTCTTTTAAAAACTTTCTATAAATTTTTATTTTTTTGCCAAATCTAACAATTATGTTATATATAAATATACAGTCAGTGGAAATAAGTAACTTTAAGTGTTTGAAAACTTATATCATGTAAACTGATAGAGATTTTTTGATAAAATATTTTATATATTCAAGCTAATATACCCAAAAATATACTATAAAAATTATGGCAAATTATTTTAATTTTATAAATGTTTTTAAAATTATAAGAAAATAATTGAGAAATTACATTATAATTACAATCAATATTTTGTTTGTCCACTTAATTGACACTCAAATGGACTCCATTTATCTCCGCATTGATTTCAATATGGTTTAAATTGAATCAATGATGTAATATTATGTTGAATATAAAAAATATTTTATCAAAATATCTCTATCAGTTTACAAGATATAAGTGTCAAAACACATAAAGTTATTTATTTCCACTGACTGTATATTATAACCATAAATATTTTATTGTAAAGATTATTACTCAATTAATAATTTTTAAAAATTTGTTTCAATTAAAAATTGTGCTGTTTAAAAAAATTAATTTAATATTTAAATCAAACTACAATAAATTTATAAAACTCTTAAAATTGTTTTAATTTTATAGTTTAATCTAAAACATTTTCTTTAATCTTAAAACAAATTTTTAATATTTAAAATACTTAGATTTACAGTATTTATATTATATTAATATTTAATTTAATTTAAAGTTTATATCAGATTCTAAGCATTAAAATAGATCTATGCATTGCCAGCTTCAACACTGACATCTAGATTAGCAGCACCGGCACCGTTATCATCGGCACCGTTATCATCGACACCGTTATCATCGACACCGTTATCATCGACACCGTTATCATCGACACCATTATCATCAACACCATTATCATCGACACCATTAGCATCGACACCATTATCATCGACACCATTATCATCGACACCATTATCATCGACACCATTAGCATCGACACCATTATCATCAACACCATTATCATCAACACCATTAGCATCGACACCATTAGCATCGACACCGTTATCATCAGTACCGACAGCAATGGTAACACTGTTAATGTCTTCTAATTTTTTTTCGATGTCGCGAATCTTATTTTGAATTTCAGTCTTGAGTTCATTCAATATTTTTCTGGCCTCTTCTGAAGCGGTTTCCAATTGATTGTCAATTCGTTTCAACTCTTCCTCAAGATTTGTCTGAGCGGTGGTTAACATAGTATTGATTTGTGTTTTGAGTTCTTCGGCCAACTTTTGACTTTCTTCTGTAACGTATTGTTTAGTTTCGGCCAATTGTCTCTTCAATTGGTTGACTCGTACATCAATTTCAATGACTTGTTGTTCAATGAGACGATTAATTTTTTCTGCTCCCGACTCAACATTTTGTTCAATATTTTCAACTTCTTTTCCAATCTCTTCCTTAATATTATTCAATATATTGAGTCTTTGTTGTTGACATTTCTTCAATTTATCGCTCATATAGTTGTTGAGGTCTTGAGTCTGTTTAACAATTTTTTGAATTTCTTGTTTGATTTGTTCCTTGACTTTCATCAAATTATCTTTTGTAACTCCGGATACATTTATGATTTGTTTCTCAATATTTGTTAATTTGTTTATCAATTTTAGCTCAACTTGATTAGCAATGGTATGGAACTGGTCAATTAAATTTTCAGGTATCTCAGCACCGGCAGCTAACAGTCCTCCCAAAGTCATTTTGATATCTTGGAATTGATTGCAAAAATCACCGATAATTGTCTCCAGTGATCCCTTTCCCGATTCAATTGCGTCGGTTAATCCCTTATGGATTTTGCCAACTGTGCCAAAAACATTTTGCTGGAAATTGTTGGCCAAATTTATAGTACCATCAATAGGATGACTTATTTTACTGGTAGCATCGTTAACCATTGCCATCCCAGTGTTGATTAGACTACCTAAACCTGGTCTTACAGAACCATTGGCATCACCTGAGATACTGACTCCAGCATTACTAGGCATAATACCATAGTTACTCATACCAACTAATTTAAATATTATTAATTTATTAATATTAAATAAACAATTAGATTATTCAAATAATTAACTTACAATTAAAAAGATTGGCTGAGGCATAGGTGCTCACAAACAATAAAAGTGCAATTTTCAACATTTTATTTGTTATTAACACTAAACTTTTTGTCTAAATATTTAGAAATCAAATGATAACTATTGTCTTGACTATCAATACTTTTATATTATATTGCAGATCAATAGATCGTTTATTATAAAATTATTAGCTATATATGTTACATGTACTGTATAATACACATGTTATATATAATAGATATATTATTAAATAATAAAATATTTTTTCATTTGATTTATATAATTTTAAGCTTTAATTTATATGCCATATAAATGTGTTTAGCATTTGACAAATTTACGTAAATGACATTAAATATATTATAAAATTTTGTAATCATATGATTAATATTATATTTAATTTTAAAAATGTTACTAGATATTTTGATAGAGTTTGAATTAAATATATATTAAATGATACTATGTTAACTATAAATTATACTGTTGCGTTATATCAATATATTAATATTATAATTTTGATAAATTTTGATCATTATTAAAGATTATTAATTAAAGATTAAAACAAGATTTGAATAAATAAAATTATATAATAAATTATAATAAGATTACAATATAAATTTAATTTAATTATTATCTAAAAGCTTAATATTTGTAGAATAATTTTTAATTATTTTGACTCAATTTTTTTTAATTATTCAACAAAACAATAAAATATTTTAAAAATAATATTAAATATTAATTTTAATACTTGTAATATCTTTATAATTATTATTAATGATAGATACAATATTATATAGATATATAGATATAATTTAATATTTATTAATAATAAAAATAATTATTGACCTTGTATAATTTTATATAGTTTTATCATATCATTGCAACTGTAATGTATAAAATTTATACTATAAATTATACCGTATCATATTTCAAAATACTAATTTTTTTTTCTTAAAAAACGTCATAAAAAATAGACAAACAGTGATAAGTTTTAATTAATTCATAAAAAATAAATATTTTCTAATAATTTGCAGATTATATATTAAATACTGTAAATTTACATAAACAAATTGAAAACTTTTAATAAAATGAAATATTACTGTTAATAAAGGGATATATTGTATTATATCGTATATATAATCACTTTTTTAATAATTAAAAAAATTATTATTAATTATATTTTGTAATCTCTAATATAAGTACTGTATTATATAATAATACAAAATAAAAAACTACAATTGTCAACTATAATAATATTTCTTATAAAAATATATAATTAGAATAAAAAAATATACTTAAAAATAGGTTTATTTATTAAATAATTTGATCTAAAGTTTCAAAAATAATCACAAAGATTAATATTATATCGTTTTATTTATAATAATAAAATAAATTGTAAATAAGTTATTAAAAATAAAATTTTTTATTGTGTTTATAATTCACAATAAATATATTAAAACTCATAAAATACCGATAAAATTTTAGTAAAAATAGTTAAAAGAAGAAATTTACAATTATTGTTAAAAATATAATAATATAATAAAATAAATGATAAATTAATATAATTATATTTAAAATCAATAACCATAGCCCGGGTCTGCATTGAGATAAGTTTGAATGTCTGTATAAATCTGTATGTCTTTTAAACACTTCTGATAAGAGTTCGTCTTTCTGTTTCAATTCGGACCCGACTATTGTCTCTCGTGGTTGTCGTCGGTGTATATTCTCTGTCATCTTTGCCATCAATAGTGTCAGTCATCACTATCTCAGACCTAAACTCGCAAAGCTGTTGAACAAAGTCAGCAAATTCTCGTTCAGTCATACGGAAAGCTTTGTGAAGTAAATTAAGCAAAAATTTCTTGAGATAATTGTGTCGCTCATCGTTAGCCCAACGGGTGTACCACATGATGTCACGGATCATATTAAAGGTCTCATCGGATTCCATTAGAAAGTCGCCGACAATTGTGGTCAACTCGTCGAGTCCTAAGATATTGGCGGCCACATAGAGGGCCACACTCTTGGACTTGTAGTCAAAGTTGTCTAACGTATCGGTGTATATATATTGTTTGAGTGCCCGAAAGATATCGGGTTCCATATTTGGCCACCGGATCACTGGTCGTTTGACGCCTGACTGGTCGCGAATGGATCTTACAATTCTGCTTCTCAATGGTTCAGATCTGCCGGCCATTATGGCCCGATGAGCACAAAAATCTTCCGTTTCGTTATCACCACTATTACGATCATTGCCTTTGACATCAATAATGAGGTCACAGTATTGTGTGTCGCGATGCAGACGTTGTCCCAACTCTTGAAGCTCTGGACACGTTTGTTGTCCAGCGATTAATGCCATAAATTTTGAGACCGCTTCTCCTTTTCTAATGTTTTGTCTTCGTTGATGTCGCCAATTGTCTGTCGGCACATAAATGCCACGGCTTTTGCTAACTTTATCCCGCGTCTCGATAATCATTGGTCTGGCCATAGCATCGGCTTCCGATTGACTGATCTCTGCGTAAACAAATAGCTTAACAAATGATATGACTATAAATACAGCAAACAATGATATAACTGATGTCATTGTTGTCTCTATTAAATCAATTCAATAATATATCTAATATTATTAGTTCATAAATGCATTAAACTAAATATATTATAAAAATAATAGTGATATTACTTTATATATATATATATATATATGTTAGAAATATAATAATTACTTATTAAATCTATAAAAATTTTAACAAATTTATTTTTAAATAATTAAATAATTAAATATTTAATACTTTTAATTAATCTATTGTTACTAAAATAATTAGTTACTTATAATTCTGTATATTAAATAAATACAAATTAAACGTTTTTTGATGAGATAATTAATAATTAATTATATGTAATAATTATAAAAAACAAAATTTTTAATATTCTATATTAATAACTATTAATATACAGTAAATTGTATATTTTAAATACAAATTAATTATTAAAAATAATTTTTTTTTATTTTTTTTTGACAAAAGAAGTAAAAATAAAAGTTTTAAAATTTGAATATTTTCCAAAATAAAGCATAATTATATAATATTATATTATTACAGATTTAATTATTTTTATTAATAACATAAATATCATCAGACTTTATAAATTATAAGAAAAATAAAAGTTTTAAATCTTAGAAGCTATTACTTGAATAATAATTTTATAATTTTTAATTATACATTTAAAATACTGAAGTTTTATTCAATTAAAACATATTTTTAATATTATCTTTATTTAATAATTATAATTATCATAAAAATAATTAAAACTTACTAATAATTAATATTATTTAAATAAACAAATAAAAACGCCTGAATTCTATTAAAAATAAAATTATTTATTTTTTAATTGATTAAAATTAGTCTAATTAACTAACTAATATTTTATATATAAATAATCATCGAATTATTWATTTTTACAGTATATAAAATGATAATTTAGACAATAATCATAGTTAGTTATAAAACATATATTAAAATTGTTAGTAATATGTTATCACAAATTTTCATAGTTATACCCATATTATTAGGTATAAGTGTGATCATACCATTTGGACATTCATATAGTTTGTCTAGTGATGATTACACCGGTAATGATAAATACCTGAAAGTGATCAAAATATATGCCCCATATGAAGGTACGACCAAAACAAGTAAACCGACGTTTGAGATGATAATCAATGGTCGATATCGGTGTCAAAACTTGCAGACAGTCGGGGAACGATTGGTGGAAAACAAAGATTTCTGTGATATGAATATTGATGTCAAGAATGATCGCGAATATAATGTCACCCGACGTTTCTGTGTACACCGGGCTATACTATCTGCCCGCTCTCCACGTCTAGAAAAGTATGTTAAAGAAGCCCTACGATTGCCGTATGTATCAGGAAAGCCGCTGATTGATTGGCCAACTATGCCGCCGCGTATTGTCGAGTATCTCATTTCGTACATCTATTCGGATCGCATTCATAATTTCAATGAAAAGGACACAATTGGTTTGTTGGTGGCCTCATATTTTGCTGAYCTCCCAGAGCTCATCACAATGATTGAAGATTATATGCAAACTAAATTTAATACAACCACTCATTTGCCTGAACTGGTCTACTGGTTAGGTTGGACTCATAGACGCGGATTCAATCGTCTTAAAGAGCTATTGATATCGATTGCACGAAAAATATTACAAATGACTCCCGAAATGTTTGACAGATTTGTTGATGACATAAGTATTTCAGCGCAAAATCAAACGTCATCGACATCGCTAAGACCACGATCTGAGACTACATTTACTATTGATGAACATTATGGACGAGAAAGAAGTAGAGGAAGGGATGGTGAAAGAAGCAGAGCTACCGATATAAGTCGAGATAAGGATAGGGATGACGATAGAAATAGAGGTCGTGATAGCGATAGAGGTAAGGATAGGGATAGAGAAAGGATACGCGAATCAGATAGAGATCGTGAAAATGATCGGGAAATTGATAGAAGAGAGCGAACTCTGGACTCCGAGTATCGGTCCTTCAAAGAAGTTAAAGAACGCCGTAGTAATGAAAACAAGACCTCTCACGAGGGTCTCATTCCGGCACCGTTGGCCATACCGTTGAAAGCACCGTATGATAATGACAATAAATAAATTCAATAATTACTTTTATAAATTATAAATACTCATAAAATACCGATAAAATAATTTATGTATTACGAAAAATTTGCATAAAAGTAATATTAATTATTTATAATAATATTTTATTCTTAAATATTAAATAAAAACTTTGCATTTAAAAWTTTTTATTTTTAAAATTGGGTTATTAATAAAATTGCACTTTAATGATCTCAAAATGATAATAATTTAATTATTAATATTAAAAAATTTTCAGTATTTTAAAAATATTTTAATTTCCACACATTTAACAAAATGTGAATTTTTAGACTTTATTATTACTGTAATATTTTAGTATGATAATAATTTTGAATATTTATAATATATTTGTTTATAATCATTTTAAAGTTATAAAAATTAACATTTTTAAAATTTTAATATAATCTTAGCAAATAATGATATGTTATATAACTAAGCTAATGACAAATTAAACAAAAATAGCTTTTATATATAATATTGATAGTTATCTAAAAAATATGTTTATAAATAAGTATTTGTTAATAAATTTATAATATTAATATTTACAATAATTACATAAAATTAACTTAATATAAAATAAATAGATTAATGTCTCATATGTTTAATTAATGGACTTTTAATATTTTCGAGGGGAATGTGTGGCAAATTAGTTTCATTTTGTAGACCGGGATAACCGCCAACTGTTCCAACCATCGACTGTTTGGGTGCCGGTGTTTCATACTGTCGATGAATGCGATATTTCTTGAGACCAACAAATAGAAAGTATGAGAGAAATACTGCAATAATGGCAGCACTAAGACATAAGGCCAATGCAAAGCTTCCCGACTCTTCAGCCACAGCTTTGGCAGTGCTATTGACCGCCATTTTAGTGACCACTGTTGTACACGAAAGCTGTACGTAACCATTATGTGCGTCGGCATCTCTGACCGTCAAACAGATCCAGTATTGAGTATTGGGTTTTAGATGTGTTAAACTATAGGAACGAAGCAAATGGTTGACTGTAACGGACTCGTAGTTTGAATGCCAATTGCCAGCCAACTGGTTGTCCAATGGAGGATCCGTACTGTTTGTCGAATCATTGCTTGAATTGTTATCAATGACTTTATAGATAATCTGATATTCATTGAATGAGTTACGGCCCGTACCGTTCCATACCTGTGCACACATTGAATATTGATATTTTAAAATTGAATATTTAAAAAAATATATATAAATATAAATGTATTACTAAAGTGACATAATTTGATGAAACAGTCAAAGGATATAAATGAAGATCAATGTGATCTATGATAAGACGCATCTTTGCCATCACTGATCCCAAATTGTTTTCGGCGACGCACTGGTAGACACCGGAATCCCTGGGCTTCAAGTGATACATACGCAGACTTCCTGTTTGTTTGTTTAGTTGATAGTGTATAATATTAGATGTGTCGTTGACAACATCACCGTTTGGCAAAATCCAATGTACTTTGGGCACCGGTAAGCCCAGTGCTCGGCATTGGAACTGTTGTTTGTCGCCTATCTTTTTATGTATTGTCACATTGGTTGTCGTAGTTGACACTAAACGAGGGCTACATTGGACAGGTATGACACTGATATTAAGTTGTATTATCTGTGTATTGTTCATCTCCTGTGGTTCCCAACAGGTTATCCTTTGAGGTTCTGTTACTTTTAGGGAACAATTTTGTTGATCGATAAGACACTAAAATATACCAAAATATTAATGAGTATTTTAATTACATTTAATATAATGTCAATTTAAATATCAATATATAAACAAATATAATTTTAAATACAATAAAAATCATATGTCCTTAAAGCTATATATATTAAATAAAATGAATATTTAATAACATATAATTAAAAATTATTGATGACTATTATTATATTTAAAATTGATTATTTATTGCTTTAAAACATGCTTATCTCTACATATACTATCATATATGATATTTTATATATAGTATTTAAAACATTAAAAATGTTTAATGTTTATTTAATTAGTTATTAACTTTATTTATAATGCATAGAATTATTTAATTAATAAAAAATTGATACAAACCTTATATAAGTAATGTATATTACAATCACAAAGAAACGGGTTTCCCATTAAACTGGCGCTAATTATATGTTTATTTAAGTGATGCTCCTTAACGTGTTTGTTGGGACTGTTAGATATACCAACATTATTGAAATCGCCTGAGTATTCACTACTGCCTAATATATTGCTAATAATATCATTTTGGATGCTTTTTAGACCACAGTTATCCAATTTGATTGTATGTAATAGCGGTAGACTAACGAAAGCGTGTGGATCTATAAACGCCAACTTAGTATTATTCTGGAGCTCCAGTATATATAGATAGGGCAGATCCCAGAAAGCACCCCTGTCTATGAGCTGAAGGTGCGAACAATTGGTAAGTGTTATGTATTGGGCCGATAAATGAACAAAGTCACCGGTGGATAGTTGTATCAATGGATTACTGTCCATATGTATATTTATAATACGTTTTAGAGACTGGAGTGCTATGTTGGGCACCCGTACTAAACTATTATTATCTAAATACAACTCTTGAAGCATATCCAGACCAACAAAAGCATTGTCATTGATGGTTAGTATCCTATTATGAGATAATCGCAATGTTTGTAATGTAGACATTGTTGTGAATATTCCTCCCGTTAAGTGTAATATATAGTTGTGATCTAAATTTAAGGTCTGTATACAAATAGATATATTAATATTAATATTATAATTATTTAATAATCAAAAGTTAAAGTTTCATAGTTTGACAATTTGTTTGTATAATTTTAAAAAGTTATATTAAACAATTATATTTAACTAAATTTTTATTAATATTAAATTATAATATTTTTTAATCGATATAATTGTTATCTTTGTGAATAAATGATGTATTGATATAAAATTAATAGCAATTGATTGTGTTATTTGTAAACATATAGCCGTATCATTGAAAGTATAAACAATTTTAGTAATTGTGACGAAAATAGAGAAAATTTAATTTATTTATATTTATTGTATTATTGCAATTGTATCGGTAGTAAAATACTTGTATGTCTCCATTGATTAATTGTGTGGACAAATACAACCAAAAATAATCAAATCAATTGTCTAACTCTTTGTAATACATAATAGCATTAGTTGTGGTTTCTTGAATACCAAAGAATCTTGTTTTTTGCATGTTTTGTAAGTTACGCACAACTTTAGCAAACATAATATTGATGTTAATATTAATAGTTTATATACAGAGAGTGTGTGGTATATTTTGAGGACATCCTATGTCTCACTCATCCCTGAATCTGCACTTTTATATCTTATAAGATATATATATATATATTATATAAGTTATATACGTATATATATATATATATCCTATCATACAATTCCTTACGCTTCTGTTATTTTATTAAACTAACTGTCATATAGATTGTGACTCAAAACACACTCACTTTTGCTAATATTTGATTTTTTCTGCTGTTGTTTACTACTAGTTATCCACAATATAAAAGTAAAAGAGAAAAATAGAAAGAAAGATGGATAGATCTATACAATAGATAGACAAATAGATAAAAAGAGAGATATAGTAAAAGATAGTGAAAACATATAGAGATCACAAATAGGACCCACTCTTCCCATCGATTAGATCTTTGACTAAACTAAGAAAAGTTACGATTAATCTGATGTCAAACAAGACTTGAAGTGATATTTTGTGTCCACTCATTGTTCTCTATCTTTCTTTCTTTTTCTTCAATGACAGCAATAATATAAATGAAATGTTTTTCTTTTTATTTGTTTAATGCCTTTAAATACTTATAAAAAACAAACTCTCATAGAAATCAAATTAATATAGAAAAATAAAATGGTTTTATTTCCTATCAATTAGTTTTGCTATTACTTAAATCCTATTATTAAATGAGATTATGGTATATAAATTGATTGATGAAAATGAAACGTTTTATCATAAAAATTGTTTTCTACTATCGATACACTAAAAGTGAATTTATTGTATTTACTATTGTATACAAATGTATTATTTTATCATTAACGTTTCACTCTTAGTATTTATCTTCAATTCATAAAAATAAATTTCATTATTATATATAAAAACAATATTTACTAATATGACATGTACTGAATTTTTAAAATACAATAATGTCATCTTTTTTAAAAAACTTTTAATTTTTTACAAATACATCACAAAATAAATTTAATAAACATAATTAATTTATACATTATCATAAAAATAAACTTAAAATAATTTAATGATATAAATAAAAGATATTATAATTTATAAAATGAAATATTACTTTGAATACAAACCTTAAGGTTAGAAATACTTTGAAAGAGTTCCAAATAAACGGATGAAATCTGATTATATGATAAACTCAAATCCGATAACATCTCCAATCCATCAAACGTGTGTTCATCCAAATACCTGAGCCCACAATCATTAATGATAAGCACTTGTAGTCGACGGAGACCTCGAAATAAGCCGGCAAACAAATGTCTGAGATTATTGTGCGACAAATCCAATACTTTCAGATGGGACAGGTTGTTGAATACATGACCTCTTCCTATATGGTTGAGCCCATTGTAACTAAGATTTAGTACTTGTAGCTCATGTAGTGATATAAATGAGTCAATGGGTAGCGAATCCATTGAATTGTTAATCACATGAAGTGATTCCGTTTCTGTAGATATGGACTTCGGTAACAATACGCCATTGCATTCAATTGTACGCAACTCTTCAATCGACTAAATAATTCACAAAAATATTCAAAAGAGTATTATACAGTTGTTTATGTAATTTATAACTTATAATATAATAGTTATTTATTAATAGTTATATTTGTCTAAATTATACATTAAAACTATGCCTTACAACTTTTACAAACATATTGATAATTAAGTAATACAGTAGAAATTATATAACAGCAATATAGACTATAACAATATACCTAAGTTATAAAATTAATTGTGATAATAGCTAATATACAATATTAATAAAATTATATAATTTAATTAATGAATTGAAACAATAAGCTACTACTTTTCATGTGGTGTTTCATATGTTATTTATTGCTTAATTTCATCAAATGGCGTAATTAAGTATTATATAACAGAGTTGTAACATATAAAATATATTATGTTGCAAACCCTCCTCCCGGTGCTATGAGCCATATAAATTATATAATACATAATTGACTTCAAGTCCAGAAAAATACCGGAGCAGCGAAATACAGCATTATATATATAATTAGTGCCAATGAGTCGGAAAAAATAATATAATATATGAGATAAAATCAGCACAAAAATGAGCCAATTTTTAACAATTAGTTCAATATGTTTATTGCAATAATTATATAAAAAATATATTAATGTCTTTATAGCAAAATATAATATATATATATTAGTATTGAGCCAACATATGTGACACATTAAAACAATAATATAATGTCTAAATAAGTGTATATCCAAGTGTACATATAATATGGATGATTATATCGATATTGATAGTAGAAAAAGCACAACAAATATATATGTCTCCAAATAATTTGGTGCCGTTTCAGCACAAATGTGTTTTGCATTCAATTGAGTTATCAATGTATTAATATTTGAAGAAAGTGTTTGGATTCAAAACAGTAAGGCATGAGATCAGTGGCCAAAATTGGATCAAAGTCTGCACTGAATTACCAAAAAATATTTTCRCACAGATTTTCATTTATATACTAACTTATATATACTGTATAGTACATATAGTCATATATATAATATTATATATATATCATGAGTGCAATTAAGTGGATAAAAGAAAGCAAAAAATTGCTGTAAACGATAGATATAAAAGAGAAAGAAGAGAGAGAGAGAGAGAGAGAGAGAGAGAGAGAGAGAGAGAGAGAGAGAGAGAGAGAGAGAGAGAGAGAGAGAGAGAGAGAGAGAGAGAGAGAGAGAGARAGAGAGAGAGAGAGAGAGGTATTGACTCAATAAGTATTTAATCTCTTAACTTAAGGCAATGACTTATTGGCCCATACTTTACACAATACACGAGACTATAATAATAGACAACACAAATAAATAGTGATTTCATGTCTATTTCAATGTTAGTATGTTATATGTGTTGGGTATGGTATGTGTGTGTGTATTGTGTTGCGGCCCTAAACATACAGAGTCACAGAATCGGTATTTTTGTATTCCGAATAACGATTCGATTAGTATATAATATCTGATTTTGGATGCACTCGGCGTACAAGTGCTGCAAAGAATCGGTAACTTGTAATTAATTAACCACTTATTGTAATCACTAAACATTGTCCGCAAAACAATACATAAATATATTCAATACTTGTTTTAATTTAAACCAATTTATTACTTTACTTATATGTGTCAAATAAATCTTGAAACAAATAAATTATATGAAAATCATTATTATATTCAACTAAATATTTTAATCTAAATGCATTAATATTAATAATATTATTAGTGACCCTTCACTAAAAGTTCAATTATAGTAAGTTTTTAGACATAAACATATAACTAGAGTTACTAAACGGTAAAATAATAAATCATTTTTTATTAGGAATTTCTATCCAATATATGACTTTCATATCAGTCTATCCACTCATCATAACAACAAACGACAATAAATGTATTAAATTTTTTACATTCATTTCTCAACCAATAATACTTTATCACCTCTCTCTCTCTCTCTCTCTCTCTCTCTCTCTCTCTCTCTTTCTTTCTTTCTTTCTTTCTTTCTTTCTCAATAACTACCAGTGAATTCTCAATCATTTTTTGCCTTTTTTATATATAATATAATAAATAGGTTTATCTCTAATTTTCATTCTTTGACTTTTTTTTAATCTCTCACTCACTTTTGCCTTCAGTKAAAAGTGAGTCTCATAAGGGAAATGATAGTACATTTGTGTGTATGTGTGACTACTTTAATATCATTCAATAAAAAATTGTGATATAACTTAATAAGCAGAAAATAAATCATTGTTTAACTCTAGCGTATTGTAAGATTCATATTTTTTTATTATTTAAGAAATATATGCTATAAAAAAGTTGTCGTCAAATTGTTTTATCATTAAATTAGTTGTATTATTCATATTAATAAATCAATTATAAAATTCTAGTATATKAAACCAAAATATATAATAATTATTATAAAAATTATATTTCTAAATAAAAAGATTAAAAATATGTTAGTTTTTTCAATTTTTTTATATTATTTTGTTAATATAAACTATTAATACTAAAATAGATAATTTATTTATAATTATTGTAATAAAGATTTTGCATTATAGATTTATAAATAAAAACATACAGTAAATTAACTGATTGCAAAAATAATTTTGCTAATAGCAGATTAAATAATTCATATATAAAAAATTACAATAATATCATTAATTTTTATCAAACTTTTTAAATGTTTATTTTATAAATTTAAAATCATTAAAAACTTTTAACTAATTAATTCCAAAACATGATTATGAAAAATAAGACTATAATTAGTGAGTTAAGCATAAAATTTTTGCAGACAATGTCGGCGTTTATTATTTAATGAAACCCTTACTTTCCTTTACAGCATATATRCAATCATAAGCCATACAATAGGAAAAATCAGTGATAATAATGCTGTGCAACAATTTTACAGCTAATTAATGACATCAGAAAAATGCTATATTTTGCATTTTAGTCAAACGTTTTTCTGTAATATATTTTTACACTTTGTTTCATTAAACAATGTTTTGCTAAATTCAAACATTTTATGTTTTGCAAATTTACGGCACCATATTATTTATATTAATTAAACTTAATTTTTCGTATAATACACAAATTTTAAGCTTTTATCTAATTTTCAAATCAATTCAAATAGAAGTATTTTTTTGCTTAAACAACAAAATTATATAATGGTATATAATTTAATATTTTAAATATAATTAATTCTAATTTTAAGAAAAATCTTAATTTAATAAATTATTAAATGACAAATATTTACTAACATTATTTATCTAGATGATTATGTCAAAACTTTTATTAAAATAATTAATAGTGAAAATAATGAACTAATTTATTGCAAACCAAGATATTTAGTTAGCAAAAATACAATAATAATGATAATAATGATAATAATAAGCTAAAATAAATGTCATAACAATTTCCTTGTATAAAAGTTCAAACTAATTATAGTCTAATAATAAATTGCAAATAATTAGTGGAAATATTAATCCTCTGTCAAAACGTAAAACACAATTATGATATTATAGACAGAAGCAGAAGGATAGTCAATATATATGATCTATAATAATATAATAATATAATAATATAATCATTTTATTAAATAAGTTGTATAAAAATTTCTAAATAATAATTTTAAACTTTATTTAACATTAGTGTCTTCTTATGTGTCGATTTTGTTTTAAAATGCTATTATTGTATTAAACATTAATATAATTAATATGACATTTAATTTAAATGATTTATTGTTTTAATAGTCATTGTGTAGGCATTTGGTATCTAATTTTGATATTGATTAATTAGATATTACAAGTAATTAATATATATATATATAATTAATTAAATAGTAATATTTTCTACTATATTTTTAAATAAAATAATAATTTTATTTTCAATATATTTTTTTGTACAATAAATATGTATTTAATTAAATTCTTAAAATATCATAAATACATGAGAACTTGAATATAAAAAGACATAAAGAAATAAACAAAAAATAATATTATATTGTTTTAAGATATGAATTAAGTAAGAAATTAATGTTTGTCAATACTATAATTATAGTATATTTTATTAATATTTTTTAATCTTAAGTTTACTAATGTTAATGTGATGATTTTATTTAATTTAATTGTATAATTATAACATGTGTCAACTTTATATACAGTATATAAACATAACAAAATATACTTTATTTATTTGAACATAATTTATATGAAACTCTATTATATTGTCGCTTCCTTTATAAAAATCACTCGTCTATTGGCTCTCTCTATCACAACAAACCAAATAAAAGTCAATTTCTGGCCGACTCTTAATGAAAGACTATGACTGCCAGGGGATCGGCGGTTGTGTTCAACACTAACTTATACAACAAATATTGCTCTCTCTTTCTCATTCATTCATCCATTGAGTTACTGAATAACATGTATTGCCCACTGAATCCCTGTTCATCTCCCATCCCTTTAAACTAGTATTTCCGTTACGTTAACTTAATTAGAATTCATTGAATGACTAAAATTAAAGTATCGCTAAAAACATTGAGTGAATTGTAATTTAAAGCCTTTAACTAAAAGTATATTTTGTGTTCAAAATCACAAACAACAGCAACAATTCAACACATAATGTATATATAGAATCGGAAAATTCAAATTTCAAATATTGATATCAAACACACAGAGAAACTGAAAAATATCGCTTAATTTAAGCATATGTTTGATTCACATTACAGTATAAGTGATAAAATATAATCGTAGTATAAATAAAAAACACATAAAACAAACACAAATAAGAGTCAGACACTCATTAATTTTAGTTATTTCTCGCCAATGAATGCTTGTGTTATACAGTATATTAAATTAAATGTTATATATAAGAGAAAATTTAATTAGATGAGTGTATATACACTGTATTTAAAGCAATAAATCAAGAGTTAAATTTGTAAAAATTACCTAATTTAATAAAACACTTGCATGGATAACAATTTTGTTTGTTTGTTATGTTTACTTGTTATCAAATAAAATAAAGTTTTAATTTAGAAACATATATAAAGTTAGTGTAATTTAGAAATATAATTATAAACATTGTTAACAACTGTAATATAGACTAATATAAAAACCACAATATAATAAAATTATATTTTTGTATGATATTTGTGTAACTTATTTTTTAAACGGATGTATAAATGTAATTATGATAATTAATAATTAAATAAATGTCTTAATAAAATAATGAAATGTTTTGCATAAAATGTAGCGAAAGTAATAAATAAATACAGTATTAGTGTATTTATAAAAACTTTTTAATTATTATTTAATATTATATAATTATTTTATACAAATTATAATAATATGTATGATTAATATTTTGATGAATTTAGTAAATTACAAAATAGTAAATAATCAATAATACAGTAAATTGATGATAATATTAGTGACTTACATAATGTGATGCAATATAAGCACATTTACATTTTTGTGGACATATCGATGAGTTAAGCCACTGGTCATCACTGGTAATGATATGATGTTGAGTCCAATTATTATTATTTTTATAGTCATTAGCCGTAAAACTAATTGGTATTAAAGGCGACGAGTGTTTTACTGATGAGGAGTCGGCACTCATGAGAAATGAGTGTAAAAACAGTGTCGATGATATCGCGTGACATAACTGCATGAATGTTAGACCATTCATATCTAACTGTGCTCTTCAAGTACCAGTAGTAGTGTATTGATAGTGATAATAGCAGTAGTGGCACAACAGCAACACCGGTAGTTGTAATGATCGTTGTAGTGGACAGTTAGGTCTCACTCCGTTATCTATTTTTATTTCCCACACTCGAGAGTCTTCTTTTATTTATATAAAAAGAATGGTATATATGATTGCTAATAGTAGTGCTGATAGATATGAGAAGCCGTCTATTGTGTGAGCAGTCAGTAAGTGTCAGGAATTTTTATGATATAAATGCCAACAAATATAAAGAATATTCTCAATTGACAGACACTTTAATTTCTATCTACACCTCTATATCATCATATCTTTTATAACAATACGAGTGCCCATTCATTGTGCGAACCAATTGTGAGTGAGCACTGGTAGATAGTTTTCTAGGCATCTAACATATTATGCATTATACATTTAAATATAAATATATACGGATATATACATTTATATTATGTCTGAATGTTTAATATTAAGTGAATTTTTTGTTGTTGAGGTTTTGATTGAATTTGATTTTTTCATTAAATTGGAAAACTTTATGTGCGAACCTAAAAATTTCAATAAAATAATGAAAATAAAATGTAATTTAAAAATGCTTTTTATAAAAATTCAAAATTTATTAAATAAATAACTAAATTATATATCTATTATCTATTTTATTATATAGATAATTTAGTATATAATAAATTAAATAAAGATATTATATTTTATGATGGCATATTATTTTTATTTATATAAGATTTTATGATATATATGTTAAAATATGCAAAAATATTTTTGTTTTTTTTGTTCATAAAATTATGCATTTTTGCATTTGCTTTTGTCGTATGTGTCAACACATCAAACACTGTATAATATAATGTTATGATATAATATAAAATAGTGAGTGAGTGGGTGAGTGGGTAAGTGAGTGAGTGAGTTAACTTCAAAGGATATGCATTTTTTTTTGTCTCACAGTGTTTGGCAATGCAGTGATTTCGGGAGAAATTTTCATTGAATGCATAATGAGATAAATATAATATTAAATTATTATAAAAAAAAGTTATGGATAGATGGATAGTCAGATAGAAAAATGAGATATACATACAGTACTTATACAGTAGTATATATATTTGCATCTAATTAGTTATACAATATTTTATCACTATTAAACTATACATAATATATTTTTTTAGTTGATTAGCAAAACAATTTGATTGCTGTGAATAGAGTGTACTTTAAATTAATATATCTAACATTACTTATACATCTTTATATAAATATTAATATATACTATTACTTCTGATATTATGAATAAATAAAATGATATATTTATCACTATTTGTTGTGTTTAGTATACATGAAAAGTTTAGTCTGTAAATAGAAAATGTGTTTATAATACAATATTTTGCATTTAAAAAAATATTACGTGAATAAATAAAATACAGTATACAGTATATGGCAAAACATGTTATACGGTGTGTGTCAATGGTGTGACTCCCGGTGTTGTCGACATACAAGCATAAGAGTGGTTGCACTCAAAAAACATGAAAAGCCTATTGTGTGACATTTGATGTCAAATTTTTAGACTCTCATATCATTTGATATCACACACATATAAACACACACACAATCTCAAGCCATCATATTAGTATAAACCGGGGACAGACAGATATGCGTTATTTTTGTATAAAAATATAGTTAAATAACAAAAAACGACAAAATATTATTTACAAATATTTGACATTTAATACATACCTTTAACTAATAACAAGAATATTCTGTGTGTGATGTGATTGCTGTTATGTAATGTATCTTATATTATGCGTTAATAAATTGTCAAAAAGTAAATATCTAATATAAATTTTACTTTGTTATATATATATAACATACATATATGGTATATACATGACTTATAAATTTAATAATCAAAATATTGTGAAACTATAGGGATATTTTAATCAAAATGTTTCATATCATATAATAAAATAATTATATAATATATTTGTCAAATATTTTGATGCCTATTAGGTTTAGCTTTTATTTATTTTAATTATAATATAAAAATTTATGTCATAAATAAGTCTTATAAATATTAATTATAAGAGATTTGATGATATAGTGGTAATAATATGTGATTGTATATCAATAGACCCGGGTTCGATTCCTAACCATAATTTTTATTTTGTAGTAAAGAGTAGTTTTTTAACTGAATTCTAATTGTGCTAATTGTATTGTTATTAAATGATAAGATATTATAATAAAAATTATGAAAAAACTTCAATTTAAAACATAAAATAACTATATAACTATTTAAACAAATAAAATAAAACTTTTTATAAAATTTTAATAAATTTTAATAATAAAAAATTAATAAATGTTTAATAGATTTAGTTGCAAAATGTTAAATGTTAATAAAGATGTGATTTAAAATTTTTAAAAAATTATTAATTTAATTATAATATAAAATTTTTAAAGATAAACCTTAATGTAATTTATTTGAAATATTAAAAAGAATAAAACATATTTTAAATATAAATTCYCGGTAATGTATTAACATATTATGAGTTTTTGACTTATTTTAACTCATTATAATATACTGTATAACAGAACACAATTTAGGTTTTAATGTTTAAAAATTAGACAAATTCACAATTGTATTATTTAGATAGCATTTTGATATACTTTTTCAGCATTAAATACTTTTTAAAAAAATTTAATAATAAAATAACCTAAACGTAAGCAAAAATTATGTGCACAAAGACATACAAATATATATATATTTCCATTTATGAGTGCAGTAATGATAGAGACATAAAATAATAGAGAGTTAAGCATACAGTATATATTATAGTATAGTATATTTTATAAGTAAAGTGAAATAGACTTTAGATACAAAAAATAATAATATAGTAAATCGTAAAGAATATATTTGAATGAAATATGCATTAAATGCATACTTAAAGTTTGCAGACAATTGTACAATTGTTTGTGTATGTGTGTGTGTGTATGTGTGTGTGTGTGTGTGTGTGTGTGTGTGTGTGTGTATGTATGTGTGTGTGTAAGGAAAGATGACACACACACGTATAAAAAGATAATGGAGTTATAGTCAGCACAAGTTGTTTTTTGCTGTCTATGCCTCTCTATTTTTAATCTATTTTTCATATTAACGTAAAGTCAAAAGTAGCGATAAATTTCCACTCGATATAAAAGAAATGCACTCTATTTTATAGACACACAGAATATTCTATGTTTTTATACAAATGTATATCAATTTTATTCTTTGTCTACAATTCTTTAAAGCAAATCTTTATCATTTTGTTTCGCCTCTCTCTCTCTCTCTCTCTCTCTCTCTCTCTCTCTCTCTCTCTCTCTTTCTCCTCTATATTTATTTTGTAGTAGTATTTCTACGATAAAAAAGCATAAAAACTATAAACTATTATATGGTTGAAAACATTAACTAAGATAAAGAGTAAGAAAGATTGAATTGAAATAAAAATCATTTTGGATGATATTCCTGAGCTAAACAAATACCATTTTATACGGAAAACGGATATCAAAACAATTTAGATTTATTTTTCAATTGTTTTTTACAATAATAAACTATTGTGAGAGGTATTACTTTTTTGTATATATTCTACTGTATATTGTATACAAAGTTATTATTGAGTGTATTTTACTTTAAAATGAACACACAATTTACTGGATCATCAAATATATTTATATATTTTTTGATATTTTTTGTTTTACTTTATAATATCAGTATATATTATATATACTCACTCTTTATAAAAATTTCGTATATATTATTCAATTTATTTTTATATATTTTTAAGTTTTAGTTCACAAAATAATGTTATATTTCATTGACTTAGTAATAAAGTTGTCCATAAATAATATATAAGCAACAATATTTTTGAGTGCTCTACTAAAAACACAAATGATCATTTATTTAAAATAATAGTATGAAATATAATAATTCAAAATATAATAACTAAAATTTTATGTAAAATTTTAGTAACTATTTTATAAACTTAAATCTTTTATACATAAATTATTTAAAATAATTTCTTTAATATAAAAAAATTAATTTAATTTATATATTTTATTAAAAATAAAATTATATTTTAAAAATCATAAAATTATCTAATCTGTTTCTTAAATTATGTTGTAGACAATAATCATAATATTTATAATTATGTTATATAGTATAAATACAATAAGTATAATATATTGTACAATATATTTAGTATAACTAATGATAAATTAAAGAAAAAATATAGTATTATTAATATAATGATTAATTTATTTAAACTGTCAGTAAAAATGTCAAAACCAAATATATATTAATTATTTTTTAATATAACAAAATTAAATATTTAGGATTTCGTTTGGAAAATTAATCCAAAACCACATATCTATTATATTAATACATAATATTTTGTATGTAATATATTATATTCTAACATAAAAAGCTTATATTATACATAGTTTTTATGTTGTTAACCAATTTAACGCATATTAACACATTTAATACGGTATATATTACTTTATACATATTGCATACATTTACTATATTTTGCAATCCAATTACTTTAATGTCATCATATAGTCTCATAATTTCCTTATGCGTGTTTGTCTCACAAAAATTTTAATTAATGATCAAATAATATATTGTAAAATATTTTAATACTATTAATACATTTATATTAATAGAAATTTGATTTTCGATATAACATTATATGTTTTGTGTTTTATTTAATTAATAGACTCTGACATATACAATATACCTATATATATACCTGTGTATAATATTAATAAAAACAAATACAGTAATACTGTAATCCAAAAATATTAATGATGTATAATAATTGAATAATTAATGCAGTATTTTTATAATGTATATAATAAAAATATTTTATTTATAAATATTGTATGAAAACTATATAAAATTTATTCAGTATTAAAACATAAATTGTTAAACAAAATAATCTTAAATATAATATTAATTTATATTAATTTAATATTTAGTAATACAGATGTCATAAATATTAGAAAATGTTTACAGTTTATAACAAATGTAAAATGCTATTAAAAATAAACTAATTTAATGTATTGCTGTAATATTTACTGACTATCAATTGTAAGAATGTATTAAAAAATATTTTGCAAAAGTATAAAAATAATGCTTTTTATTTTTATTAGACAACAAATTGAATAAGATTTTTGAAAGTAAACCGAAACCGTATAAAAATTATTTTTGTTTATATGCTTGTTATTATTATATTATAGTATAATAGTATTATTCAAT